CTACTGTCTGCAAGCGACTCATTGTCTGCAAGCGACTCTACTGTCTGCAAGCGACTCTACTGTCTGCAAGCGACTCATTGTCTGCAAGCGACTCTGTTGTCTGCAAGCAAGGTCGGAGAGCGGCCGCGACAAGACTCTGACTGATGAAGCGGGATGAGTGACGGGGGTTATACGGCAGGGATGGCGCGCAACAAGGCCACACGCTGTCGATACTTGAGGCGCTGGCGATGGTGTGCTTGGTCAATTCTTTTCACGCACTCACCAACACTGATGGGTTTCGTGCATGATTACATGGCGTTGCTTTGCACTTGGTCTTGTGCCGGGATATCAGGATGTGCACACGCGGACGCGTAGAGTGAGCGCTATGCACTCGACTTTTTTTTTTTTCCTTTTTTTTCTTTCAATTGTATACCTAAACTGTTCGTTTTACCTCAGATGCCTCCCTTGGGGTTCTTGCTCTTAAACACGACTACTTCCTTATGTTTTGCCACTCCTACGGTCAATCAATCGTAAGTTTACCGGGACGGTGTGAAGTCCAACAAGTCAGGGAGTGGCTGCGACCTCTGCTCCGACAGCATGCAACATGCTCAAGCTGTACCCATACCCAGCGAGTGAAGCGCGGGCGGATACTTACAAGGTGTGAAGTCATTCTGCACGTTTTTCATACATCTTCGACTGCTGCGACTACTGTCGAGACGAGACCAGTGTACGTCTTTCACTCCAAGTGCGTCCTCATACTTCGCCAATAACTGGCTGTTGTGTCCGCCTGCCTTCCGGAATCTGACCACAACGCACGTGGTGATGTCTCGCTTCGCGGAGAACTCGGCGCTTGATATGTGGAGGTAACGAAGCCAGCTGGTGGACAGGTAAGCAGTTCGTGGGAAGGAGCGAGACGTGTCGAAATTTATACTCGCTCAGCATCGAAGCTGTAATTCAGGCCAGCCAAGAGGGACGACGACACATGTAGTCCTTGACGAGTGAGACAGTATATGCGCGCGCTGTCCACCTCGGCTCGAGGTGACAATACGACGATGGGCTGCAGTAGACACATTCGACGCCAAGGCACATGACTGGACTTTCGATGGTCAGCAATACGATGCACAGAGTTCGACCGTCGTGGTGAGAGCGACCAGCAGAGCTCGCGTAAGCTCCGCAGTCGCATGTGCGGGCGTCGACTTGGCCTTGGTGTCTCGCTCGGTGAGGTGGTTGGTCGTGTTTCTGGCCTGCCGAGTCGAGTCGATACTGCTAATGTTGCTCTACCACACCTGATGTCTTGGTCCCGTAGTAACCCACCATGTGCTACCCTCCAAGTCGTTTCAAGTGGGCAGGCACCGAGGTTGATTACAATGTTGCCTACACGCGCAATTGCTGGTCACTCGCTTAGGGCCACGATCTGGCTCTGATCGACAGAGGAGCCACATGCTGGCAGCAGATCCAAATGTGTCAACCCTCGTATGGCCTCACAGGCACGGCGTCACAAGCCTGGTGTGTGATGGTGCATGCGCACACACGAGCGACGACGTAAGGTGAGGTGACGTGCTCCAAAGCCACAACGTGTCGTGGTCGAGCTTCCGGCCACCCCACGAGCCGAAAGGTGAATGGTTGGGTACGGTATTCTTGCTTGTGTATGCAAGATGCAAGAGCCGATAATTCTCGTCGGCCGCCTCGGCAGGTGTCGGAGACGTTGAGAGTGGAATGCAAGATGACTGGCAGAATGGTCCGTCGCTGGCAGTGCCGAACCATGGAACAGGATGAGTCCAGTGATCGGATAGCGACTGAACGTCTAGAATGCGTTCCACGACCTTGCCTATTCTCGCCGGCGACGAGCATCCGCACAAGTGCTCTCCATGGTTGCTTTTACCCCGCCGTGCGGACTGCTCGCTGCCGTACAGCCATGTTGACGTGCCCTACTTGGCAGCACAGTCTTCTAGCTCCACAGTGAGGGAGTGCGCGGTCTAGAGGCGGGTGAGCACATCAGAGCTGCACGACGACGCAACAAAGAAATCTCTTTCTCTGCCCAGAACAACAGCAGACTGTTCTGCCGCCACGATAGGCACAACGTGCAGGGTGTGGAGATGGATAGCTATCGGTATCGATAGGTGGATAAGCAGCGAGCGCAAACTCTGAGCGTGCCCTGCCGCGCGGAAGGCTGCCGCCCAGTAGGAAAACGCCTGTTGTGCAGCAGGCCCATAAGTAATCTCCTGGGCGTGGTGAGCGCTTTTTGGTAATGCGACGAAGAGAGTCCAGAAGGACGTGGGGATGCGGAACAGTGGATTGAGTTGAGAAGCGAGCGAGTCGCAGTGAGAAGCCGGTCACGGTTACATCACCCTGACGCTCAACTTGATGCTCTACAGACGCTACGTCGCAAATCGGCGCACAGCAGGTTCGGGCTGGCAGTTGCTGGCAGCAGTGGAGCGGCGACACGGCCAATTGGGCGCTGGTTGAAGCAGAAATTGAGTGCCCACGGATCCACGCCATGCAAATGGTGGACCAGCTCTGACGATGTGCTGCTCTGTGCTCGTAGCATCACTTGTCCATCGAGTCTGCCACTTCCACGTGTGTCGTGGTTGACACGAGGTGACATTTTTGGCCTGCGTCTGAGTTGACGATGGTGAGGCGCCGACTTGCTGCTTCTGGCCTGTTTCGTTCTGCGTTTCGCTCAGCTTGCAGCCATCCCCTGGCAGGGCCGCACGCAAATTCGAGCGTTCCTGACGATCAGTGCAGCGCCGCGCAGCGATTCGTCAGATCCGGCTCTGGGCCGGCGCCCTTGCGGAAAGGTGAGACAGGTCAGCTTGCGCGGTGCCTGATGCTTGACCACATCGAGGCAGACGCTTGAGCGCCTATTTGCAGCGCAGTGAGCAAGAAACAACATGGCTCCGATGGTTTTCGGCTGTCGCACGCAACAATGGGTGAAAGTGCTCGATTTGACACTGCCCCCAGGGTCCTTTGGCATGTGCCATCTGCCGTAAAGCAGCGTGGGTGCCAGGCAGTCTCGAGCGCGACGGTGGATGACGGCGCCATTCTGTTGTTGAGTCTAGCCAAGGCAGCGCCGTTCCCTCAAAGGCAGCCGGCCCGAAGGCGTGGACGTGCAGCGCGGCCACGTTGGACGGGGGGCGCCCAGCGCGCTGCTAGGCGACATGGGGTGCAAGCGGCGTGATAGCGAGCGGAAGATGCGAGGTTGCCAGGGGGCCCACCGGAGACACACTAGGCGCACAAGTCTAAGTTGCTTTGCGCTCCACCGCGAAGCTTGCTCTTTTTCTCCACCACCCAACACATTCACTCATCTTTATAACCCGCTGCTTCCTGCTCTGTCCACTCTCTACAGGCTTGAGGTCTAGCACTTGTTCACTTTCATTTTCACCCACACTCCCTTTGAGATCCAGCATCTCTAGCAGTCATTACGACAACCACCAACAGTCTCTATCCACGCAACTGCAAGCCAGTTCACCAACAGACTCACTCTCTACCAATACCTGCTATCCAGCAATTTCCAGCTTAACCAGCAAATACACCACCGACAACATGAAGTACTCTCAGGTCCTCATTTCCGCCCTTTTCGGCTCCATGGTCGCTGCTGCTCCTTTCAAGCGCGATCTCGTCATCAAGACTGAGATTGCATACGAGACCGTAGTCGTCTACACCACCGTCTGGGATAGCACAGTCCCCGTCGCTGAGGCCACCACCACTGCTGGAGGCTACTTCTACGAGCAGCCCACTGAGGCCACTACTACCCCCGCTGTGACCTCTACTCCCGCCGCGACCTCTACTCCCGCCTACACTCCCACTCCGGAGCCCTCCAGCGTCTACACTCCTGCCGTTGTTGAGACTCCCGCTCCTTCCTCTACTGTTGTCGTTGTTACCTCCGCCGCGCCTGCTCCCAAGCCCGTCGAGACCTCATCTACTCCTGCCCCAGCTGCGCCAACAACTACTGAGGCTGCTTACACTCCCGCTCCTGTCTCCTCTGCTGCTCCCGCTGCTACCACCCCTGCTGCTGCCCCTGCCGCCCAGAAGGAGTCCACTGCCTCTTCCAGCACCGGCGAGAGCTTCACTGGCGTCGACCTGACCATCAACCCACTCACCGGCGCGCTCGGTGCCTGCGGCGAGCCCATGCACGCCACCGACTTCTACGTAGCTATCGCTGCCCCTGCTTGGGGTGCCTCCACCTACGACGTTCAGACCGGCAAGGCCACCAACAAGTGGTGCGGACAGAAGATCAAGATCGAGTACGGTGGCAAGTCTGTCGATGCCACCGTCATGGACATGTGCCCTGGCTGCTCCGGCCACGACCTCGACCTCTCTGACGCTGCTTGGGCTGCCATTGGCATGACCGAGTGGACTCGCGTCCAGGGTAGCTGGTCGATGGTCAACTAAGCGCCCTCTCCGCTACCTCTCCTCCTTTGCCAGCCTTTAGCACAGCTAGCCATGTGTAGCAAGACTACACCATGAATATACCCAAGATTTCGCTAGCGCAGGCTGGTCAGCGCTTTGCACGACACGTTACGTTATTGCCCTCCCATGTTTTGCATCAAGCGGATCAATCATCCGGAGACAAGAAAATTACCCAATGAGGTTTTGGTTCGGTTCGGTTCGCTCAGAACGTCGCTTCTACCATCTATATCTCATGTTGTATATGGGGTTTGGCTAGTCGTTAGAAGTCGACGGTTCTTTCACATATTCCTGTCTCTCCTCGACACACATTCCTTTCTCCTTCGTGTACACACAATTATCTAGGGTTGGTGTATGGATTGGATACCCATATACTTTGGACATTGAGACCCTGAGGCTCAATAGCAATCGTTTGAACAAAAAACAATCAAATCACATGGACAAACATTTTCTCCCCCCTTCGCAATATCCTTGTGCTACAACAACTCGTATAGCCCAAAATGATTTACGAATGCTATTTCTAGGCACAAGGGATTGCGATCGTCACCTGTCACTTCCAGACTGTGGCAGTGCTCGCATGTTCTCAGCTCCACATCCCTGAACCGTGCAGCCACATCCATGCGCAAGTCCCCATCATCAAAGCGCGTTGACGGTGCACCGACTCGTGGCCGTTAATTTAAAGAGCTGGATCACGTCATGCTCCCCACAGTGTTACGCGTGTAGGGCTCCAAAGCATCGACAGTCCACCGGTCGCATATCTATTCAGCCGAATCATCTCCACTGTGCATGCTCTGGCTGCGGTCTTTTAGATGCTTTGTTGTTGGTCTCAACGCTGCGAGGTGTTGGCGATGAAGCCGCGGTACGGTTTCACGTTCCAGCCAGCACGGCGCTTGGCAGGGGTCCTGACCCTTGGGATCGAAATGCGAGATTCTTTGTTGTTAGGATGTTACTCCGTGATCTTTTCGAAGGTGCGTTCCTGGAATAGGTAGTCCGGGTTTGCACGGTCTGGATGGATGGCTTTGTGGCGCAGGCAGACAGAGGCTGTGCAGATGGACAGTGCGGTACAGAGTCTTGTGCAACAACACGGCGAAGCTGGATCATATTGCAATGTGGATTGAGGGCGGTGCTGGAAGCTCTGTACTGAGCGTGGCCAGCTGAGGGGCAAGGCATACCGACAGTAGTAGGCATGCTTGATCTTACGAACTCCCAAGGTTCTGGACAACAGCTCCCTGACGCTCATTCTCACCAAGAGCAATAGCGTCTACTCGCTTTGTAAAGGTGCGTGTCCGCCTTATCTGTCACCGCGAGATACACCGTCTCTGAGCAACTCGAATGCTGGGGTCAGGACGATGCTAAGGTAACTGTGAAACTCCACGGACCATCATGTGCTTTCCATCCGCAGTATCTCAACGCATATTCTCAACCATCCGATCTGCATAGTAAGCTGCAAACCGGTGTGCATGCATACTAATGCAGGGGGGCTGGTTTCCCTCGATAACTGCATGTACCAACATAGTCTGCCTATTTTCAACTCATGTTCCCCTTCCCAAGTCATGAGGCTCTCAGTCATCGTGCTGTCAATTCACGTCATGTTAGCTGGCAAAGCTGCGATTGCTCCAGGTCAGGAGTGCGAAGCAGAGTGAACTGTCGAGTCGATGCATGAGATCAGGTGGTGTCGTATAGGGAAATCGTTCTGATAGATAAGAGTGGTCAAATACTTGCATCGAATGTACGTAAAACGAGCCGGAGAGCAGAGCTTTTAAGTATGAAGGCACAGCAGAGTGCAATATTGTAGGACCCAAACAGAACGATATGCTGTTCGTCGCTGGGCTTATCTCGTACTTCGCTGATAGCTTTGTTGTAAGTAATGATGTTATCACGAATGTTTATTCTGCCGTATGGCGATGTCATGTGTGGATGGACCCTTCAGTCTGGTCGAGTATGCGTCGTGGTGTCGATGATGCTCGCCCATTACCCGATACTTAACCCATTCTGTTCCCATGGTGCGAGAAATCAATATCAGCACTTCGCATGATCGACGACCCATCTCTCGAACAAGGACTGAAGCCGCGATTCTTGAATCTGGTTGGTACATCGTGGTCAGATCTCGGTGAATGGACGATTTAGGCCAATTTCATGGTGAGCTATAAGTACCCAGTGTACACAAGACTTGCCAGTACAACCAAATCATCTTTTCGCTATGAAACTTTCCATCGCTCTCATATCTGCCTTCGCAGCTGTTGTTCTGGCACTTCCTACGCCTAGTGCTGACTCTGAGGTGGCGCCTGAAGTCCGATGGGACTATGGCAGCTCCAACGAGAAGCGGGACGCAAGCAGACCTGTGCCTAGATGGGACTACGGTAGCACCGAAGACAAGAGAGATCATATTGACATCAACTGGAATTACGGCAAGAAGAAGGGTGAGTCGTGTCCGATACCCTCGTGATGCGTTTCGACTAACAAGCACGTCGCGCAGCCCGCTGGGACTACGGCAATACTGAAGACAAGAGAGATGTAGTCGGCACCGATTGGGATTACGGTAAACGCGACGTCGAAGAGAAGAGGGTGGCCTGGGACTATGGCAGTACTGAGGACAAGTAGCGAATCGGATTCCAATATGGAGTAGTTGATGTACCTATGCCATTAGCAATGTAGCAGAAGATAGAGACGAGGAGGAACCCAGTCAATGCAGTATAAACGCGAAAGAAGGCAGAACATTATGTCCTGAAAATACCCAACCATACCGTGCGTGTCGTTCTCATCGCGCTTTGGTCCACATCCGCAGCACCGATAGCACGGTAGCGGCGGAGCTCCTCTGCAACCGACTCAAAAGTCATCCTGCAGCGTCAGCAACTCGGTCAATATCGATCCACATCGCACTGCTGCTCCAAGTGTTCTCGAACCCCTCGTTGATCTCAACAACGGTACACCAGAAGCCACCACACTCCACCTCTTCCCTGCTCCAACCGCCCACCTCACCTGCCTAATGCGGTAACTTCCCACTCGCAAGCGCACGAACAATTTTCTCGCGTGCACTCGCGTGTAAACTTGCGTGCCAGATGCCCAACTGTGGATGTTGAAATGCACCGGGTAGCATGGTTATGGCCGTGCTAGCACAGCCGAGGCGAACATGTGAAATGGTGGTGACTGATGAGTTCGGGTGAGTGCCGGCGCCGGCGTCGGTGCCCGCGCCGGGTGAGTTACGGGAGAGCGGAGAAATGGAGATGGGCGTGCCCCTCAGAGATACTTTTGTCCGATGTCGTTTGAGCGTTATTCTATCTGACGTGATCTATTTTATGGTGTTGCAGTGGATTTCAAATAACGATGACGTTTGCAATTGGTGTGTTCTGGCGGGTGCATCTTGCATGTGCTGTGCACTGCAAACGTGCGTGATACCGGAATGAGTGTTGTGTGGTAGCATGTGGAATTTCTCAAAATTTGTTCTCAAACAGTAGTGTTCGTATCTCAGTATTGATGTTGATATCGACATCTCATGATAGTGTTGAGTGTAGTAATTCATTTCACCAAAGGATGCTCCTAAATCCCAGCCCAAAGCTTTTCCTAACAGTTCCTCATCGCAGATGTCGGTCTTGAAGGGTATAATACGCAAGCAGTGCAGTCCTTCTCGCTTTTGTGTTCAAGTCGTTCGCCCCAATGTCCACCGCTCGTCCTCTCTCGTTATCAATCGTCGATATCCTGACGCGTGGAATGTATGTGTAATGCTAACACGTCCTGGCGTGTCGTTCTCATCGCTCACGATACTGGTTTATCTATGCGAACATGCTGGCACCGCCGGACTCGATGGCATCGATCTCAGCCTGCGAGTAAACCGTCCGCTGGAACCGTGCGGGAAGCTCGGAACGGTCGAAGTAGAAGCCCTTGCCCGCCTCAACGGGGCCAAGGGAAGAACCAGGAGTGCTGCCGACGCCGCTGGAGAAGTCGCGAGACTGGTTCAAAGGGCCATGCTGCTGTGCTTTCTGGCGGTAGCTGGCGAAGGACTCAGGAAGCGAGTGGGTTGGGGAGGCTGGGTGTGCCTGAGGAGTGTGGTCGATGTCTACACATGTCTGTTAGCTTCTGATTCAGACGCGTTGAGCGATTTTTACATACGGCTGGGAGTGGTACGCTTGCCAAGGAAGCGGATCATGGGCTGGCGGCCAGCCTGGAGGACCTTGGTTGCGTTCATTGTGAGATGGATGAGGTGAGGCTGGTACGAGCCGAGGTCGGCAGTTGCAATAGCTTTGAGGTAGAGAAGATGGTGATTACAAATTGGTAGGTATAGATGACGGTACAGAGGTTGATGGCAACAGCTTGATCGAGAGAATGAAGAGAGCGTAGGCAGTGTTGGTGACGGTGGGGAGCCGGATGTGACGATGAAGCATAAATATTATCCACGTTCGCGGCGCGAGCTGCGATGCGCTAAACGCCGAAGACGCCATTTCTCCCACGTTCCGGCTCTCTCCACACATGCCTGCGCCCGGACAAGATCGTCTCACAATCGAACGACACACGCCGCCGTGCTCACACACATTGCTAAGCGATTTTGCACGGCACTGCGCAAAAGAGACATCCCGTTGCGCGGAGGAGCTCCACATTCTCGTGCCACAGTCACGATTCCTTGCCATTTTGAGCCGTCCAGGCCATAGCTTCTGCAGCCGCCGGACGCCATTTTCACTGATCTCTGCAAGCTGACCCCTCCCCGCCAATTACGTGCCACCGTTCCTTATCAACCCCACGATTGCTCACGGGAATTGCATATCGATTGTGTTGTGCCCGAGTGAGTGCGGCTCTTTCTTCCCGCTCTATTCCAACACACTCAATGCACGAGTTGCTTCTCTACGGCCAAGTGTCGGTCGCTCGCCATGATCAGGTCTTGAAAATTCTTGCGGGGTTTGCTGCCATGCAGCCCCGCCGCGTACTCCAGCGGCGCATCATCTATAAGCCTGAGCGCGAGCCTGAGGAGCCTGGCTCCCACTTGCGCCGCGGTGGGACTCAGAATGTTGCTGTGAAACAGAAGCAACAGAGCACGACGCCTACGCAGCTCTACTTCACCCACTTGGTGCAGATTCTTTCGGATGAGGACTTTGGGCGAGGTGACAGTAAAGCAAGTGACACCCTATCTGCAGATGTGGACTTTGAGGGTGGCGAAGAGCCACGATGGTCGACTCTGTTCGAGGACATACCAGACACTGGAGACAGAGGGGTCTCCATTCGCTTCACCAACAGTATCGATCTCATTGGAGGAGATCCTCATACCTTCATGACTACCTCAGGACCTAACCGGTAATCTTGTCCCTTGCGCCTCACTTGCATGTCTGACCGTGGGGTAGCTTCGTCACTGAGTACTATGTCGAAGGACACCGCTTTGTTCACGGTAACGTCGTCATCTTCCTGCACCGCATACTTCACGAGCCCGCCGTTCGAAATCTACAAACGAGACCCAAGGTCAACCCACCAGCGTTCGATGCTTTGCAACTGTTGGATCAGAGCGGCACCTATGTCCTCGAGGCAAAGGTGCGCGTGCAAGACTTCAAAGATGCGTCTGTGCTGGAGTTGGGTGTCAATGAGCTCAAGGCATTTCAGACTTCAATGGGAGGCTGTGTAGAACTGTCGTTACCTGACCGTCTCACTATGGACACGAGGGTCAAGTATAAGCTGGCACCAGGAGTCGTCACGAAGGCGCAACAAGCGCAGGCACAGGCCTTGCAGAATCTGTGATCAGTCTACTATGACGTACTATCATCCTCACGCTTTATCTCGAAACTTTGCGCTCGAAGGTTGTGCGGACTGGAACGATGCATACCTGAGGTCAATCGAGAGTCTCGAGCACGCAGAAGAGCTCCGTACTGCACAGTCAACATTGGACGCTGTCGTGGAAGCAGACCCGGCGCAGATTGCTTCGGTTATGTAGGGCTGGTCACATACTAAGAATGTGACGATGGGAACTCTCGGCACGACTCCAAGTGCGCAAAGGTGGAAGTTTCGAACTTTATGCAGACCAAGGCGTCAGAGTTGCACATCTAAAATAAAGCTTGTCAGGAGAGATCTCGAGTCCTTGACTTTATTAGCTGCACGTGGCTGACACTTTGAGCCATATTGCTGTCAATTAAGCTCCTGAGTACTCAAGCAATCTGATGCGCCTATTGCAGGTAGACTTTCCCTGGACATTGCGCCGGTAGATGCTCGAAGCTGAGTTGCCGACACGTGCATTCGTCAGTCGGCGAAGGGCTGCTAGATTGTGGTGAAGCGGCACTTGTGTCGTGAGTGCAGCACGTGCTAACGCGAAGCGTGTCTCGCGTCTCGTTTGCACAACCCGAACGGCAGCCTTGCGTGGTCAAGGAACGACAACAACGCCACATCGCCATCTCAGTACGCACTGCGCTTTCTTGGAAATCCAACGTGAACTGGGAAGTGCAAATATGTCCGAGAGATCAGGCGTGAGAAAACGACTAAGCGCCAGCGAAAAAGAAGTTTCTCCTCCGGCAAAGAGGCGGCAGCAATCTCACACCACAAGTGCGCAGCAACATGCCAGAGGCAGATCATGTCGCTAACGTAAGATATAGACAAAGCAGTCGCCAGCTTCTTCACGCCCATCTCAAAGAAAGAGCCCGAGAAGATGGCATGGCGAATCGTCAAAGACAGCTTGCTCGTTGGGCGCTACAATACTTCGGCTATATTTCAGTCGGCCAGTCAGGCAAGGCGGCGGATAGCAGCCTTTGACTTCGTACGTGTATCTGAAATTGCCAGCAGCCTCTCAATTCTGCATGCGACCCATTGCTAATGATAGCATTGCAGGACTCAACTTTAGTAACACCTGCATCAGGAAAGAAATTTGGCCGCGATGCGAGCGACTGGAAGTGGTGGCACAGCAGCGTTCCCGGCAAACTCAATCAGCTCTACGAGGAAGGGTGAGACAGCATGGACATATGCACGTCACGATATCTGTACTGACCTGGTCGTGTCGAACAGATACCTCCTTGCAGTGGTAAGCAATCAAGGTGGTATCAGCCTCAAGTCAGATCCGAAGACTGTCAAGTCTGATCAGAAGCGATTGGCGGACTTTAAAGGCAAAGTCTCAGCAGTTGTCAGCCAGCTGGACCTACCTATCACCGTATACGCGGCTACGGGCCGTGATGAGTACCGCAAACCACGAGTGGGGATCTGGCGGGAACTACTCGGCGATCACGACCTCAACATCATGGAAAGTGTTGACCTCGAGAACTCTTTCTTTGTTGGCGATGCCGGCGGGCGCGAGGCGGTGGCTGACATGACGGTGAAGGACCACTCATGTGTTGACAGGTATGCTGCAGCCCCCAAAGCATGCAGCAAGGGGGTGCATCGTGCTAAACATTCACCAGAGATTTTGCTGCCAACGTTGGTCTACCATTCTACACGCCAGAGGAGTACTTCCTGCAGCACCCGGTTCAGCCATTCGTGAGGAGCTTTGACCCAGCCACCTTCGGGAACAAGTTGGCTGAGAGCTCAACATCTGCAAGTACGTTGATAGCAACCACACGCGCAACATAGTGCTGTGAACAAATAGTCCAGGCACTGACTTGGGTGTAGATCCGGTCATTACGAAAACCGACTTTTTGGAAATTGTCCTACTCGTTGGCAGCCCGGGCGCTGGCAAGTCTTCGTTTTATTGGAAGTACTTCCAGCCACTTGGACATATTCGGGTAAACCAAGACATCCTCAAGACTGTAAGTGCTCAGACATCATTGACGCGCATGGCAGTGCGTGTTGTACTACCTCTCGGCATCTTGAGTAACATTATGAAACAGCGCGAGAAGTGCGTGAAAACTGCCACGGCGCTCATCGAAGAAGGAACAAGTGTGGTGGTTGGTATGTTCTTCCGGCACCCCACCTTGTCGACATGACTGCATATCAACGCGTATACTAAAGTCTTCTAGATAACACGAATGCCGATCAAGATGTTCGCGCCGTATGGGTGGATCTGGCAAAGAAACATTCAGTTCCCATTCGCTGCGTTCACTTTACAGCGTCGGCTAAGCTGTGCGAACACAACGACACCGTTCGCGCGTTGAATCTTGGTCAAGAAGTAGGTTTCTTAACATTGGCCACTAGGTCAGGTACCGGTCCAATGTGCCTGCCGGATGCCTGCTAGTGTCAATGGCATTGCGGAGAAATATCCCCGAGCTTCTATCGGTATTTGCTTGCAAACTATTGACATAATGACTAACTATGTTCAGACCAATCCCGAGAACAGGACGATGCTTCCAAAGCTGGCTTTCACGAGTTTCGCGTCAAGATTCCGTGCGCCAAAGCTTGAAGAGGGTTTCAAAGAGATCATCACGGTAGACTTCGAGGTAAGTGTTGTGCAACCGCAAACTAGATATTCAGCGCGTTGGTTGGCGTGTGGAATCTGTCGCTAACCGAGCCAAGTTGAACGGCTCCGATGCCCAAAAGGAGCTATGGAGTAAATATTGGATCTGAGTGGAGCATGCATAGCTCCATGATACCGAAGACCAGGATGATCCTGAGGTCAGAGGATTTCCTGGCGCGAACGCTTACGACGACTCGCTGCGCCCGGTATGGTTACAGCAGTTCGATTTTGCCAATTGGACGCCATTCTCTGCAGGGCAGTACGAGCTGCAGAGTAGCTGCAGGCTTGCTCGAAGCGAGCTCATGCTCGCAGCTCCAGCATTTCCGAGGTATTGAGTAGTCTCCGGCTATGTCAGCATCTTTACCACATCACGTCTTGTGAGCTAACGTTCCGCGGTACGTGCAATGCAGTGAAGTTGCAGCCAAAGCTGAGGTGCATGTACGTGACAGACAGTCGAACACAAATAGTAGATTGCGTAAGCCGGCAATTAGAGACATCCGAGATTTCCAAAAGACAACTCATCGAGCCGAGCAAATGCAACCAAGATTTGGTGTCACAAGCGTGTGAATACTCGGTTTGCACTTGTCCGGTGTAGTCTCTGTTATCGATAGCAAAGCGGTAGTGGTTGCCAGGTGTGCGTTTCTCGGACAGTCCATCTTCGCAAAAAGATCGGCGAGAGACTACCTCACAGAGGCCCACGTTGCATGTTCGAGACCGCCACGAGGAACGAGCCGTCTGTTCCATCATCTGAAGATCTCAACTGTCACTGTCGTCACTGACGGAGCGCATGCTGTTCACTGGTGGGTGTCGCATGAGAGCACGTGGCTGTTGAATTACCAAGCATTTTGTTATCTACACTGCTTTGCCGATTGCCGAGTTGCAAGTTTGCTGCCAACAAGCGGTGCGGGCGAGCACATGCTCACCGGCTGAATTTCATGCAAGTTGAGCGTTGCGTTCTCCCGCCCGTCTCTGCATGTTCGTGCAGGCATTTGCCGTGCCGCGGTCGCTTTATCAGGGCAGCGAGGAAGAAGGTCCGTTGGAGTGCTGTGACAGCGCCGGGCGATGGCCGACTTGAGACCGGTCCGACACGGCGAGCTTCTGTCGTCATGATCTGAGCTGCCAGCATGGTTCAGCCCACTGTACCCAAGCACCTGTTACCGAGCTCGGAATCGCGCACTAGCGACTCGATACAGTAAGGTACCGCCTAGCATCAGGGATTTTGGGTGAACTGCGATTCCACGCTTGGCACGAGTTTGGGTGTCGCGTGAATCAGCAGACTTGCACACTGTGGTTTTGAGTTGGAACCCCTGGCAACCTTTACAACGAGGTGTAAGCACTATTGCAGGAACCCGCTTGCAAGAGAGAAAAAGGAAAGGTTTGAGCATTTTCCCAAGCGGTGCGTTGGCTGCTGAGGTCATTGAGGCTTGGAGCATTGAGGAATCAGAGGTCACGAATAAAACCACACCAAGCCATAGCCAGTAAGCGCAGTTAGGCACTTTGCCAATCAGGTACTATCCAAAGGTTAGCGTTCCAACGAATCCTTCCGATTTGTTCTGGACACTGCTGGCTTTTCGCTGGGCTGAAAGTTCTTCCCAGCCTCCTTCAGGCACACCCGCACGATGTTGCAGGTTTCTTGTGAGACTCGCCGGTGTCACAGGAGTCAGGTGCCAGAGAGTTTGCGAAAAAGGGACACAATCTTGAATTAAGTCGACAAATAAGGGCATCCAGTGTTTGACTGCTTCACGGCTCTGACAGCGGGATGTTTTGTTTGTTTCTCAAGGTTTTGGCTTCCGCAGCCGGATCCGCCAGTTTGTCTCGACCAAGCGGGAAAACGACGGGAGGGAAACCTATGTCCACAGCCACCTGCAGCCAAATAGCGCCTGTCGATGTCATCGGTCGCAACGGACATGGGCGAGCGGAAAGCGGCCCAATCAAGATGAGTCTTGCAACCGCCGGTTGAACCAATCTTCATCCTTGCGCTGCCCCGTAGTCTGTCAGTTGAGCCACGGTTGCACGCACATGGGAAAACTGTCAGACACCACAGCGCTGGTAATACAGGCACCTCAGGTCGGCAAAGCAGTGGGAAAGCGCAGACTCAACACCTGCAAGTGGACGGCAAAGTTCGTGACAACAAAAAAAAGCGTTGACTTTGTGAAGACAACCACTGTTCCTGCATAGCTTCTCCACCTGCAAAAGCTTTTTCCATAGTCTCGTCAACAGCAGACCATAGAGTTCGCATGGGACCGGGGTAGTTTCAACGTCTCCGCCAACAACAGGCCTCACATTTAGTAGGTATCGGGAGGATGAAAACTCAGAGTGTCCAGGCCGGAAGATGTGCGGAGCAGGTGGACCAAGTGTCTGCTGCTGCAGCAACAAGCCCGCAAGTGCACGGCGATCCATGTTGACGCCCAAAGCAGCGGCGCGAATGCTGCAATCAAGCACAAAGCAGCGACGCCGATGCTTGAACTTTGCGAGGGAGCCCTGGGAGCTGCTTGCGCAGGGCGGTGGCAGGGCATCACCGGTGCTGTGTACCGGCGAGACGACTCATGACGGCCCGCACGAAACCGGGGAGGCAGAGTGAATGTGCCGCCAGTTGGCTAGACAAAGACGGGAATAGCAGCGGTCGAGGGTGTTGCTTTCTGGTGAGGGCTTGGCGTGCAGTTCCAGTGGGAAGGAGCTACCGCCGTGCGCCGCTGCCCACACACAAATCGTGCCCCATCCCCCGACTTTGGTCGCTGTCCAGCTTGCCCACGTCAGTCGTCGCTCTTTGCCAACTTGCACTCGCGTTATTGCTGCGCTGTCTCTCCCTCGAATCAACTGTGCGCTGGACTCTTGGATCACAAGCATACGAAACGCCCATCGTGAGTAGCCTATCCCAGCAGACCACTGCTCTCACGTGCCGTCCGTATTGGGTGCGCCAGCCGACGGGCGCTGACTTTACTAGGTCTTTTCGCAGCGTAAACAGGCCAAAAGGCACATACGTGGTCCTGCTTCGTGGCACCCTCCAAGGCTCTCCCCCAAACAATCCGCGACCGCCATTCTCTAGGAGATCAGAAACCGACCATCAGCCATACAGCACGAGGTTTACTCTTAAGCTGGTGATGGGATCCCAGTACCCATCGTCAAATCTCACGTCACGCTTCGGCACCCAAACATTAACATGCACGATCTCAAACCACTGATTCTCCCCAAACTCGTCGCTGCGCGCAAGTCGTCCAAAAGCTCATTCGACATGTCGGCCGAGCCCACATCTTCGGTCTACTCGTGCGCTGACTCTGGTTTCTACTCCGCTTCTGAGTGCTCCACGCCACCCACGCCAAGTCTCTACACACGAGGTCACTTCCGCTTCCCCAGCTCTGCGTCTTCGCTTTCATCGAGTCCACCAACTCACGAGATCGCTGAGGCACCCAATGCCTCTGGCAAGCTTCCAAAGCTGACCGAGGAACCTGTTGAGCAAGAGTACCACTACGGACCTGAAGACCCCCACCGCTGCTCATGTAGGTTCCATCAGTACTCTAATATGGTCGTAACAAGTACTCATGCATCCTTAGGCGACACTGAAACTGGCCATGAGACCAAATGTGAAATTGCCAGGGCATACGAATTCCAGGACGAGTACTTCCGCTCCGTAGATGCGGAGATCCGGATGGCCAAGCGTCGACGTTCACTGGAATCTTCAGCCAACAGCATCACCAACAAGATTGAACGCCGCTTCCCCTCTTTGTCGCGCAAGGTCAAGGAGCGTAAGAGGACCTCGTCAAGCTTCACTGGGGTATCACGCAGCGAGACACCATCTCGTGTCCCATCGACACGATCATCGTCTATCACCAGCTCCATTCGCCATGTCCAGTCCTTCGATGTCTCTCAACAATACTCCCAGGTCCCTACCCCTGCTCAAAGTCTGGAGCAGCTCAGCGAAAGCTCAGCACCCATGGAGATCGACGTCGTCAAAGCTAATGCCATCGACATCGACATCGACCCCGAGCAGGTCGACGCTGAGCGTTGCGCGACTACGCCTCTCCTGCCACCTCTGCTCATGTGCCGGGACGATCTGCCAACGTCGTCGCCACTTCAGTCGCCCACCATCGCCAATGCATTGCAGTCCTGCGTCCCGACTCCCACTGGTACTCCACCGGTCCGCGCTTACCCTACGCCTACGTTATCAGCCAAGCCTTCAATGGCATCCATCAAAACATCTCGTCCCGGATACACGGTATCTTCTGCCGATATCCCACCCATGATGTTGGCAGACCCTGATGACAAATGGACTAACCTTCTGGGCCACGCGAACTTTACCATCCTGCCGGAACCCTACGTCCCCGAGCGCTGCGACGCCGCATCTGTCCGCCAGCTTTTTACCGACTGGGAGTCAGCGCGCTGCAACTACGCAAAGCACCAAGTGCGCACCGCAGAGCACTATGGCGTCACCTCTAAGCACTACACGCTCACCGAGCGGAAGTGGGCAGAGATCGATGCCGAGTGGAAGAAAAACCACGAGATGGCCACCTCCATCCACGCTCAGGCGATTGGTCACCTCTCGCCAGTTGCGCCATTGTCACCTGTCGAGCCAGCTCCTCTCAGCAAATTGCCCACGCTCAACGATCCCAAGAGCGAAGGCAAGTTCCCCAAGCTCGGCGATGAAGACGTTGTCGGTCCCATGGTCCAGATCGCGTCACCAATGATGCTAAAGACCCCTTCGCGGAAGCGCGCGTTTTTCAAATTCCTTAGCGACCTGCTCCCTGGTTCTCTGCTCGGCCGTTCTTCGGCTGGCGTTCGGGACCACTAGACTCGCCGTCGCCACCATTCTACCTTGTGTATATTCTTGTGCAATTACAAACCATTGCGAGGCGTTCGCAGCATTAGCTGCTGCCATGGGTTTAACGACGTACGACCTGTATGACCATTTCACGGCCGAGCCATTCGCGCCACGCCCGATCCTTATCACGAATTTCCTTTGTTATCTTACGAATCTAGAGAGGTAAACTCCTTCACAGTACAATGGCGGGTATGTGTGTATCCCTTCAATGGGCTTTGTGGAGTTACAAGCGGGCTTGGATCAATCAGTCCTGTCAAAAAAAGCGTATCAAGATGTGTCACACGCTGCAAGGCTCTTCAGCCATTTGTTTTGCTTTCTTTTTCCTTTAGTCATATTCAAGAGACAGCTCTCTTGTCGACGGCTATACCCGATTGTTCCAGTCTGGGACTCATCGTGGCAAGCGCAGTCGTGGGTTATACGGTGGTTGTGCCAATACCCAAACGAGCATTATGCTCCTCTCCAATGTTTCGATGTATAACTCTAATGGGTGGACATGGGGCGGAGTCTGGCCATGGGACCTAATGAGCGGAGGTGGGACAGCTGGGCTTTTGTGTAGCTTGAGTATACAGGTGCAACGCACCTGGTCAACTCGGCCAAGAAGCGACAAGTGCAGTCGTAACAAACCATCAATTGAAATGTTTACTGCTGCTATCACCATCTGTGCCTGTTCCATGTCCAGTCTCTTGACACCATAGCCCTGCCTTGCTTTCGATACGGACCACGGAAACAACAATCGCAACCATAAGTTGCTTCCATCACATGGTGCACCTGTCACCCTCACAGTACACCTGCACAGCCTGTGCTCATCGTCTGTACGCCGTCATCCCGCATGCGAGTCTCGACGTCTCAACACTCTACCCACAACACTGTATCGGAGATAATACTCAACCCACCACAGACGGCCTGACAGACTCTAGAAGCTTGTTCGAGGGTGGCATGTCTCTCCACATTTGCTCTCCCAATCTGCACACATACATCTTCACTCCGAAAATATTCCCTAACGATCCCATGTCATTTGTCACAGTCTACAAGGCTGGACCGCGAAGAGCGGGGGTTGGTGAGATGGCACAAGGGCCTCGCTTGGCCGGTGACCGGCTTCTGGTACTACGATGCTGTACTGCATTGGGGTGACGGCAGATAAGCGTAATGCAGGTGTCGCTTTGCTGTGCACGTAGAGAATCGTTGTGCGACAATCGAAAGCGGGAAGATCGTCATTAGGGAGAGTCTGCAGTTGGGCTTTGCTGGAGCTGTATGCATTGTGACATCTAAGGTGCAATGTCTAGGCATGTGGCTAGAGAGGTGTGTCAAGATACTATACTTGGTGGTGATGGAAGAAGGCCCTTTTCTTGATGAGCTTGTATAATCTCAGCTCCTTCCAATACCTCGTTGCAGCCCTTGCGCACATTGCATTTACGCGTGGAAGGAGCAAAGCCAGTCATCGCATCTTGGGGTGCATCGATCTCGGGAACATCTTGCTTGCTGCTGTGCCGAGATGCGGGACGTGCTATTCCAGTCGCGGATTGCAGATAGTGTGGAGCAGTGCGGTTTGCGAACTGCCCGTAGTGTCAGGAGTTTTCGGCAATGCAGTCTCAGGTGATGCAGGTATGTCGTCTTCTAGCTCGTGCTGCGCTCCTATCAGCCTTCTACGTTGCTCACCGAAGCCACAGAATGGCTGCTGCAGAACACGCTCGTATATGTGTATACGTTCTCTAGCCGCATGCGTACATGGCACTTCTGACACCTGTCCAGTCGTTCTTGATATCCACCCATCCACCACGTCTCGATCTTAGACTCTACCAGATGCCCGGTTCACGCTTCAAATTGAACTCTTCCCACTCGCCTATTGTGTTTCTTGTGCCGCTCCTCACCCGCGGTCCCACAGCATCGCCCTACATGTCCTTACACAACCACCACAGCAGTCCAGCCCCCCACCAGACGCGCGCCTAGTCCTTCTTCGGAGCGACGAAACGAACTGTCTGCCTTCGGCTCCGCTGACCTGGATCATGGTCAGCAGTGGGTGGAGAAGAAGGCTGCTCACCCCGCCCACTACTCGACAGACTGCATGATGCTGTGTGACCTGCTGAAACACTGGAGCTGTAGGAAACCTCCAGGGTGGCATGCGAGCTAGTTAAGTATACCCTTGTCATATATTTTACTTTTCGCACTCCCGGAGGCGTTTGTGGATTCGTGGGTGCCGCGCAGATGGACGACGTGGGTCATGGGTTGTGACGCGTACGGAGAAAAGATGAAAAGAAATTTGCAGATGGATTGTTTGCAGTGTGGCTTGCAGATCAAGTCGAGGCATGGCTAATGGATCTGTTGGGCTTACGGTATATCGCGGCGATACATGTTCTCCACGGCGACGGGCTTCACCGTACAAGAGAGACGGTCATCGACCGAAGCTTTCTTAGAGACACAATTCTCTGCTGGTCAATACTGAGTGTTCCATGTCATCTTGGGCTTAAACGTCAGGATTTCTACCTCCCAGGTTTGTCTGCTTTTCGCACACCAGAATCATATTTTCAAGAGTATCATGCCGACAGTCTGAATGCCATGGCCATACTGATGAGGACGACCTACTCCGTCGTCCGGCCTCCGCTGTCTTCGAGTGCCATTTCTGGGATCTCGTCATGTCGAACAATGATCTCATGAGGACTTCAAGATCACACTTCTTGTTCATACCGATCTCCTGAGGACCGGTGATAGTCTCCCAGCTGCGTCGTGACAGCCCAATTCGAGAGACCGGAGCGGTGAAGTTGACGTCATGGCTTTCGCTCATTGTCAGTGTAGCCTTTGTATCGAGAGAGAGAAGTCCATGTCAAAGGCAGCTTCATCATTGCCTTACGGGATCTGAGCGCCCTCCATATGTTCAATAATGGCGGTGTTGTTACTCTGTTGAAGTCGCAGTATCTTCTACCCCGCTCGCTGCACCTTCCGCGTCGCATCACCATGACGGTCACCGCCTTCCCTAAGCTGGTAAACCGGGCATCGCCATATCTGCCTTAAACCCTCAACGCCATTCCTGGTTATCATTATCCTCGCTCCCATGCAACATGATCGCTTAAACAACCCTTTCTAGATCTTATGACGTGGATCGCAAGGCCTTAGCTGCTCGCAGACGAATGACGGCACTCAATGTGGGTCGAATGGCACGATAAGACCTGGGGTATGGGGGATGTGACTTGAACTCTGGGGAAGTGTGCGCGCTCGAGACGACAGGGCGTTGAACCATCGGCTATTCTGTCGGTAGACGATTGACATGATTATGCAGACCACTCTTCGTGTGCCGTACAAAAGGGACTGATCTCGTTGTTCGAACGCTGATTGACCTTTAACGTTCCTTCTGTCGCAACTCTATAGCCGGCAGCTCGATACAACAACTACAGATCCTGGCACGATACCTGGAACCGGGTCGAATCCAAATTGATTGCTAACCATGCCTCGCAAGTACCTCGGAGGCTCTGGCGAAAGGCTCACGGTGTGGATCTCAATCGCAGCGTCGACCGTCTTGATCTTTTACGGATATGACCAAGGCGTATTCGGCAACGTGATCATAGATGAGAACTTCCTCCATACGTTCGGCTATCCGTCTGCAAACATGCAGGGTACTTGAGGCCACGAGCTTGGATACAAATACAAGCTGACAGCATTGCAGGCGTAATGACTTCGATTTACAACATTGGTTGCTTCATCGGAGCAATGAGCACGATATGGACTGGCGATATACTCGGTCGTCCGCGCCAGATCCTACTCGGCTCAACAGTGATAGGAATCGGTGCAATTATCCAGACCTGCAGCTGGACCGTAGCTAGCATGATGGTTGGACGGATCATAGCTGGATTGGGAACTGGAATGAACACAGCGACAGCTGGCGTTTGGCAAGCAGAAACGAGCAAGATGAATAGCAGAGGCAAGCTAGTCATCATCCAGATGGGTACGAGCAATGTTCAAACCTATCCAGCACGCGACTGACAAGATCCCGTAGCAAACTGCATCACGGGCTTCAGCATCTCCAATTGGCTCACCCTTGGCTTCTCCTTTGCCCCTCGAGACATAGCATGGCGCTTCCCGCTCGCCTTCCAAATCTTCTTCACTTTCTGCATCTACGCCATGTGTCCTTTTCTCCCCGACTCGCCGCGCTTGCTGATCCGCAAAGGCAAGCACGAAGAAGCGCTCGAGGTGATCGCGGCCCTGGAGGGCCACGGCGCAACCCCGGAGTCGCCGGCGGTAATTACCCAGTACAATATCATCAAGGATATCCTCGATCGCGAGCACATGAACACGTATACGTGGTGGCAGCTACTCAGCGGGAAAGGTCCGAGTGGAGTGCTGAGACGCATGTGTCTTGGCGCGTGGATGCAGGCTATGAATCAGATCTCGGGTATCAATGTAAGCACATCCCTTCTAGTGATCGGATACGGTCATCTAAATTACGACTACAGGTTACTAGTTACTACATGAGCTACATCTTCATTAATTCGCTAGGCATATCCGAACTTCTGTCCCGAATCCTAGCCGCCGCCGGATCACTCGACTATCTCCTCTTTGCCTGCCTGGCCTACTTCGTCATCGAACGCTACGGACGGCGCAAAGTCATGATGTGTTCTGCAGCAGCTTGCTCAATCTGCTGGATCATGATCGCCGCAGCACAGGGTCAGACCGAAGCTGGTGGAGACTCGTACAAGCTCGGCATCGTAGCTGTGTCGTTCTTCTTCGTATTCTTCGCTAGCTTTGGTATGGGTGTGCTTGGTGTGCCGTGGTTATATCCTACCGAGTCAGCATATGTTCCTGAAAGACTGGTTAGAGTCAGCTAACACGCGTACAGGATCAACGCGCTTGAAATGCGGACCAAAGGCGCATCTCTCGCCATGTCGACGAACTGGATCTGCAACTATGCCGTTGTACAAGCGACACTTCCCGGTATTGAAAATCTGGGCTACAAGTTCTGGATCATCTGGGCTGTCATCTGTTTCTCGTTCATCCCGATTACATACTTCCTGTATCCCGAGACCGCCAATCGCACTTTGGAGGATATCGACCGCTTCTTTGAGACAAAGCCTGGCATTCTGATTCATAGGAATGAACTGGCAGTACAGCTGCATCGACCGGTGGAGTTTATCGAGGCTGATGCGCGAATTGCAGCAGATCAAGTGGGCAATGTGGACGAGGAGAAGAGGCGCAGTATTAGTACTGAACGTGTTGAGACGAAGGAAGCCGTGTAAGTGGTGGTAGCTGTGATAAACTGAGGTCTGAAGCACGTCATAGGCTGCTGAGATCCACTTGGGAGAGCTTCATTCTGAATGCAATTGCAGGTATTTGCAGCGAGACTTTTCTGAGTCTCCTACGAGAAAGTTTTAGAACCTACAATCTCTCTCTCATCCCATCCTGTCATCCCATACACATTCTACATCTCCCTTCTCATCGCCGTGCCAAACATTTCCCGGTACGTTCTTCGCCGCAACAGCAGCCCTGATCTGCGTCCCCAGCGCCGGTGGTCCAGACCCAACAACCTGCGTCCTACCCTCCTCAACCGTCTCCTCCATGAACGCATCAACCAGTGATCTAGCATCCGGCCGAGCGTTATCCAGATACATGATACTAAAGCCAGGACAGTCGCTGATCAGATCCTCGAGCTCCTCCGAGTAGAAACTGGACATCGTCGATACGGGAGACAGCTTCTCACCGACGTCATATTTCGGGATCTTCTCATCTGACCGTAGGCGGCGGGCAGGCGGTGGCCGGCGCGCAAGCATGCGCGCTTCGGGTCTGGTGACGAAGATCTGGATTCGGAAGTGTTTCTTGGTCTCAGCTCTTACTATGGGCACTTTTTCGAGCTTGTCGTTGTCATGTATGTGATTTGCTCCCGTGCGGATCTGATCGAGTTGTGATTTGAGGTATGCGAGTTCGGGGCCAATCCAGGTCAGGTTCTCAAGGTGCCGGACGGTCCAATTGAGCTCGATGTTGCGTACAGGCGATGTTTGGGCGAGCGCAGCTTTGATGACGGGAAGCGTGTATGTGACACCCGTGCCGCCAGATATCGCGAGAACATTTAACGCTTCGCTGTTGACGATTGAGCCGCCGTACGGGCCTTGCATGATGACTGATGTTGTGTCATCGCCAACAGGGTAGCGGTTCATAGCTGCCTTCGCAAGTTCGGCTAGCTTTTTAGTCTCACCATTGCAGGCGCGGATAATGTATGTGTGAGTTTGGACCGGAGACATAGTCGTTGGATTCGATGCCGGTGTGAAGGGGTGCGACTGCCAGATGCTAAGCGCAGGGAATGTGAGGTAGAAGTGCTGGCCGAGTTCCCATGGGTGCATCGCGTAGGTGAACGTCATACGGACGATCGTGCCTGTGGGGTCTTCGAGAACCTCCATCTTAGCAGGAATGGATCTGAACCCAAAACCGCTGCTTCCACTCTTGTAGCCGAAGTGAATGAGAGAGGTGCGGACGGTGCGAGCGACAAGATCGAGCCCCATGATGGCAAAAGAAGCGACCATCCAGCAGGAGAGCTGCTTCCAGTGGCCCCAGCAAGCTACGACCTTGTCAGTTATTGCAAAATTATTGCGTATAGGCTGTAGAGTACTTACCGCCAATGTACAATATCGCCACGATGAAGTGAGACTTGCGAAAGAATTCGTAGCCCGTCCAGCGGATTACAGGTCTCAAGCTGAAGACGAAAAGGAAGACGATGAAGGCCTGAGCCACGATGCCCCAGATCATATACTCTTGTTTGATCCAATTGATATAGACTTTTGGTTGGGGCTGGTACAAATATCCCTCAACTATGGTCCAGATGATACAGTGAATGAATGACTGAACAAGAATGATTCTACCCGTCCAGCGGTGCAGGAAGTTAAAACTCTGGTAAGGGATACCGGTAAGTATACTAAGCACTGAGTCGCGAGCGCATAACGCAATCGTCAAGGGTGTGAGAGCGAACGCGAATGCACCGAGGCGGTCAGCGAACCCACCAATGCCGCTGCGAGTGTTGAATAGGTTGGAGTCTTTGATCGGCGTTTTCCAACTCTTGTAGGTGATTCCTACCAGCCTAGATGCTAGTCAGCGCTGAGACTAAGACCAGCGGAAGTGATATGAACTCACGAAAAGACGATGAGATAGGCACAAAGGATGGCCAGGATGGAAACTTGCAGCCTTGTAGTGTACCTGAATATCTTCGAGCATTCAGGAGTAAGATACCGTCTGACAGCCGCGGACATGGATCGCACAAGGCGATAGCAGAGGCCCTGCTTAGCGCCATCTCCATTCCTCTTACGCAATTGTACGAATCGCGAGAACACTGTCGCAAGCAGTACAATTCCGAACACTGCCCACATGACAAAAGTGTAGACCATTGACTTTTCGTGATCCCCATATACCGAGTCGAGGTACTCGCAAGACCCAGCATCATTGGTGCATGGCAGATATCGAGTCGCATAGCCCCAGTAATGGATCGCGGTACCACTGCCGTCCTGAATGTGAGCCCGGGCGGCGAGCGCATGGTCGGTGGATTTGAAAATCATAGTAAAGAGGGGACGCAGCGCAGCTGCAAAGCAAATTCTAAAACGGACAGAAGGAGAGATGGATGTGTCAAAGTCCTGGAAACATCACGACTGCCACTTCAACCTTATGAGCAAGCACAGCAACGCCGAATATCCGCTGGTTCCGCAGGGCCAAGTCCTGGCGAGGGCCGACGACTTGTTAACTCCGCCGTTTTGATCCTTTCTGACCAGCAGTCAGCCGTATTGGATCTTGCCCAGATATCTGAGACAGTATGGTCTCCACTTCGACGGAGCCTGGTCAGTGGGTATGCAGGGAGCGACAGCAGAGCTACGCGGGACGAGCATGTCGAGCATTGATTTAAACAGCGGTGCAGTTACGCGAACACTTCCGGATGATGTAGTGACAGATGCTGCGTCAGTGACAAAAGCTGTCATGCTGCCATAGTCAGAGGACCTTCTTCTTCTAGGTCTGGTCGGTAGCACGGATTCAGTTTGAACAAGAGCGATTTGAAAGAGTGTGCTACAATCCACTGTCAAAGTGGGCAGCAGGAAGAAGGCATTTGTGCCGAGACTTCAACGTGCAACTGGAGGAATTTTCCAGAACAGCCATATGCCTGTCACCCGTCAAGACAATGTGTTGCAGAGACAAGACCTGCGCTCTCTCGTATATTCTTGGCCTATGTAACGGCAATTCGGGTGCGGCATTGCGGCGTTTACGTTTCTGCGTGGTTGTTGATGAGGTCAGGAGAGCGGTGGAGGTGCGAAGTGGAGATGAGTGGAGATGCCGACGGAAACGTGAAACAGGTTGAGTTGAAGGTGTCTGTGCGTCGGCAAGTAGCCGGAGGGCGGCAGCCATCCTCTATTCCACGAGCAAACCTCAAGGCCTTCCAGGACATTTCGACCAATCGAAATTAAAAATTGATCAAGTTGAAACGCTAGAGTGTACATCTACTATCATACATACAATTCAAGGCCACCGAAGAGCCTTAAAATGCTATTGTATGCCGTGAACGACATGAATATTCCAAGTCATGTCTATATGATGAAATAAACGCTGTACTGATAGAGCCAAACGCTCATGAACGCCGAAACCAATGATGAAGTAGAACTGCAAAGACCCTTCGACTTACGGATGTTCGTGTTGCGCTGCGCCCGTCGCCTCCTCAACTCGTTCCTGAATCAGATTAACCTGCTTGACCGGATGCAAGAGCACCGCAGGCAGGCACATGCGGCCCTCGCCAGCCATCTCCTCCTCCTCACCACCGTCGTTGTCGACATTGTATCCCATCCACCTCTTCCACAAGTTGGGGGCGAAACCGGCATTGTAGTACCATGTTGTGCCTTCGAAGTTGTGCTGTCTCTCGTCTGAGAAAACTGACAGTCTGGCACCACCGGATGCACCATTTCTGCCGTTGTTGAAGATAGCGGCAAGATACTGTGTGGGCCACTTGCGATCGATGAAGACGGGGTGAGGTGCGTAGACGGCTTTGAGACCATGGTGGAGGGCACACGACCCTGGCCACATTTCACTGAACATGGTGTGACGGAAATGAGACTGCTCGCGGTGCATGGTTTCGAGGAGGCGGCGTGACAGACGGCCTGATGTGTTGATAGCAGTTCGGCGTGGCGGTTGGCCGTTCGTCTTATTGTAACCAGTAGTGTCTTCGTTCAAAATCCAGTTCGTTCGGTCCGGGTCGAAGAGTGGATTGAACACTATGAGGTCGGCCGGCTCGCCTACACCCCACTCGTGCTTGTCTTCCATCAAGGTATGTGGCGGTATCACGTCCTCGTCGATCTCAATGTCAGGATAAGCCTGAGGCTTCTCCGGGCCCCAGATGTGCTTCTCAGGTTTCTGCAACTCGGGTTGAGCAACATGCGGATTCGGCGGAAGGTGGGATGACCAGGTGTTGGCTTTGCTATTGGTACCATGCTCGGTTTGTACACGCACCATGTGGGTGAAGTCTTCCCAGGAGCCATGAACAGATGGAACATAGAAGCGAGCGTTGCGTTCCCATAAACCCTTGCGAGGTTGTGCTGCAGTCCACTTGGAAACTTGCTCGAACAGATGGTAATAGTGACCTGTATACCGAACGTCCATCTCCCAGTGCCAGAAGTACTCGAACTCAGGGTGTTGATGCGCGAAGTAGGTGACAGGCATGAAGGTCGAACGGTAAGCACCGTGGACAGGCAGGCCGCGGTACATAGACTCTTCCACACCACCATAGATAAGACCCATTTGGCGTTCAGACCATAGCGTGCCCATACCAGCGAATTCTGCTGGCAGAGACTTAGTCAGTACCTCCTGATACACGTTTTCGTCGGCCCAAATCTGTTTGTTGTCATCCTTCACGTGGATGAGGAAGTGTACTTGATATTCGCCACCAGATGCGAGACTGAGTTCTGATATCATGGATCGCAGATACATCAGGTCCTCGTCGTCATATTCGTAGTCCCACCACGTGCGGATGAGGACAGCAGTTCGCGAGAGGACCTTGTTGTAGGAGGCTTTCGACTGTTGGCGAGCAGACTCGGTCTGATTGTCAGTCGGGGGGACAACGTCTAGTTGCCGCTTCTGCGTGGCCATAGCCTGAAAATCGTTGCTGCCGCGGGTCTTTGGTACCGTCTTGAAGCGTGCCTTGTTCTTCTCCAAGCAACGCCTAACAGCCTTGCCCCATTTGACTCTCCGGTAGTCAACTTCTGGGACAGCCTCCCACACCTTCTCGATACCCTCGCGGTCGCCTTCCATTCCAGCACCGGTGCCTCCCCTCCTCTTGCTGTAGCCCAGGCCATACGGTCCCAAGCGTCCGAAGCGCTCAAAACAAATGTCGTCTCTCAGGCCGAGCAGGTCATAACTTCCCATGACATTGTCAGGCATGCCCTTTGTTACCCCGTCGTAGACTCGTAGTCCAGGGACAGCGATTGTGTCCTTCTCGTCCAGATAGCACGTCTCCACCGGACCATACTCTTCCACATACTTCAAGCTGTTGTAGTCTGGGTATGGACTGAACGGTATCGAGTCCGGAATCTTTGCGCCATCGGCCCTCTTCTCCTTCGGCGCCTCCTGCCTCGTGTCCACTGGGGACAGCTCAGGGTCGATGTCCTCTTTTGTTGGATACTCTGATACGTTCTCTTTGCGGCTGACCAAGGTGCGTATCCCCCCATGGTAGCGCTTCAAGAAGGGAAAGCTCTTCCATACCGGCGGCGGAGGCTGTGACTTGTACAGCTTGAGCTCTGCGTTCCGTATCGAGTCCCAGCTACTGTGCAACAGAAACCATATGAACAAGACCAATGTGCTTGCTATAGCCAGTCCAAAGTACCTTGTGAAGGCGCGAGGATTTCGGTAGCTGTATGCGCTGACGGATGGTTTCGATGGCGTTTTTCGATGTGCGCGCGACGCCTTGCGGTTCGGAGCGAGAGGCCGGGCTTCGTGTGCATTGTTCGGATTGACCTCGTAGGCGCCGGAGGATGCTCGTGAAGAGTACGGACTCGATGCGCCAGAGGACGTGTAGCTGTCGTCATCGTCGCTATCGTAGCGTTTCTCATCGTTTAGCTCGCCGTCCTCGAGGTCGCGCTCGACCTGATTGTAGGCTTGCGGTTTCCGCTTGGCTACCGTGAGCTGCGGCCGGAAGCCCAGCATCCTGTATGGCTGCACGTGGTGCACGTCCTATCGCATTCGAGAGTGCCTTGTCTGTGTTGAGATGGCGCGAGGGTCACCTGGAATACGGGGCGCCGAGGATGACGTGAGTCGAGTTGAGTCGAGACGATGCTAGGGGGAAGGGGTCCAGAAGTAGGTCTCGCTACCAGAGACCATGGGCAGTCGTAACAATATGTGGAAGACAAAGTCGTTATGTCGTGAGATTGTACAGCTCCGCCGTCAAACTGTGGTTGAGCTCAGCGCAGCACCCAAACAAATGGCGTTGCTGGGGCGGCCACGGCAAGTGCGGCTCGTGTCAGTGCGCTCCGCACCCCACAGACGCCGCCACGACACCACTTGCGTGCAACGATGCTTGCAACAAGGTGTATCCGGCGAGCCTTCGGTTTGATGACAGTCACTTCGGATGAGTGTTCATGCTCAAGCTCAAGCCCAGACGAGGCCTATTGTGGGTCTGGAAGAAGTCGTCATGGAATACTCTATTGCATGTAGTCATTGCTTCCGTAATGTCGGATCGACACAAGGCTGTGCCGAGACTACCACCCACATTGCGGAATTTTTATGATAAGATGGCTGTTGACACGCGGGACTAACATCTCTAGAGTCTCGCGCTCCAGCAGAGCATGAGTCCCACTTCGCACAAGGACGCAATATGTTGCGATGACCTCATAAGGATCTAGTTCTTCTGGCACGCCCGGCAGTCAGCCAGGTCAGCTTCGGTACCGCATGGAGTCATGGAAACCGTAGCTATTCAGGGTCTCAGGTCTACAACAAGGCTTTTGTGGCAGCCAACGGTGTATATATCTTCCCAGTCGGTCATTTCGTGCTCATCTGACCCCAACGATTGGACAGTTCTCCTTCATCCCATGAGTGAGCAAAGACGACTCGATCTCTTGGACGACAACAGCGTATCAGGACTAGAACACTGCGGAGCTTTCATCCTGATTTTCTCCGTCCCGCAACTACACCGACAATATAGATCCTGGGTATGATGTATGCTATTTCTGGCTCGATGGCTTGACGCTTGAGGTGGTCGAGAATGGACAGTCTGACAGCGGTCGCTGCTTTCAGACTCTCGATCAGATATGCTCAAGCGACCTCACAACTCTCACGATACAGGCTGCCTCGGAGCTTGACCCGGGACAAACATATACACGCAATAGTGACTCCAGCGTGCTTCCATATCGCTGCACTCGGATTGCTAGCCGTCTGACGCCCGGGTTTCCTGCCTCGTGCGAGCCCTTCTTCGATAAGTCGAAAGCCGTAGACCGGGTGAACAGGCAAAATGCCACAAGTTTGGGGACATGATCGGGACCAGACTCGCTGCTTGATCGGTCTGTCTGCCGGCTGAACAACTCTTATAGTGCTCGAAGGATCGATCAGAGCTGGGGGCATTGAAGGATTCACCGGAGTTGCCGGTGCATCTGTATCCGTGAGGCTAAAGAGGCACGCTGTTTGCAACTGTCCATTGCGATTTGTTGCCAACGAATCGAGCTGAAAATCAGTTGCACCTCCTCGCGTTGCCTGTGCTGCTCTCCCAATCACGATACTCAGCAGGCAGGTGCACCACGCCCATCAAAGGCAACGAAAAGGGTTCAAGATAACAAGTTGGTTCGCCAAACAGCCTACCAAGTCTCATTAGTTTTGTGAGAACCAAGTTCACATGGCTAATGATGCCTTTTGAGGCCAGTACCTTGACGAAGTCCGGGATCTTGTCGTTGGCGCGCTGGAATCGCTCGCTGGAGGAGGAGATCGGGGGTTCGCCGCCACAGCAGGTACTCGATAGCTGTAGGAAAGCATGTGTTCTAAGGTGTGAGGTACCTGGGGTGATTCGTAGTTGCTGTTGTTGTTGTACAGCATCAACTTCGGATTGTGGTTCTCCGTACTGCCGTTCAGCTGCTACGCAACAAGGCATTTCTTGGCTAAGTCCAACAAGCTCGAAGGATAATGAGCGTGATATTCTCAGTGGCCCAGAAAGCGTTCGCTACTCATGATGAGTCGAATGCAGTCTTGCGGGGCGACAGGAGTCACCCAGATCAGAGCTTAGCGTGCGTTCACAACCGAGACGCTACCGTAGGGACGACCAGCTGCAAGTCAGCACTTGGGCCTCCACTGCGATCGACCAAATGCAGTATACGGCTCACTGTTTCCCCTCTCTCAAAATCAAACTCAATCTCACCCTTTGCTCTACTACAATCTCCGTCGACCATCCAAAATGAAAGACTCAGGACCCTTCATCTTCTATGACATCGCGTCGCCCATTGAGCCACGCTCATATGCACCAAACCCTTCAAAAGGCCGTTTAGCGTTGTCTTTCAAAGGCGTACCGTTCGAGACCACCTTTGTCGAGATCACCGATATCAGTAAGGTCCGCAAGGGTCTTGACTGCCCCGCTACTCGCACGTTCGACGATGGTGCGGTACCTCACATCTTGGTGGCATCCGATGCTGAATTTTGAACACAGGCTCCGATTACTACACACTACCCATGCTACAAGCCCCCTCAGGCGAGGTAATCGGCGACTCATTTGATATTGCCAACTACCTCGAGGACACCTTCCCAGACTCAGGCAGCCGTCTCTTTCCCCAGAACTCGACACGCACGGGACTCGACTACGAGAGCCCACAGAAAGACACCACCATAATGATTCCGATAACTACCAATAAAGGTAAGAATAATCAGGACTACGCCCGCTTCAACTGGCACGTCGATGTGACCTTCACTCAACACGTGCTCCTCGTCGCGTACTACATGCCCTTCAATCCCGCGACAGAAGAAGCTACGAGAGAATGCTTCCTCAAGCGCGCGAAGATGGATTCCTGGGAGCAATTTAAAGTCGAGGGCGAGATGAGGGAGGGTATCAAGGCGTCGTTCAAGGAGTCACTTACCTCGCTTGCTAAGCTGTTCACGGTGAATGAGGATGGGCCGTTTCTTGAGGGCAACGAAGCAAACTACGCGGACCTGATTGTGGGAGGATGGCTTAATATGTTCTCAGAGTGTATGCCGTCGGAGGAGTGGAAGGACTTCAGGACGTGGCATGGTGGGGTTTTCGCGAGACTGCATGATGCCCTGCATGAAAATTACTATGTCTGCAAATAGAGCAGATGCGAATTTTCGAGATCAAATCATTAGATCTCTGGAAGTTCCAGTCAATTCGAAAGAAAATCATACGGACTGGTGAAGTGCTTACAATGTCTCCACGAATATGTGGATTGATAGCATCTCGAGCCCCGCCTACGCGTTGAGGAGCTTCTCGATCCATGCAGCCCGCTTCGACACATCGTCAACACTGATCCAACGTTAAAGCTTATGCTCGCTCACTGAAACCTATCACAGTCCAATTAAATAGCCTAGCTTACGATTCTATTTTATCTAATATATCTCCTAATGTGCAAGGGGGAAGGTTTGGTGGTCATGATGTCGTAGTGTGAATAGTCGAACGTCGCTGACCGGCTCTGTTGCATGCAGGGTTGGGATGCAATGCTGCTTGGTAAATGAGTGAGTTTGTAAGCTCATGAGGACATGTGATGTTGCGATATCGTATAAGTGACAGCCCAGTTCTTGATGCCAGCAATTTGGTCCCTGGAAAATTGCAAGATCGCAAACTCTACTCCAAGAGCTGCTCGACAAAGTGTTCCATTGGTCACATCTAGGCGCACATACTCTTCCTACTCAGGTAGGTGGGCCGACGATGGGACAAATACCCTTGCTGCAGTATGGAACGGCCTCGAAGTCGAACAGCGATAAGAACGCGGTTACGCGTGTAGTCGTCGTAGCGAGAGCGCAACTCATGCTGACAATCACGCAGATTCCGGAGTGACAACGTGTCTCGTGACCCGACAGGAAGGAGTGGACTGATGTGGGAAAGGAGGCCTGAAGTGACGACACATGTGAGTACGCATACCACAATGAAACCCCATCAGGGTCGCAGAAACGACGAAGTGCATCACTGACAAGTGGAAGTATACGACTCAACGTTTGGTATTGATCAGGATGTATTAAGATGCAGTTTGTTGTGAACGCCCGCGCTGAAGGAAGGGATATCTGTCGAATGTATGCTAAAGCTTTTCAGAACGTCCCTAAACCTTGGGCTCCTCATCGCTAGCACGCTCGCTGGTCTTCTGGTGAAGAATCGGTGCACCAGTGATGCTCTCGTTACCCATGTCCCAGTCCTGTGCGAGGTCCTCGAGGGTTCTCCTCTTGGTCTCGGGGATGAGAAGGGTGGTGAAAATACCAGCGAACATGAAAGCAGAGAAGATCTGCATGACGTGGTTGAGCCATGGGTTGGCGTTGGTCTTTGTAGCACCACGGGTACGCAGAGGAGAAATGGCACCCTGAGCGATGATGGAACCGATCTTACCGGATCCGGCAGAGATACCGTGGGAAGTAGAACGGTAGCGGGTAGGGAAGCACTCGCCGGGAACGATGAATGTGGTGGTGTTGGGACCCCAGTTGAAGAAGAGCTGGATGAGGACGTAGATGGCCAACATGGCGTGGCCACTGAGGTGGTGGTAGGCGAAACCCCAGATGAGGAAGAGGATAGTGAGCATGATGAAACCGACGAGCTGGAGGATCTTACGACCGACAGTGTCGATGGTTGCAACAGCCAACCAGTATCCAGGAATGGCACCAGCGCAGATGAGAATGCAGTTACCAGCGGCCAAGTTGTAAAGCTTGTGGTAGACAGTGCTGCCGCCACCATAACCAATAGCCTGGAGGACAGTAGAGGAGTTCAGACCGAGACCGTAGAAAGCGACATCGAGCAGCAGCCACGACATGGCGGTTCCGAAGAGAATCTTGCCGTTCCTAAGCTTGCCGTAGAAGCGGAAAAAGTCACCGAACGAGGCCTTGGGAATCTCAAGTTGAGCGACGGAAGCTTGGGGGGTGGTGGCCGCAGTGATCGCATCCACATCACCCTCGCCCTTCTTGCCGGAAACGTAGTGAGCGACGTCAGCACCGGCTTTCTCGATGTCGCGAGCAACATCAAAGGTGTAACGGGGAGTCTCGGGGATGGTGAGGCGGAAGTAGAGAGCGCAGACGGCAGGAACGATACCAATACCGATCAGAGCGCGCCACATCTGGTCGACGGCAACGCGGCACTCGCCGGTGCAGGTAGCGTAAGAAGAAGCCTTCTCAAGCTTGGACTTGAAGCCAGCGGTCAAGCAAACCATGACGACGGCACCACCGAGCTGACCAAAACCCTGCATAGCGAAGACAGCGCCCATCATAGCACCTCTCCACTTGGTGGTAGCGAACTCAGATGTGATGATGGAAGAAAGTGGGTAGTCACCGCCGATTCCTGTTTTCTGTCAGATTGGGTCAAACCATAGCAGAGTCGATCAACTCACCAATACCCATAAGTACACGCCAGAAGATGATGAGACCGACGATAGATGTTCCAGGACCGGGGCCCACGAGTGACTGAGCAAGAGTTGCGGCGATGATGAGAATCAGCTCCAGACCGTACATCTTCTTACGACCGACGATATCAGCGAGGGCGCCGAAGCCAACCTGACCAATGACGGTACCAGCTGAAGTTGAGAGTTTGATGGCAGTGTCCTGAGTCGTAAGGAGCACGCCCTTGTTGTCCTGCTTGTAGACGATACCCAGCATAATGGTCAAGAGAGAGACACAGAAGATATCATAGCTGTCGGTGAAGAAACCAGTTCCTGCGACGAGAATGGCACGAACGTGGTACCAGCCGAAAGGCGCCTTGTCGATTTCAGCGAGGGCGAGACGACGACGCTCGTTGGGCTGGAAGCTGTTAGATGATGTCTCGTCGCTCTGAGCAAGAGGAGGCTCACGTCTTCGATGTGCGCGAAGTCATTGACCGTGTTGTGGAACGCGCTGTTCCCTCCTGCTGTCTTGATGGCCATTGTGAAGGAGTGAAGCTTCGCCGAGCCTGTACCAAGGTGTTCAAGGAGTTGAACGAGGCTTGACTTCGGAAGCGGCGGTTGACCCTGGGCTGGGCTCTGAAGCTGGGCATAAGCACAAGCTATATACCGAGAAGGCAAGCTTCTGGGGTGGCATGGTGAGTTGCTTGGCGAGTGAAGGAGCCTATAACCTCGGCCAATGAGGGCATGTCACACGAGCACGCAGTCATGATTGCAATGGGCGAGACCGACTGGCCGGTCTCTTGGAGGCCTACTCTGCAAACGATTTCTCCCTGTTGCAAGTCCAGGGGCGCCACAATGCTTGTTAGTCGCGGAGCTGTCAACCTCGCTCGTCCCAAAGAACAAGCGTCCGTGTGCAGTATTGAGCCCTGGCCAATAAGCACCCCGTGTGGAGAAACGTGGGGCTTGGCAACACCTTGAACCTTGAACGTCGCCGCTGATACGCCGCGAAGCTTTTCTCGATCCTCCGACGATGCTTGTGAAGGCTCGCCAGAACGCGGCATCATAGGTATTGACCGCGTGGCGTGTATGCACACCGTGGGTCTCCTCCCACACTACCAATATTGGTCCTGGTCGGGGTTGACGATGAGGTTCCCGCCTCTCCCACGGTGGACCCTGATGCGCTCCCAGGTCGCTGCCTGCATGGTTAGGAACGACCTCGGGGGGATACCGGTATGTAACTACATATTGAGAGACTTGCCAATGCGCTGCAATTCGAGGAATCGAGGACTGGCCGCGAATTAAGCCGCGCAGATCAGACTTCGTACGCTCGTACCCGACACTCGAGGCCCAACGGTCACAGTACACTCCACTCCGCCTGCCTAGAGTGTGGGATCTCGCTTCAGCCAGCTACTATTATTGGGCTCAGTTTGGATTTTGTTCTGCTCCTTCTGTGTCCACTATGTATGGGACCTCACAGGATCAGACCATCGTTACATTCGAGAGCTGTACACTCCCGCAATGACGAACAGTAAACAATGTGCCTTGCTTCATTTCATCCTCGACATAAGCTCGAGTTATTAGACAAATTTCCCGGATATATTCTCTCGTCCTGCATGCGTTCCACTTGGGGCTCCGGTGGAGTAGCGCATCTGGTATGGTAAGCTAGCTTGGCGCGAGGTCCCGCCTGCAGGTCTTCGGTAGAATGATCCAAACAAGGGATTCGATCTCGCGGCTTATGTTGACACCAGCCCAGGCCCTATAATGATCCCACTAATGACATCTTCTCGGACGCCAGAGAGTCGGGTTATCGCCAGCAGCGACCGAGGATTTGCTTTTCGAAAGGCTGTCGACGATCGTTGGATACTGCTCCCGCACACTACAAAAAACATCACACTTCAGCGTGGCGCTTACTGCACGGCTGAACCACTCACATCTCAAGATTCCTGCACGCTGAGCTCCAGATTCGAATGCAAGTCATTACGCCAACTATGCAAAAAGCTGGCCATCCACGAGGCTCACGCATCGGCCTGCTTCTGACCGCATATCTGGGCCCATCTGCACCCATGTCGTATCTCGCCCCTGGATCCGATCAGAACGTGGTCTGCATGTTGTGGGTCAGAGTACAGCGTCGGCAAAAGAGCGAGCATCAAAGTATCACGGTACTTGTGCGGCCAATAACGGTACTACATCTCATGCCACATTGGGCTCGGCAGACGCGGCAGAGCAGGCGTCAAGCAACAAAACGATCCGGTCGATTCCGATGGCATACATTCGCTGGATCCAACACTGAACACGTAGAGATTCTGCCGAAAGCACGTTGGTAAAAAAAATGATGTGCCGGCAGTGGAAATGGTGAGCCCTAGTTGAAGTCGAGTGGCTAAAGGAGGTCCCAGTGCGGCTTGAGAGAGGCTGCGATTTTGCAAAGACTGAAAGAACTCACGACTTCCAACATCTTTCGACTTCCAACAAGCCTCTCTGTCTGACTCGAAGGCTCGGACTATGCGACCAGACTACCTTTTCGATGGACAAGAGCGATCAGGACAGGAGAATGTCGTGCTCGCACATGCAAAAGAAGTGAAGAAAGCATGCTGCATCGCCCCCTGTGCGGTCAGCCCGTCACTACGTCAACCGAATTAAAGACGGACGAAAGCCAAGTGCACCGGCTCTTATTGATCAAAACTCAGAAATCTACGAATCTACAGTTGGCCCTCCTACGCCTTCTTGTACGTCGGCTGCAGCGGCGGGTCCGCGTTCTGAACCAGCATCTGCACATACTCGTCGAACCACGCACCAGCAGCAGGCGCACCGTCCAGGCCACAGCGCCCATCGCTCTCGCCACCGGGCTTGATCCACACCAGACTATCCACGAGCGTGTTGTTCGTCTTGGTCGTCGGCAACGGCCCAAACCCACTGGGCGCGATATTGCACCACTCGCCCCACTCCTCTCGCGCACCGAGCAGCGCAACACGGCCCTGGTCCACGATGAACTTGCTCGGCAGCCCTTGGGCCTCGAGGTACGGCGCAAGCGCAGACGCATAGTGAGACTCGTCCCACGAGGGCGAGTACTCGGTGTAGTTCTCACGCACGCGGGCGTTGAAGGCGTTGTAGTTGCTCACGTTTGTCGCGAAGCCGCGGATCTTGGCCTTGGAGGTGATCTTCTGCGCCAGCGCGACGACTTTGGCGAACACGGCCGCCGTCGGCGCCAGGTTGTCGGCCCATCCCAGCCACCCGCCGTGCGCGGCGTCGACGTACAGGTGCAGATTGGGCGCCTGCAGCTTGGCGATGGCGTACGCGATGCCCTGCTCGTAGAAGGGCGTGGCCTTTGCGCAGGCCGCGATGGCCTGGTTGGTGACTGCGTTGCCGAGGGAGTCGGGTTCGAGGACGATGGCAAAGGTCAGGTCCTTTGCTTCCTTGACGAGCTTGGCATACTTGTCTACGAACTGGGATTTGTAGAGTCGGAAGCCGTCGTTGTCGAGGGCCAGTTCGCCCGCGGACTCGCCGGCCGAGCAGTCGCGGTCGGGCAGGTTGTAGAGCACGAGGCCGACGATCATGTCATTGCCCTTCTTCTTCTGCGCGCGCGCTTCGGCAATGGTGGTTGTGATGTTGGACAGGTGGGCGCGAGAAGTGACCCATGTGAAGGTGGAGATTTTCTGCTGCACGGTGCGGGTGCGGGCGGCGTTGAGCGTGTCGTTCCTGGCCTCAAAGGCGGCGATGGTCTGGTCGAGCTTCTTGCCGTAGCTCTGGACGACGTGGCGGTCCTTGCCTTGGAAGGGGTTGGGCTCGGACGTGGGCGCGGCAGAGACGACGCTGCCGACGACGGTGGCGGTGGCCAGGAGGAGGGAGGTGAGGTGGACCATGATGCTCGACCTTTACGCTTGACTTTTGACTTGACTGACTTGGAGCTGTAGGCTGGAGAGCATCGCATCGAGGTGCCCCGACTTATATACACTCGACCTGGGCATCTACTCTCCCGAGAGCCTGCTCTTGGTGCTGGTGTACATGGCTGCCACCAGGGCTTGCCTCTTCGAGCACAATCGACGGTGCTGGCGGCCCGTTGCAGAGTGCGGGATACAGCCCAAGACCCACGCGCCGAGATGAAGCTCAGCATGTGACCAGGATCTGGAGACGTCGAGGGAGGTGCAGCCAATAGGGCTATGCGCCTCGCGCCACATCTTTCCAGCACGATGACTTGATGTGTTTGCGCATTGTTCCTGTATTGTTCCTGTATTGTTCTCGCATTGTTACCGCATTGTTCCTGTATTGTTCCTGTATTGTTCCTGTATTGTTCTCGCATTGTTACCGCATTGTTCTCGCATTGTTCTCTGCAGCTATATTTCTGCTTCCGCGCCGCTGCATTGAAGACGAGAAGCATCTTGGTCCCTCGGAAGCATTTCGCCAGAAGTATTATCGTGAAGGCGTCAGAGTTCCGAAGCAGGCAAATCGTGTTCCGAGGAGGATCGAAGGGACCTCGCGTGCCTAGGTGTTGAGATTGGGCCAAGCCCCGTCAACCGGGCTGCTCGAAACACTTGGGCGCGTGTTAATCTGTGGAGCGATTTAGCCGCCTTGTGCCCCGGGGAGGTAGAGCCTCAACTCCGCTTCTGAATTGGTAGATACGTGGAGGCACGTGTATGTCGTGTCACAGTGTAAAGCACAGTAAGCATCCAGTGCTTGCAGGCAGATGCATGTCATTGGTTCAGGTCCCGAGCTACAATATACAGCACAGTAGGCACCCAGTGGTGCTGACATGTAGACGTGCATGCATTTAATCTACAGCATATTCCATGCATGTTCTAGCGCCGTGTTGAAAACGGCGCGACCTGACCGTCGGTTGGGTTCAATCTGTACCTGCATGCAGAGTGCCTGAGGCGCCCGTGTCCTAATCGATGAGGCGAGCTTGCAGCAGAGCTGCTATGCTACCTGACACGCGCGTCGACGCAACTTGTGGGTTGTGTTTGGTGTGACTCGTTCGACGACGTTGCTTCCTCGGTGCAAGAAGAGGGGATGGATGTGTTGCCAGCACGTAGCCAGCGCTCATGGATATATCTAGACGAACACACAACATCAGTACATATAGTCGTAGCCAGCATTTGTGGATACATCTACACAAACACACAATACTAGTACACATAGTTGTAGCCAGCAATTGTGGATACATCTACACAAACACACAACATCAGTACACATAGTTGTAGCCAGCATTTGTGGATACATCTACACAAACACACAACATCAGTACACATAGTCGTAGCCAGCATTTGTGGATACATCTACACAAACACACAATATCAGTACACATAGTCAACCCCCCCTCATGCATGCGCGGGAGCGCCGGCTCTCGACGCTGCTGTCCCTGGCGCGATGGCGGCCTGGCTGTCGAGCTCTGTGACGGCATCGTCATACTCGGCGGTGGTCAGATCGGAGACGCCCGCGTCCTCGTTCTGCGGGCCAGAGAACATCTGGGCGCGCATGCTCGCCTCCTCCTCAATCTGCTGGTTGGCCCAGGCCTTCCAGCTCTCCCAGGCCTTGTCCTCGAGCTCGACGCCGACCTCGAGCGGGCCCTTGCCGAAGTAGGCGCCCACGTGAATGGCCTCCTCCCTCGCGATGCGAGTGCGGATCTCGTTCAGGTGGCGGTGGTGGTAGAACTCGCGGCGGGCCTGGTCGTATGCGGCGGCCTTGGTTATGCGTCTGTTCTGCATGAGCCACATCTGGCGCTGGACGACACTGCAACATATCAGCAGACGCAGACTACCGCCATTCCTGTCTGGCGCACCTCTCGCCGTCCAGCTGTTTCCCCCGCTGCTGGATCTTGGACCAGTCGTAGCCCTTGGCGTCGTTCCCCGAGTCCTCGACGACCAGTCTTGGCCGCGCCAGCTCCCACGGGTGGTCGCCGAAGAAGTCTGAGCGCAGCCTGTCTTCCGGGTACACAATGGGCAGCGGCTTGAACAGCCTGCTGGCCTTCTTCGCGCCCTTGACCTTTGGGGCCTGCAGGACCGGGCGGGCGAGCGTCTCGCCCGCGGGAATGTCGCCGACAATGTCGTACCACTGCGGCAGGGTCGCGGTGCGCTTCGCGTCGAAGAGGGCCTTTGCGGTCGACCGCACGCGCAGGGGAGCGAGGCTGTAGCGGCCCATGGCGGGCGACGGGGGCGTGGAGCGGCGACTGTCCGAGTGCCAGGCGCGCCTGCTGCAGTCAGTCCGTGGCTGTGCGAGGCGACGAGAGAGCGGTCGGCCGGGCGAGGGTGCAGACGGGCGGGCGAGGGTGCAGACGGGCAGGCGAGGGTGCAGGCGGGCGGGCGAGGGTGCAGGCGGGCGGGCGAGTGGTGGTGCGGTCCCGTTGGGGCTCCCGTCGAGGTTCGACATGATCTCCATCTACCAGTACAATGCCAAGACGCCTGAAATCTTTCGGCGACGCGCTCTCCTCCGCGCGCCCCATGCCCGCCGTCACGCCCGTTCGCTCTCAGTGCAGTCCTCCCAATCTGATGGAGTCGCCGTAGCCAATCGCACCCATGGAACCTGCCCGCAGCCGCTGTCCGTAACCACGATGCCCGAAATCTCATGTCCCTCCTCCGTACCCTCGACCGGACCTCCGCAGTCTCACAACACCACGCGCCCTTTCTCTCCTCCCTCTGCTCCCTCTCCTCCCTCTCCTCCCTCTCCTCCCCCCCCTTCCTCCCCTTCCTGTACCCCGCCCTCCAGCCAACGAACGCGTCCCAACGCCGCTTTGCCCACGCGGCAACAAGCCATGTCTCGCCCACCAAGGCTCCCACCGGCGACCCCATGGAAGCGCTGTTCGTCCGCGCCCTCGTGCGCGCCGGCTCCTGCTCGTCACACGCACGGCGGGTGCACACCTTGCACAGTGCTGCCCCCCCACCGCCGCAAGACAAGACGCGGCGGAGAAACGTCGCAGAAGACGCCCAACAACACGCCCGGCGAGGCTTCAAGACAAAGACGGCCCGCAAGGGGCCCTTGACCAGGGTGGGGCAGTTTGCAAAGAAAGAGCTCAAGGCCATGGTCGACTACTACGGCATCGAGCTGGACACGCGGCCCGAGGACGACGAGCTGGTAGACGATGGAGGGCCGCTGGTTTGGAATGTGGGCGACAGCCACGAGCCATGGCCGCTGCGAGAGGCCACCGACTGGTTCCACATACGGCGCCTCAAGAAGCTACTCAAGGACGACGAATCGCCCAACGAAGACGTCTTCGACACGTACAGGAAACTGCCCTCGCCAGGCGTCGTCTACCTCGATACCGACACGATTCGAGGCCTTCTGCACCACCTGTCGATTGTCGAACGCCCCACTCCCCCGGACATGCAGCGCTTCATGTCGGTGCTCGACGATATGAAACGCGCCCACATACACATCAATCAGGCCGAGTGGACCACTGCTATCCACTTCGCCGGTCGCTGCATGGGCCCAGTGTCTGCCGAGGAGCTGGCCTCCGCCTTGAGCCTGTGGCGCGACATGGAGCACCGAGCTGGGGTCAAAGGCGGCTTCGTGACGCTAAACGTCCTCTTCGACATTGCAGTCAAGGCCGGGAAATACACGCTGGCTGACACCTTCCTCAAGGAGCTGCGGGCACGTAACCTCAAGCTGCACCGGCACTTTCGAGTCTCGTTGTTGTACTACCACGGCGTGCTGCGGAACGGCACTGCCGTGAGGCAGACGTATCAAGACCTAGTCGACGCCGGCGATATCGTAGACACTGCAGTCATGAACGCTGTCGTCGCTGCTCTTTTCCGCGCCGGCGAGCCCGCAGCCGCAGAACACGTCTTTGAGCGCATGAAGAAGCTGCACGCGGCCAAAGACGTCCCTGCGCCAGGCCACAGGTTTTTCATGAACCACTGGCGAGACCGACGTGCAGTAGGCCTGCATTTCACCCACCAGGCTCGATCGCTCAAGAAGGCCGGGAACCAAGAGCTGCTGCAAGAGCTCCAGGACTATGCGCCCATTGCACCCAACTCGCGGACCTATGCGCTCCTCATCCGCCACCATTCCACAGTCAGCGGCGACATTGACCGCGTGAACGAGCTGCTCATGGAAGCGCGCAGCTACTCCGTCCCCATCGAGGGCACCACCTTCATCGTCATGTTCCACGGCTTCGCCTCTTTTGGCGGCGTGCGGTACTCGTCCTGGACAGCCGACAAGCTGGAGCGACTGTGGTCGCAGTTCCTGCAGGCCATTGCGAACAAGACGGACCGGACCTGGCTCTCCGCCTTGGCCGTTATTGCCGCTTTGAAGGCGTTCAAGCGCTGCACAGATCTCGATCGCACGCTCGCCGCATGGGAGGAGATCCGGCCCAGCTGGCAGCCCAACGAGCAGGAGCTGGAGAGCGTCATGCAAGAGCTGCGGAGGATTGACGTTAAGCCTGGCTTCTTCAGCAAGAACGTTGGAACGCGACGATGAGTGTATGGGTGTGTAATATATGACTAGATTAGACGAGTATTGTGCGCAACATGTGACTAGACTGGATGAGTATTGCAATACAATAACTGAGTGTGCAAGACCGAATATCAAATCTTCGCCTTCAGCTTCGACGCCTGCTTGTGCAACTTCAACGCCTCTCTGACCCCCAAGTCAATCAGCACATCTTCCGACCCACCAGGTACCGTGTAGCTAGGCACGGCGCGGTAAAACGCCTCGATCCTCGCACCCTGCCCCGTCTTTGTCAAGCCCAGTCCGCCCATGATCTTCCTACATTCTGTCAGCATCGCTCTCGTCTCGGATCAGGAACATGACTCACAAACACTCCTCCGCAACATACTTGCACACCATCCCACTCTCGACCTTGAGCAGCGCCGTCGTACCACCCAGCAACCGCGCGCCATCAGCATCGTCCAGGTTCTCCAGCTCGTACACAATCTGCTCCGTCCACGCCTGCAGGCTCTCCACCATGCGGCCGCAGTTGCCAAACTTGTTCCGCACAACCGGCTGCTCAATGAGCGTCTTATCAAACGCCTCGCGCTTGAGCGCCCAGCTGAACGCGTCCTCGAGCGCAACGCGACAGCCCCGGATCGCCTGGAACGCAATCCACAAGCGCTCGTGGTTGAAGTTGACCATGGTCTGCTTGAAGCCCTCGCCCTCGCGCCCGATCAGGTACGCAGCGGGGACCCGCACGTCCTCGAACGTCACGTACGTGGTTGCGCTCAGCGGGCCCGCGACCACCTCGAGCTTGCGCGTCCGCACGCCCTCGGACCGCGGGATAAGCAGCATGCTCAGCCCGCCTGCCCCGGGGCCGCCCGTGCGCACAAGCGTCATAAAGTAGTCGCTGAACATGCCGTTGGTGATCCACTTCTTGCTGCCGTTGACGACGTAGTGGGACCCGTCGGGCGCGCGCTCAGCCGTGGTTTTGACATTGCGCACATCGCTGCCGGCATCGGGCTCAGTAACAGCAAGACAGATGCGCTTCTCCCCGCTCAGGATCTCGGGGAAGATGTCGCGCGCCAGCTCCCGAGAGGCGAATTTCTGCAGCGGCGGCGCCCCGACCACAAGCCCGATGAATAGGCTCGCGATCGGCCCCGCGCGCACCAGCTCGTCCCAGAGGATCAGGTCGTGGAACCCGTCCCAGTCCGCGGCTTTGATGCCCGCTGCGATCGGGTAGTGCGCGTACTCGGGTGGGATTGTCTTGCCGAAGGCGATGGGCACGAGAAGACCGGCGGCGGCGCATTTGCCGTATATGGCTGGGTCGATGGCGCCGGCTTGCACCCAGTCTTCGGTGTAGGGCGCGATGTTCTGGGCTTGTTAGGGATTGGGGTTTGTGGAGTGTGTTGATTGGATCTATTGCGTTTCGTGGCGTAATAGAGTAACAGGCCATGTAGGATGTAGGGAAAATGGTGTAGGAAACGATGGAAAGATGGTCTAAGCAAGGACAGCTCGTATTTGCTGGAGAGCAAAGCTACGTCTTGTGCTGGATCAATTGCTCACTCGAGAGCACAACGTTCGTTCGGATCGACGTACCTCATCACACCATGTTCGAACGTAGTCGCGCAGCTTTCGGTGGCTCTCCTTGTAGTATGGTGATGGGCGTCCGGCGTACCTGCTAGCTTCAGCTCGCTGCTCTGGAAAGGTCAATAGCATGAAAGCCGTGAGTAGTCGCACCAGCTTGGTTCAGCCCACGGCAAGCTGCTTCCAAACGCTTCTAAGAGCTGGCTGGCAGGCTTGTCGTCTACGATCCTGGTAGTACTGTGCGCCATGATGACTGTCGATCTCAGGAATGAGGGTCAGAGGATCACGAACAGGATAGCAGCTGGCGTTTGATATATTTGGAGGCTATATGGTTGTAAAGTCGAGTTACCAAACCCGCTGTTCGACACGGTTGGTCGTTGGACATGCAGCTGACGGGCCGAGGCTGTCCCCGCTTTCTGCTTTCGCATCTCTGCCGGCAATTTTCGGTCAGATCATCCAACCTTGTCGCATGAAAGCTTACGGGTCTGGGACATTGTTGAAGAGATCATGGGTGTCGCTTGACGTAGCCATACTGTGCCTCCCAGGCATGTCAATAAGACCCGTGTTTGCACAGTTGACAACAATCAATTAAGTGGGGCCCAGCGACATCGGGTTGACTTGATTAATTACCTGCTCGAGCCTAGCAGTGACCCACACAGGTGTGGTTCTTACCTTGTTGGGTAAGCGCGTGAATGTGAGGTCGGAATTGACTTGACCATTGGCAAGGCTGCATGTCTGTGCAGGAAGCGCAACTGTGCCACAGGGGCACAAGCTGACGGTAACGACCTGCACAATGCAGGAGGAACGGTAGGACTTCACCTCTCAGCTCCTGTCGCTATGCTGCTCACGAGCGCGTCCACAAGAGAGCTGCAGCTTCGACTTTGCCGAGTCCAGACATGACTTCCAGACGACTCGTCGCCTCAACCGCCGCCTTTGGATACTCAACCGCCACCTTCACGCAAAAAAGTCACAACCCCGCGTGAGCCAAGCGGCACCGGGGCACATCACTACGCAGCGGAAGCATAACGCCTACCTATTTCGACACGTCATTTCGAAGAAATACTGCAGTCGAGTTTTGGGTGCCCACCCCTGATATCGCTGCTACATTGGCTGTCTTAATTGTCCAACTTGTATCTAGCCCAAGTCCGTTTGAGATACCTCAACAGTGAGTAATGACTTCCGTCTAGTCGTTCGGGCTTGAGAGCTGTCGAAACGCAAATTCAGCTTCTGTCGTAAGAGAGGGTTCGTGGAAAATATCCGGATCCGAACAGCAAAGAGAAGGACGCGATCAACGTTGCGAGCATCGTTTCAAGACAGCAGCATCTACCCAGATCTTCAGATTGTGGGAACTCCAAAGCAATCACATACCCACCATCCAGGGCATGCATGCCATAGGTGGAGGACGCGGACTTTGCGCTGCGTCGTTTCAAGGCTAGTTATGACGGCACTTCACCTACAGTCTTCTTCAAGACGAAATCGAAGACAAATCGCAGGGACCGCCCCTCTCCCGGGCCGATAACTATATTGTGTCAGGGGGTGAAATCGTCTCTGTCTTGCGGCAGATCGCTGGAAAGCAGCTTTATCAATTTGAGTAGGACGAGCACAACGCTGCTGCTGGTATTATTCTTAAACACGTCGACGACCCTGTTTCAATTAGACTAGGTATGCCACCACAGGGCGCTGCTAAAGGATGCCTGCCCCTCTGAACTTCATCCAAACAAACATCAGCCGAACTGAACTCCATCGGAGTACCTAGTGGAGGCCCAGCAGCCAGGAAAATTCCTAGCAGGGACGAGCGATTTCAAGACGGAGTTGGCGCAGGGCGGCCCTGCCAGACTAGAATCCTTCTTCGCGCAACACTGCTAGATCCCTTTCCACCAATCCTGAGAAGCGTTTCGTCACGTTCGGAAGAGCCTGCTTGCTGCTTTCGAGATGGAACGTGCAAGCTGGGCGACGTTAGCTGCTCAGGCTTAAATGATTCATGTTCACGTCCAGCGCAATAAAAAGAGGTAGAACACAGGCATTGGGCCCATGTAGGACTTCCAATCTTCGACGGCTAACTTGGATTGAAGAGCTGCATGCACTGCATACCGGTATCAAAGGGAAACTTGTGCACAGCCAGTCGGCAGATTTCGAAATGATAAGCAGCACTTCTCAACTGAGCGCAGGTATTGCAGAGTAGTGAGCGAGCGCGCCTCGATTCATATCTGCAGCGCCTCGATTCATGATCGCAGCGCCTCGATTCATGATCGCAGCGCCTCGATTCATGACTGTATGTATCCCGTGATTCGTAACCGTATGTATCCCGTGATTCGTAACCGTGTCCCTCGAGTCGTGACTGTATCCCTCGATTCGTGGTTGTAGCGCCTCGCCCGATGCAGGATACAGTGTTGCGCTCATTGTAGCCCCTATTACAATTGGATAGCCGCAGACAATTCGTCAATGGACAGCAATCGGCTACCGTAACCCCAGGAAGTCAATATCGCGATATGTGCTCTTCAAGTACATCAGCCACTGCCCCATGGGACTCGGGTGTCGTTTCCCCACCCTCTCGATTTTGATGTCGGTGATCGACCTGCTTGAAGGGTAGGTAGGTATTGCGACATTCCAAAATGATAGCTGTCATTCTCGCCAAGGCATTGGCGCCGGTGGCACTTTGAGGCTCATGAGACAACGGCAAGTTGCCAAGAGACCTCGTGGCGAATCGTGAGCGCAGACAGATTTGCATTCGGCTTATCGCAGGCCAACGCTTACCTTCTTCCGGACTCCACGCGGCCTCGTGGCCTTTGAATTCTGAAACAATCCAGCAAAAGCGCAATCGCGGGGATGTCGTGCGATCAATCCTGCGCAATCGCAGGGGGCTGCATGGTTTGCATGATGAAGATAGGCAGAATAGGACCAGCTCCTTCAGATCTTCATGGAAATCTCGATAATCACCGGAGTGCGTGCTGTCTAACACCGCGTCTTACCAGTCTGAGCAGAGGATCTGGAGAATTGACCGCTGGGCCTTACAGTAGTTCTCCACTTCTCCGCCAGGCTCGCGAATTGGAAGGCAAGCCTCGAAAACCCCTCCCCTGCTGAGGTGCAATACAGATCCTGCGTCGTCATGGATCCCGATGGGGATGCCCACAAGTGTCAAGCGACAGTGGTGGCTGGTTGGCCGATGTTTTCCTCCCGTTGCAACCCGTTGGACGACCTCGTAGGAACTCTTTCACAACGTTCGCAAAGATATGCAATCACCGACAGCTTTGCAAAAAATTGCAATTAATTGAGGATGCAGCACAGCGAAGAAAGACCGACACTCGGCGTGTTCTGGGATCAAGGCTTTCGACAGTTTCGTGTAGGTATCCGCTCGAGGCTCTGCCACCAGCGCACAGGAGTGAGGTTCGTGCAGTCTCGCACAGCGAATTACAATGCCAGCCGTGACCTGATAGGAGATGAGCCTTGTCAATAACGGCACGGACATCCATTACAAGTTTCAAAAAGGCAAGGGGCACGAGCGTCTCTAGCCCCTGCGGCGGAGCGCTGCTCCACGCACCAACGTCCTTCATGGAGAAGGACCGCACAATAATCAGGAAGGCGATGGCAGGATCAATCCACACACCCGGCACACCGGGCCTACCGTCTCGGAAATCTCAGTGCGGGCATCCTTACCAACGGGGCGGACTTGGTCAACAAATCTTCAGGACGTACAATACCGACTTTAAACCTCTGCATCTTAGCCAGATTTTGATACGTTCACAAGCCATGTTCTGCAAGCCTACACATAAGAATGAACTCAAGTTGACCCTAAGTTTGTAGTGAAAGAAGGTAGCAGAGAGGTTCTGGTATGCTTTGCTAGGACCCTATAGGCAGCCTTCTTGATTAGGTAGCGAGGGTGTCCATAGGGATGCACTGAGGGTGACCTAAGGCCCCGTGCACACTACGCACCTTTCCCTTTCACATAGTCACACGTTACGCTAGCACCCGCGAAGAACATTCTGCTGTAGGTAATATGTCTCCAGCTTCGCCTAGCTCTAAACAAGATAGGTGCATTATTCGGACCTACTGTCCGGTGTCTAGCTCTTGATAGACTTTCGGAATGATTCAAACGAGTGGGACCAACGGGCCCGTCACGAACCGCATCCAGCAGGTTGGACGAAGGGTTACCCTGCCAGCCTTAAAGAGGCACGCTGCGAAGCTGCAGCCAGATCGCGCGCCACAATATTGTCTTTTCTTCTCCATCCAGACGGCTGCTACTCCGCGCTCAACGCTCTTAACTGAGATGTCAGCTCAGTCGAGTTGGGATGCGTTGCTGGCTGAAGCAATTCAGAAGGCTCCTGATCCGCATGAGCCTCTTCCATATCTCAACCGTCCAGCTACTATATACGGGTGGACAATTTCATTCCTAGTACGTTTCGCATCTTGATGGATCAAACCTTGTTTTTTTACTAAACTGGCAGGTTGTGACCTGGTTCGCATTCTCCTTTCGACTGTGGGTGCGAATCAGAGTTGTACGAGAACCAGGCTGGGACGACGTACTCGTCGCTGTGGCAGCGGTATGATTATCATCTCGAAATAGGACGTTTAGTAGATGCTAACACATGGTTCAGATCCTCAACACAGTAGCTTCAATTTCTGTCTGTATCTGTGAGTCCAAGTTGCGTTGACTGTTTCGTGAATTGACGACTGATTTTGAACACAGCTATCCATTATGGCCTCGGTCAACACATGTTGTACCTTGGTGAGAAGAAGCTGGGAGCTTACTTCATCGTGAGTCTTCCCATTGACTTTGCCCCAACCCGCTGCTGACGAGTACAGTCATTTTACATCGAGCACAGCATTTACCTTACCGAGACCGCCATCATCAAAGTGTCACTCCTGCTACAATATCTCCGCATCTTCAAAGCTGGCCGGATGAGATGGCTTTGCTTGGCCCTTTTGGTCGTGATCAGCCTCTGGGGATTGGCCTTCAGTATCCTGGGATGGTTCCCCTGCGCTCCCGTCCGTGCGTACTGGAATCGTACCGGCAACTTCGTGTGCTATGGCTATGGCTTCCGTGATCGCGAAAGCTTCGCTGCTTTGTTTCAGGCCCACAGTGCCTCAAACTTGTTCTTCGATATCGCAGTTTTTGCCACACCCCTGGTCCTGTTCCGTACACCAAACTTAAAGTTCAAGAACCTACTGGCTCTAGGTGGCGTATTTGCAGTTGGGACATTGTGAGTACCAGATCCTCCTTATGGCTCTAAATATGCTAATCGAAACAGTGTCATTCTGATATCAGTATGGCGCTTGAAATCGATCGTGCAACACCGTGCTGCTCTGGTGCCTTACCCTGACTTCACCTGGTGGACACCAGTCAGCATCATCCTAGCCTGCCTCGAAATTGACCTGGCTATTATATGCGCATCAATACCCATCTTCTGGCCCGTTCTCCAGAAGTCGTTCTCTGCAATCTTCGTCAGCCACGAGATTGAAGTTGTAGAGACCCGGATCAAGGACCACGGCTTAGCATACGAACTAGAGCATACGCAGACCAGAGGCCACCACAGCATGACGAGCGGTAGTGGCACCTCGACACACGAGTTGACGCATGATCCGGAAGATGGTTACAAGGAACCGTATTCTGTCGGTGTTGACCCTCTTGGTGAGGAAGCACAAAGTGGACAGGGCTTGCAAACCAACATCAACAGCGAGCCTAAGAGGAAGTGGGACATGTAGGGAATTTATTATTGCAAGATGTCATTATACGCAAAAGTGAAACCTGCCACGGCAAGAAGTGTTCCTAGTGACTGAGGCTGTGTTGGGGCTAAAGACAAATACGGCCCTAATCTCTTTACAATCCCGAGCTCGATCGCACCGCCTCACGCACAACCCAAGTCCGAGCTTCGGATTTTACTGTTCATTCAGCACTGACCAACCTCCGGTGTAGTAGCATCAGTACCACACTACCATGGCTAAGACTAGCTCCAGAATGCGCCTGCCGGAAGAGACCACTGTGCACGCAAGGAACCAGGTCCGCACCTTGTACAGATTGCTGCAATCGCATGTCACTTCCTGCTCGTGTAGCTAAGCACGCGATGTTCTGGTCCTGAAGTCGGCCTCATCAACAAGTAATACCTGTGCCATGCTGCTCTCTCACTTGCAGACAGATTTCACATTTCTTGACCCTCTCTTTATTCCATCCAGCTTGTCATGTCGCAACTGATACCCACGGGCCTTCAGATCCCACCTGGCATGGATGCTCGGCAGTTCTTGCTCTCCCTACCCGCACTTGGTCTAGATCATATACCTCAAGGAGCTGACACCACGATGACGGCCGAAGGTCCGGACCAGATATGGTTCCTCGTTGCTGCGATTGTTTGCATTGCAATCCCGGGGCTCTTCCTGATGTTGCGAGTATATACGAGACTTGTGATCGTACGATGCTTGGAGCCCGCGGATTGTAAGTACAACCACAGAGAGCTTCATACCAGTGCTGATTGACTACAGACTTCTTGTTCCTAGCTTTTGTAAGACGACTCTACAATTTCCTAATCTTTCCTCGCTGACACTGAACAGCCTTTGATCGTGACTGAAATCGCGGTGGGATATCACATGGTGACATGGGGTGCAGGAGTGCATCAATGGCAGATCACCCTGGACCAATTGTTCAACCAGCTTTATGTATGTCGACCATGTCAAGCCTTTTGCATCCCACTGACATGACAATGGTGGGCCAACATCGGCCAGATCATCTACTGCCCGCTAAGCTTTGCCGTCAAGATGGCCATCCTCATGCAGTACCTCCGACTGTTTGCGCCTTTACGTAGCGACAACAAGTTCATGTGGTATGGGGCGTGGGCAACAATTGTCGCAACGTTCGTTGTCTACACCTTCTTCACGTTTTGGACGATGTTTTACTGCAAGCCTCGACGGATGATATGGGATAAGCTCACGCCAGGCGGAAAATGCCATGATGTGAACCACATCATCCTGAGCCAGGGCGCCTTCAACATGGCGTCCGATTTTGTAATTCTCTTCTTGCCTACCTTATCGCTGTGGCAATTGAACGTGCCGCTGGCTCGTAAGGTGTTCATCACATCGCTCTTTGCAACCGGGCTTATGTGAGTCAAGCCGGAGCCTATAGGTAAACAAAAGCTGACATGGAATCTAGAGCATGTATTGCTTCGGCGATGCGCATTTGGTTCACCCTCAACATTTCCGCCTCCCTAGCTGAGGCTGACGTGTCTTGGAACGGCCTCTTTATTGGAATTTGGACAGCACTCGAAGTGTCTCTTGTCTTTGTCGTGGCATGCACACTCTGTCTGCCGAAGCTAATTCAAGCGAAGGGCAAGAAGTTTCGAGTAGCGTTGTCGTACGTCTCTACCCCTTTCTCTGCCATACTAGGCATTGTCCGAAGGAAGACAGGGCATATAGAACTCGAGCCAAGCACCCCACAGAGTGTAGGGCAACATGTACGAAACTCCTCCTGGGAAGACATCGAGCTTGATGATAATAGCCCAAAATCTTCCGAGGGGTGGGAGTATACGCGCTGGCAAGAAGAGGTCGATGCTCGTTCAAATTGTACATCAAGACCGCTTGACCGACCATCCAGTGCTGCAAGTAGAAGCAGCCACTCGCATCGAAGCGCCCAGAGACACTCGAATCACTTCCTGGATGGGTCCCAGCAGCAGTCGCTCCACACTCCAGAGCTCTCGAAGCAGCAGCAACCGTGGAAGACTGCCTACAGCAAAGGGTACGCACTGTGAGAATTATGACATCCACGTCACTTTCGCTCCACTTGTGGCCTCCTCACCAAGTCCAGCACTTCGCCCAATTTGGGGAAACAATGATTACCTCAGCCATACTGAACTCTCCTTGTTTGGCAAAGCGCGATTAAAGCGTCCATCCTCTCGGTACAGAGTGTGCCCTGGATTACGACACGGCGCAAATCGGTTCGCTCGCTGGCAGTCGTTGTTCCCAGGATCGTCCACATCGACACCTCGATACAGCCATATGTGGATAAGGGAGACGAGATGTTATAGCCGACCCCTGATTAAGTTTCGTTAGCGATTGTGGCTATTGCAATCTCCCTCGAATCCTCAAGGGTGTTGCATCTCGCTAGGAAGTTGGTGCTGGACTCAATTGCTTTCGCTGTGAGTCTCGCAGTTCTCGGTCGGATCTTGCCTCCGTATATGCCCCAAGCAACGCGGCAGGATTGCCGGTCATAGGGTCGTCCGACAGGCAATGATTGATCTGTCGGTAGTGGCTATCAAAGTTAATGACCTTCTTTCGCTCGCGCTTGACACGGAATCCCTGGGCTGTACGCGCCTTCTACACTTCTTCTTCTTCTTCTGTGTGAATGCGTTTGTGGTGCAGATCTAGCGTTTGGAAGGACATCAGAGGAAGCGAAGTGTTGCCCATTGTTGCATGATAGACGGCTTCTAGCAAAACCTGGGGATCCATTACAGTGACGCTCTTTCATAGGGCGTTCGGATTGACTGCTTGCTGCTGGCTTGCATGGCTTTGGTGTCCATAAAAGTTGTTGTAGCTATCGTGTAAGTCATCAATTTGGCGAAGTCCAGCTTGTCCAAGTTTGAGCGCTCTCCAATTGGCTCGACAACCTTCAGTGTCTGCTCTACTGCACCTTCACTTCACCCACAAGGGTAGCTCCGGCTCGTCTAGCTAATTGTAAGTAGTTCCTCTCATAGTTTACCAGAAGAGGGTAGGTACCATGCATTCATCCGGCCATGATCATGCCTTGGGAGATGCACAAGAAAGAAGAGAATCGGGATGTGTTTGGAACTAAGTGTTGTAAAACCTTCATCTTATTGGACACGAATTTATGCGGCTGTCACTGTAGCTGACGTCGCGAGGAGCCAAGTGAAACCGCAATTGTGCGACCACCCGAACAGCGCCTCGCAGTCATCGATGTGATAGCAAGGTCATGTCCTAACGAGCGAGTAGGATACACTTCTCGAACTTCCAATCTTTGCGAAGCTTCGACGTTCTGATACTAACTTCCGCTAATCCACGCAGCAACTTCTAGCTTTTGCCAGTGCCTTCGCCTGCTTTGCTTTTGGGTTTCTCAAAGAGAGCGAGACCCGATCTTGCTTTCGCAATTCGAGTGGTTGTTAATAGTTGTGGCGACAGGCGCGAGCAGTCTGATGGTTTTCTTTAATAATAGAATTAAACGCAGCGCATACCTCTTCACATAAATGGAAGGAGTCATCGTAGCGCGTTTGTTTCGCACGAAGATGAGCGAGGCAATACATGCTCATCAACGTTTTCGGATGGTCGGGCCCCAGCAGCTTCTTGCGCCGCGGTAACGTTTCCTCACGCAGCAGCTCGAGAAGATGGCGCAGGAGGCGTTCGTCTTTCAGTGAACCACAGTTTGCTATTCAAGTCTTGGCAGCTGATAATAGCCTGGGCCCAGCAATGGGTAAGTATGTCAGTCTTGACCCAGCGCAACGGTGAATGCAACGCCTCGATATGCTCGAGGGCATGATCCGTTAGGTACTCCCTCAGACAAGCTCAGCCTGCCTAGACACCGCGGGCGAGACATACTTTAGGTCAATGGAAGCGTTCGCAATCCATCGAGAAAGGGCTACATGGACACCATTGGCGATGCCCCTTCCTCTTCGCGCGCTCTGTATTTCCATCCTCCCAATTACAATATCAACTTGTTGGGTGACGTCATTTAGGAAAAGTCCACCAGATTCTTCGGCAGCACGGCCTTGCCGTGAGCACCAACGAAAAAGGTTCGCGTACACCGGAAATAGTGCGATACCGGCGACACTGTGCCTATGAGTATGAGCAAGCCCAGTGACCCAAAGGCAGGGTACAAAAATAAATTTAATCATAAATGTCTTCGTAAAGACGTTTTAGCGCTGGAAGCTGTTAGTGAAATTTCTGTTGTAGGAGTAGTCCGACTTACATTAAACTAAAAAGAACAGATACTACACTTGATCTAAGCCAAAAGGCAAAGAGAGCTAAAGAAAGAGAAGGGAGTGTGAGGGCCGGCGAGTTTTTATATTGGTGGGATGCGCTAACGCTAGCGCGCCGTTGCCGTGTGAACTAGGAAAGCGGGACACACGTGAGTGCTGCTGCCTTCGCGTGATCCTTGGGTGAATGCGACTTCAGGCAAGGGAGGAGCGCAAGTGACGGTGCATACAGGTATCTGCTGCACATATTCCGCCATAGGGAAGAACATTTCCAAGGATAGCTGGTTTTGCATGGAACCGGTGTCCCGTCACCTGAATTTTTCAGATTGTGCGTGACACGGAGGCAGCATCGCACGTTCTCAAACCAGGGACTGCAACACAGCAAACGTGTAGCCACCACAGGTTTTATAAGGACGTAAATAGCTTGCTTCCTACCACTCCTAATTTGCGGGGAGTGGAATGTTGAGTGACTGCCTTCGAGTGAAACTGGGTGACTACGATTCGGAGTGAGTTTGAGAAGAAGATGACTCTGTGGTAAAAGGTAGCAGCAGTGAGTACGTGTTTTGGCTATAACAGAGATATTCAGAACAAAGGTCGGGACCCTTGCGTAGTGCCGGACACCATAGTATTTACCCACGTGATGCCAATAGGTTGCAGACTGTTGAGAGTATTGTAGCAATCACCCTGTTCCTATACAGATTTGGATGGACGTTTGAGCTAATTAGCCATACGCCCAAGCGGAACAGAAAACTAGTAGCCTGTTCCCGGCTGGTGGGATCTCCTGACTCAGATTCTTGATACAGAACTTCGTGTGGTGAGGCATCCCAAAGGTCTAAGACGTGTCAAGATAAAGTTGTTGCGGGCTTATTGTTTGGTGAAGTATTCTGCTCATGTCGCGTCACCTGGACATGCTTGTGAGGTCGTCGGCCATCCCATAATGTGTACAGAACGCGCAGAAAGAGATATCCGAGCAGAAATGCTTCGATTTGTTCATGTCAAACGCTAAACCTGATGCCCTTTCCAACGCCGGAGCCTACAGTACAATGCATTGATGCATGTGACCCAGCATGCGTCTTTTTCATCCCTGTATAGTATTGCCACTTTCAATGGTCATCAACACCCAAAACTTATACAAGCTTCTGCTTGACGAAGAAAGCGCGCAAATGTGTTAGCTGCCACGCGCAAGTGACACCGAGGACAGCAAGCTGGATTAGAGTCCATCGGACGACGCGGGAGTTTGTGCTTTCAGACTGGTCGCGGAACTCGGCTTCGCGCTCCTGTACTGCTGTTAGAATATCTTCCGGTTTCAGGTGGTTACAGCATGGCTTACCCTCTGGAAGATCTGCTCGCGCCTGACATCCTGCAACCTCGAATTCAAGTCCTGGACCTTCTCGACCAACGTCTGAACATGTGCCTTATCTGTGCTCTCGATCCTGCTAGTCTCGCCGATAGCCATATCTAGTGTGAACTTGACGGAGCCGTGGATGCCACTGCCCAACCATCCTCCACTCTGCACGTTCTGAGGGGTAACGCAAATGCGGTGCTGGCCGGAGTCGGCGGCGGAAAAGGTGAACTTGCCCTCGCGAGAGCCGCGCTGGGCGACGATACGGTGGTTGTTGTCGAACGTCTCCTCAACGGTGATGAAGACGCCGGTATCTGGCTTCGATTGGAAGGACTTGGTCGCATCATCCCATACTTCGGCGTGGTAGTGTCCTGTATACTGTGAGAATTGCCCATGGTTCCTCTCGTATTTCTGCTGGCGGTCACAGGGCGGTCATACCAACGACCAGAGTATCCTTGGGTAGCTCCTCAAAGAAGCACTTCTGGACTGCGCCGTCAATGAAGAAGTGCAGCGCCTGGGTGGGGATTGCAAGTGCAGCGGCCAGCAGTGCGGTAGTTTTCCACATGACGTTTACTTTGCTCCGCGAGGAATTGGGTGTGCGCGGAGTCGGTGGGCTTGTTTGCTGAGCGCTCGTGAATCTTGAGACCGCCGTGTCGCCAGGTGGTCGATTGACATGGTCTGTGCGGCATCCCTGAGAACGCGCAGATGAACGTGTTGACCTTATTCGACAATACCAAACACCGTGTATGTGCAATTCAGGCACATCCGCCGCTTTTACACTGCTGGCTACGACTGGATATTGGAGATGAAACAGCTACCTCAACATATTCTGTTGTCTACAAGTCTTTCAGCAGGATAGCTCGGCATCGAACCATACGAAGTACTTTTACTTGACTGTCAGGTTTCAACGCTACAGATGCTCTGCCTTTCACGACCAACAGACCGACCTGATCTCCATGTTGGAAGCTAAAGTGATCACTCTCGAGTCAGTCTCAGCTTCCCAATCCATCTCCGAGTAACGACCCCGCATGTAAGCTTGGACAACATCGACCATCTACCTAGGCACAGCAACAATCTTGAATTTGTTCAATAGCTCCGTTCTTCGTCTCAGTTTACACTCCTGTCTCCTTCATTCTTTCGAATCGTTCACGGGTCTCCACAAACTAAGACAAGTCACATATTTCCCAGAGAATCGAGTGGCAGTTCATACCTCGGTTCATCTTGACTACCAGCATCAACACCATCCCGCCATTGAAAAATATACACAACCTCACACAGCCTCAAACAACCTCCAAGATGGCACTTTTCGAACCCAAGACCGTAGATCTCACAGTCTTGAAATCAACACCCAAGACTATCGTCATCACAGGCGGCTCATCTGGCATTGGCCTCGCAACAGCGCAACTCCTCTCCACCCTCAATCCATCACATAATCTTGTCCTCATCGACTTGAACCCACCCCCCTCGACCTTCAAACATGATCCCTCCCACCTTGTAGTCCACACCTGCAACATCATATCCTGGGCCTCCCAACGCGCTGGTTTCGAAGCCGCCTACACACGCTTCGGACGAATCGACTGCGTCTTCGTGAACGCCGGGATCGCCGAGCACGGCGAGCAATTCTTCACTGACGAGCTCGATGGTGACGGGAAGCTGAAAGAACCGGACCGCAGGGTGCTGAACATCGACATGGATGCTGCGAGCGATACGACGAAGCTTGCGATTCACTATTTGAGGAAGAATGAAGAGGGGGGTGAAATTGTGCTCACGGCGAGTTTGGCGGGGTATTTGGCGAGTGCGGGGGCGCCGTTATACAGTGCTGCTAAGCATGGTGAGTTCGTCATGTTCATGGAAAGGCAGAATTGTGAAGCTGACTGATATAGGTGTCGTGGGACTCATGCGTGCGCTCAAGCAGGAGTGCGCTAAGCTGGACATCTCGGTCTCTGTAATCGCTCCTGCCATTACGGTCACACCTATCTTGACCGACAACAACAAGCGTCTGGGCGCATCGCCAGAGGTGTATGCCAAAGAGATGGCTGCTAAGGGTGTGCCTATCAATCAGCCTGAGGACATCGCGCTGGCAGTGTGTTGGCTATTAAACGAGCGTAGCAAGGCGAATGGAGCGGGACTGCTAATCCAAGGGGGCAAAGTTGTAGATCTGGAGAGAGGGTTGGCGAAGAGCCGAGAGCAGTGGATGAGCAAAGAGATGCTGGCGTTATTTAGAGGAGGACGATCTGCGCCGCTGTTCGATCGCCTGGGGGCGGAGACAAAGGCCAAGATTTGAAGAGGTAATAAGTCCCCACAGCGAAATAGTTGTAGCCAACAAAATGAACATTGGTTGATCATACACTGGTGCAACCAAGACCTCGGGCTCCACAGGTCTCAAGAAAGACGGTTGCTACTAGCGCATTGCGTACTCTCAGTGGCATACAAGTCCCTAAATTTTCACGTCTGCTATAGCGACTCCAATCGGACACTGATCTCGGACCGTCGTGCCACTAATGGTCTACGCTCGACTGCCCCACGGCCTCGCCGAACGAGAGTCGAAGACAGGATGGCGCAAGAGAGTGCCTCTAGAATATACTTAGAGTCTCTAGGGTCTTGCTCTGAATTACAAAAGCGCGAACACAGACAACGTTCAATTTATGTCATCTGGAACAGCACTGCAGCGAGTGAATGAGTTCGTTCGGTTGCCTGCATTTGGGTACATGCCGAATCGAAAATGAATGGGGTGGTGAGAGAGACACAAGCAAATGGTTGAAATCCCATGAGGACATTGAGTACTTCCAAGCAGCACGATGATTTTAGGGTCACGTTGTATACACGCAAAAAGGGGAAGTGAAGGAAGCGCGCAATGTTACCGGTAACTCCGCAGATTCGCGTCTTGGCGCGTGCGCGCATGCATCCCTGTCAAAAACATAAGGTGCACATGGTAGATGCGCTGTCGACACCGTCGCGCAACCACCACCATCGCCGGCGCGCTTTTCGCGTCTTACACCCTCAACTACCTCTGCGACCCATCATGTTTTCACCAGAAGCTTCGCTTCAGAGTGCGCGCAGCTCGTTGCGCGGCAATCGACGACGCCAGCGCGACTCCATCGGGCACGACCAGCCTCGACGAAAGCGCAGTAAGATTGCGGAAGATGGCGCCTCGCAGATCACCGCTGGCTCAGACTTGAAGGCGGCGAATGGTCATACTATAATGAATGGCTCCACGGGTCATGATAGCACGGAGAGTTCCCTTGTGATGATCGACATGCCCGTCCGCGAAAAGAAGACTGCACCTCTCAAACGGATTCTGAAAGAGGACAGTGTTCAATATTTGGTGGGTATCCTTAATGAGTTTTGAGGTAGCCCGCTAATTGTACCCAGACCAGAAACGCAAATTACAGCGTTAGGAAACTACCCAGTTTTCCTGCGACGCTCACCCGAACGCCCTACACAGCTTCCGCAATATCGTCTGCAGGTCTCGCCCTAGCGTTCACGAGCGATCGTGCTCTCGTGTGGGACTATAGTAGCGCAACAGGTCCTGCAAAGGTCGTTTCTCTCCCTCTACCGTTTGGTCTGCGAATAACAGATCCGCTTCCCCGCGGCGCAATCGTCAAAAACGGCCCCACGAACGACTATGGCGTTGTCGCAGTTGCACCATCGAGTGGCCGCATTCACTTCTGGGAGAACATCGACAACGCAGAGGCCAGGAGCTTGTACCCTGAGCGACAGCAGGGAATTGAGGGCTTGGTCAAGCTGTATTCGGGCGAGGTCATCACAGATCTGATTGATATCGAGCACGCAGGGTTTATTCTGAACTTCAGTAGTGGCAGGCTTGCGCAATTGACTTTGCGCGACTCGCAAGGAAGGCCCAGTGTGAGCACTACAGTCTTGACTGGTCCGAATACCTCTAGTAGCAGTCTGTTCAGTCTGCGAGGTCTGCTAGGCGGTGCGATTCGGAAGACCATTGCATCTGTGAAGTCGCGCGCATCTGACACAAAGGGCCAGATGGAGGTGATCACCACAACCAAGAACGGGTTGTTCCAGCTGTGGGACTTGAGTTGGTCAGGGCAACAGATCTTTAAACACGAGGTCGATGTTCATGATGAGATGCTCTCTGCCGTACAAGCTGGAATCTCAGGCGAATTGCGCACGCAAAGTGATGTACAAGTCTTGGACTTTGCAATCACAGAGAAGACACGAACGCCCGGGTCGGCAAATGTCCTGGTGCTTGTGGCTTTGTTCGGACGCAATACACTGGATTACTCGCTATTGGAAGTGGTCCTCTCCGCTTCTGGCAGCACGGTCAGCAGGACGATTCCTATTAAATGCTTCCATCAGGAACATCTCCCTACCGGACCGACAGGGACTCTTTTGGTTCCTCAACCCGGCCACACAGCCTTCGTACAATTCCCTGGCGCTGTTGTTATCGCATCTTTGGCCCAGCCCGAGGAGAGCCCCGACGCACAACTTCTGGCAGACTCAGGGAGGTCAAGCTTACCTTTTCAGGATGCTGTATACTTTCGGGAAGAGCTCAACATTACGGTATGCGGACTCTCCACGGCGACAACTACCCGGAAGGAGAGGAAGAGTACCGCGTTGATTTTTGTACAAGAATCTGGAATCCTGCAGTTCAGTGCGCAGCCGCCAGTGACTGACGATGCAAGCACGGAGAGGGTGAAGGTCACGGCTAGAAGCAAACTGGAACAAGCCACGTTCTTCAGCTCGAAGCCGGGCAACGTCCTCGACTTCTCTGTGAAATCGCGGTTTTCGTTCTCTGAGGAAGAAACCGCACAAGCTGCGCTCGATGTCAGCCTGGGGATCATCAGCTCTTCGTACGACTATCTCGACAAGGTGACGTCGTCCATGGACGAGCAATTCAAGACGCGTGCTGCGGCGCTGCGGACCCTGATCTCTAATCTACGAACTGATTACCCTGCCTTGCCTTTCTCGATAAAGTGGAGGTTACTGTGGCATGCCGAGAAGCTTGCCGCAGCACACAAGCTGTGGAATTGGTACGAGGCCAAACTTCAGGATCAGCAAGCGCATCCGGACGCATATCCAGAGAAGGTTCTCATGAGCGACATCATCAAGGCGATGCATGAGCGTTACAAGACACCCATCGACCCTGATGCTGGTGAGACAGACCCGGTACGACAATACTTCTTGCGGGACATCGACTCCATTGGTATCTTGGTCCCGTGGGGCTGGAACTTCTTGCGGACTTTCTACATGAAAGAAGGTGGAAAGGAGCAGCCCTCTATCATGCAGCGGCTCAGCGAAGGCTCTGACGTTATGCTCGTGACTCTAGAGACCGCTTTCCGCTTCCGACAAACAAACATCGAAGCCTATGGCCTCGATTCCGCCTCCCTTGAAGATGGCATCTTGAAGCCAGGCCAGGGTAACGAAGAACTCCCACCATTCTGGACCTCCACGCACAACATTGTCAGCTCTGTCCGTAGTCTTGTAGACGTTGGACGCAATCTGGCCGTCGAGAACTATGAAGAGGGCCTTCAGGAGACATTGGCAAAGACGATCGCCAAGGACAACCCTCGTATGGTCCGCATTGGCTGCCAGACTCACATCGAACGCTTCCAATGGGCTCTTGAGCAAGCTGATGAGAAGTCACGGGATGCTGGACGACTCCTTCGAGAAGAATGGAACAACAAGGTCCGTCCAGAGCACATCAAAGGCATCATGGAGCTTGGTCTGGCTACTGAAAGCATGAACCTTGCAGAACACTACAAGGACATGCCGACTCTGGTACATATCGTCTGGGACGAGACCGTCTGGCTTGAGAAAGAGAAGGCGGAAACTCGAAGTAAAATGGAGATTGCTGAGAGTACTGTCAAGCTCAAGAAGATCAAGGAGCGTATCAGCCGCTACTTTGAGACGTACGGGGATGATTGGGCTGAGGCTTTCTACTTGAAGCACATCAAAGTAGGCAAAGCAGCTAAGATGTTCGAGCCAGAGCATCTGAACCAGCAGGCCCTAAGCAAATTCCTGCGTGCTGATCCATCCCGTGCGAGACTCAGGTGGATCAACGAGGTGTCTGGCGAGAAGGATTATGAAGCGGCTGCCGAGGCCCTCTTTGATACTGCCAAGGAGGAGACAAATGTGTGGTGCAACAAGATCGAGCTGTCCATGTGCAAGCTGGCAATGCTCTGCAAGAAAGAAGAAAAGCCCGGCCAGACTCAACTTAACAGCAGTCGAACCGAGGAGCCTACCAAGACAGAAAAGATTCGAGAGAAGAATTACAAGATCGTTCTAGATCTGTGGGAGTACACTACCGTCCAGGAGCTGCTGTACGACCATCTCGAATCATCTTTCCACGCGGCACTCGATGATGAGGTTGCTGTGGGCATGCTCATGGAGGAATACGGCAAAGGTCCCATCGAGGCACGACCAGCGCTCTGGCAACTGCTTAAAGAAGGCTTCGACCAACTAATCCACCACAAGATGATCGGCCCTGAGCTGATGATCGACATCTTCACCCTGATGAACGACACAGGCGAGAGGGCACCCACTTCGGTGATACAGTCGAACGAGTTCACTTTCGCATTGAGGGTCTTGGCCGCCAATTGGCACAAGATCCACCGGACCACGCGAGAAGGCCTCTTAAAGCTCATCTGGAAGCGACTGTGCAACAAGGACAACTGGGCTGAGATCAATAATACCAAAGACATGTCTGATGCCGACCTCGAGGTTTATCTGGCAACCACCAAGGTTGGGTGGACCTTCAGGGGTCTCATGAGGCTGATTGGTGAGTGTGCTTTTGTTGCTCATAATGAGATCTGCTGACAATTTGGTAGATATCGATCCGCACAACCGTGTTGTATGGCCTAAGCAGCTAACAGCCTTGATCGGTGCTGGAGGCACACATGGAGAGCTCTGCGTGCGATTCCCTGATGAGGAGATTCGTGGGCCCATCATCCAGGACAACCTGCTTGACGACGAGATCTTGCAGGAGAACCTCGAGAAAAACAGGCTCGATCAGTGGTTCAAGGCAGCTTGCCGAGCAGGCAAGGCCGCATACCTGAAGGAGAAGAGCGGAGATGCCAATGCTCAGGCAGAATTTGGCGGCGACGAGGAGGTTGCTCCTGAGACAGAAGTGTTAGCTGCCGAGGGTGATAGCGTCAACGGTGTCGACCAGGGTCAGGATGTCGAGATGCAAGGGTGATAGGGAACGGATGGCCATTGAGGTCGGGGAGGCGAGGGTTCACGTTTCAATCGGGCGCACTGCACGGGGAAGCATTGGGCACGGCGTTTCAGAAAGAGCACAGCAGCCTGCAACGGCGCTTTTTGATTGTATCTTACTTCTTGTAGCAACAGCGATTGACTTGCAGGCTTGGAGGCGCCTCACTTGTCGAGCTTGTCCAATACATCATTGCATTCTCACAACTTTACAGAGATGGGCGGGCGGCAGTTGATGCGGACACACGTTGCTTTGGTGACGTGAAAAGAAGCTTGGAGACCACAAATCAGTTTCGCCGTTGCGGGCGGACATGACAGCGGCTTTACAGGCCACCCTGATCTTGTGAATTACGCGCAAGCGCAATTGCCCGGCTGCAATTCACATCTCGAATCGTGTGCAGCTGTGTACAGCGCACGTCCATCGTGAGAGCTGGGTTGCTGGCCTGGTAGAACATGCACTCTCCAAAAGCTGACAGTCAGCGAACAGATCCTACGTCACGATCTAGAGATGCACGCTCAAGATGTCAAGAAGCAATTTCGTATGACCGCAGACAATTTGCTGAGACTGCCCATCTCCGTCTCAATGCAGCGAGATGTGAAGATACACAAAGGGCATCGGCACGCTTGCACAGACTGCACAACGGTTCCAGACCCTCGATCGATGCGAACCGGTTCATTTCTCGGGTGGGGCTTACCCCGTTCAGGGCAGGATGTGGCTTGGGCCAGCCGCTCCAATCAGGGCCGGTAACCGTTTTTTCGCAGCAGCGAGTCCACTTGCCCATGTTCCGGCATGGCAGCGGACTTGCATCACACAGAGGAGGGGAGTGTCGCACCACGACGAGGCTGGCGTGTGTAGCGCGGCGACTTCATGCAGAGAGGCGGTGGCAGGGAGGCGAGCTGTCCACGTCAATTGCGGCAGTGTCAAGGCCAGCAGACAAGCCTCACGTGTACACGCTGTGCAGCGCTCGATGCACCGCGATTCGTAGGACGTTCCTTCCTAAACGAGCTCGCGGCCGAAGGAATGGCTAGAGAACGCAGGTACAACGGGGGCCTCCAACAACAACAACAACAACAGCCACAGCGACGCGCATCCGCGCTCGCAAGAGCGGATGCGACTGCATATGAGCTTAGAAATCGGGCTGTCACCGCCGGGTAGTGCATGAGAAAAGGCGCACGCATGAGAAGCACGCTACCGCGGTGAATGCTAGCACCCAAGTGCACTGCCAGAGCGCGCACGGCCGCTCACCCATGGATCAAGCCGGCCTAGCGCCTGTCCAGTCCAGCCGCCCGTGTTCTGAGGGCACCCCGGAGACGTTTTCATCGTGAGTCGATCTCTCTCCTGTCCGCACCTCCGTCCATTGTTTTCCCTGCGCAGCGATACTCTGCATTGTTTGCCCTGCTGCAACCTGCTGCAGCCTCGTCGTTGCCCGCTCGTGGAGTGCATAGACGCCCTCGTGCCGACCCAGGACACAACTCGCCGGCCTGCATAGCCCCAGCCGACCTCCGGAGACGCCCATCGACCTCCCGCTCACCGCACCGCAACCTACCTGCAGCGTCCGCCCGCACCTCCAGCTGCTGCACCCGCACCCGCACCCTACCATCCCATCCACAATGGCGAGCGGCAGCACCTCCTCCAACGTCGTCGGCGTCCACTACCGCGTCGGCAAGAAGATTGGCGAGGGCTCCTTTGGCGTCATCTTCGAGGGCACCAACCTGCTCAACCAGCAGCAGGTTGCCATCAAGTTCGAGCCGCGCAAGAGCGATGCTCCCCAGTTGCGCGATGAGTACCGCACGTACAAGATCCTTGTGGGCTGCCGTAAGTTCTTTCGCTGCCCCCTATTATCCGCCCTGATGCCGCCCGTTCGAGCGAGGGAAGGCACGGTGTGTATGTTGGACTTTGCCTTGGCATGCATCCACATGTACACTCCGCGTTGGCTATTGAGCGTGTCTGGTCTGTAGCGTCCTTGACGCTGCTGCCGGCTTCCCAATGGCTCTGTCGCTGCCCTACCTAACGCGGCTGCCTACCGATTATTCGGCCCCCAAGCATCTCGAATAATTCAACTAACACGATGCAGCCGGGATTCCTAATGTTTACTACTTCGGCCAGGAGGGTCTGCACAACATTCTAGTCATCGACCTGCTCGGTCCCAGTCTGGAGGACCTGTTTGACCACTGCAACCGGAAGTTCTCGATCAAGACCGTCGTGATGGTTGCCAAGCAGATGGTGTGTATATCCAAAGCTCACTTCATTTTCAATGTCTAACGTGCGTGCAGCTGTCGAGAGTTCAGACCATTCACGAGAAGAACCTCATCTACCGCGATATCAAGCCTGACAACTTCCTTATTGGCCGACCGGGCTCTAAGAGCGCTAATGTAATCCACGTTGTCGACTTCGGTATGGCTAAGCAGTACCGTGACCCAAAGACAAAGCAGCATATTCCGTACAGGGAGCGCAAGTCCCTCTCCGGTACGGCGCGTTACATGAGTATCAACACCCATCTAGGACGCGAGCAGTCCCGCCGAGACGACCTGGAAGCTCTGGGTCACGTCTTTATGTACTTCCTCCGTGGCGGTCTCCCATGGCAAGGCCTGAAGGCCGCTACCAACAAGCAGAAGTACGAGAAGATTGGCGAGAAGAAGCAGACAACCCCCATCAAGGACCTGTGCGACAGCTTCCCTGGTATGTATACACGTTCTTGTCGTCACTGAACACAGCTAACAAATAACAGAGGAGTTCAACAAGTACCTCAGCTACGTCCGCAACCTTGGCTTTGAGGACACACCCGACTACGACTACCTGCGCGAACTCTTCACCCAGGCGCTCAAGAGTACTGGCGAGGTTGAGGACGGCGAGTACGACTGGATGAAGCTGAACAATGGAAAGGGCTGGGAGGTAATGAAGTCCCATCCCTCGGCAGTTCAACAGATGCACCATTCCAACGTCCACCAGAACTCCTCCACCGCTGTCAACGTCCATGGCCAGCCTCACAGACAGCAGAAGACGCACCTGCCCGTCGACCACCACCGTTTAAACGAGCCTCTCCCAAAGCCCGGAGCGACACGAGTCCAGCCCGGAAGAAGCCCAAGGGACTCCGCAGCGCGTGGAGCGGAAGTGAAGAAGAGCATGGGCGAGCTAGCACCACCCGACGCGGCCTCGAACCAGGCTCAGTTCCAGCACAGCCAGCCCAACCTGAACCAGACTCAGAACCGCGCGACACCCGCACAGAGCCCCAACGCTCAGCAGCCGAGGCGGCAGGAGCCTGAGAAGGAGGGCTTCATGCAGAAGCTCTCCAAGATACTGTGCTGCGGTGGAAGCAGCAACTAGTGGAGCTGCTGTCCCATCTGATTTCCTGCGTATTGCGTTGCATCACGGAGTTCGTTCATTGAGCGGACTTATCAGCCACGTCTTTTCCTGTATAGGTATTTTGTAATGATTGATAGACGGGATCGAAATCTCCTTCCGGTATCTTAGGTTATACTCTCACGACGACCGAACCACCTCGACGCCAGCCTGGATCTCTTCTTTTCATCATCATCATCTTCTTCTTCACACCCGGCTTTCGCCTGCACGAGCTGCACCCGCACAGCAGCTTGTTCTCCGGAACCCGTTTGCACTGGCGTTCGCGGCGTTACGTCCTTTGGCGGTACGAAGTTGGCATGTCATTTATCATCATTACCAGTTCATGTTTGTTTGGTAGGAGAAAAACATAGCATGTAAAGGAGTCTCTTTCGCTGGGGCCTGTCTGTCTTGTGGAAGAGCGATGGGTCCGGCATGTTTTAGTTAGATGACAGGAGCAATTAGAGACAAAACTTTCCATTTCGGATGCCCAACGTTGACAGTGGTGTACTCTTAGTTCAGCTGACTCAACGACGACTATCAGCTGATGGCTACAAGCACGCGAGTACTGTAATCTGATCTGCGACTGTTCGTCATCAGCACTTCAATTCGCCCATCCGCACTGACTATCTCAGTATTTCTAACCCCTCCGCACCCTCGGTACCATCTCTCGGCCCAAGGTACATGATATCATGCAGACACTGTCTCCAAACCTCACCTCCCCTCTCAACACCCAGATCGCTTTCATCTCCCAGCGACTCCAAGCGCCACCAATACTGAACCTTGACTAATAATCCAGCTTCGGGCCCTTCATCCCACAGATCAACGCGCATCCCAGTCCACCCTTCGGCCTCCGCTCTCGCGCTCAACTCCACTGGTGTCACTCCAAGGGCCGCTGTTGCCGCGGTGTCGCCGAACTTGTGTTCAGACGCACGCAAGGGTCGGATCGTGTATCTCCCCATGCCCTCAGTGACATGCCCTGCTCTTGAGCAATCAACATGGCCTTCGGACCCGGCACTGTGCTCAGGTGGCACCTCGGCCTGCTGGGCGTCTTGCAGGTACTGCGCGATTTGCAAGCGGCTTGTTGCGCTGTAGGAGGGGGTGGGACGGCAGCTTTGCAGGCAGGTTGAGGAGAAGAAGAGCGCTTTTATGGCGATGGAGGGGGTGTGGCGGTAGGCATGGTACAGGGCTTTGATGTGCTGCTCGAGGTCCTGGGGCAGTGATTCGGCCATGGCGAGTGGGTTCGGTCCTGTGTCTGTGGTCGATGTCCCTGACGGTACGTACGGGAGGTAGTCAGAGATTACAAGTTCGGTGTTCGCGACCAGACGGATCTTCTGGGGGCTACAGTTACTTTTGTATTGTAGCTAATCTGCCTGGCAAAGTGAGAGTGCGCCTTTGCCTGTTGGCATGTCTTGTATGGACTACAGGGTTTTGTTCAAGCAAGTCAGCATTGGCTGAGGTCAGATGTGTCCCGGATAGCCCAGATGATCAATCACAACACCACAGAAGAGCAATTGCGCCTAGACACAGTGTATGTTGTGTTTGTAGATACCGAAATTCGGCAGAGGCTGAGCGCAGAGTGCATCGAGTCCCAGCCCTGCTGACTACTATCGAGGTAGGCTTCATCGTGGCTCAAGGAGTATTGCATGAATCAGAGACGTCATCAGAGTACGAAGAGCATGCAGATGAGTACTGAGTGTCCCCAATGATGGTTGCTGCCTGGCGTGGTGTTGGAAGTAAGAGCCGAAGTCGCCGGCTGCCGTGAAAGTGACATGGATGGCCTTGAGCTTGGCAACCGCCGCCATCCCGCAATTCGTCGCGCGCGACTGCGCGAATCCAACATTTGAACACGCTCACGACACCCCTGCAAATCCATCGACCACGCTCCTTTCCACCACTTCTACGCCGCCAGATCGAATCGAAACACAATCGCGATGGCGTCGAATCGCGATGTGCGCGATATGCTGGGACTGCCTGTCGGCGAGGTCGCACCCCCGTTGGCGAGCAAGAAGTCGAAGAAGGGCGGACAGACAAAAAGAATACGTACGTCGTGACGGCATGCGCGAGTTCCGCGGGGCTGAGAGATGTGCAGCTAACACGTGCGGGCAGAGGGTGTTGCGCGCGAGGTTGCGGCGCTGTATGGTGAGCGACCACCACCAGTCGCAGTCTACGAAGAAAAGAAGGCGTACCGTGCGAAGCGGCAGAGCACCGGGCCTGCAAAGAAATGGTAGGAACAGCCGATGCTGCCCTACAGGACTGCACCTGACAACGCATGCTAGGATCCAGCAACCCTTCACAAACCCCGCGCGCCTCGACGGCCTCGTGCTGAAGCACTGGCGGCGCAAACCTACAGCAGCGCCGCCGGTGCAAGAAGGCGGCGATGCAGCGATGCAAGACAGCGAGCCTGCAGACTACCTCGAGACGTGCGCCGATTACGTCAAGTACAACATCACAGTCGACATGCCAGACTTCACAGACGAGGAGTACGACGCACACCTGCGGAGCGACGACTGGAGTCGAGAGGAGACGGACTATCTGTTCGGCATAGTCAAGGACTACTCCTACCGGTGGGCTGTGGTCTGGGATCGCTACGAGTGGCAGGCGCTGAAGCGGCGGGAACGGGAGCTGGCGCAGGCTGCAAAGCAGGAGAACGGGGACGAGGACTCGAATGCCCTGGCCACGATGCCGTTTGCGCCGCCACGAGACAAGGAACGGTCGCTCGAGGAAATGAAGGCGCGCTTCTACCAAATCTCCGCAAAGCTCATGAAGCTTCGCATTCCCGAGGTCCACATGGACGCCGAGCAATACAGCCTCTACGAAACGCTATCGAATTTCAAGCCCGACATGGAACGCAACCGCAAAATGCTTGCCACAGCGCTGATGAACCGCAACATGGACGAAGTAAAGGAAGAAGAGTTCCTGCTCACAGAACTCCAGCGCATCAACATGGCCGCCGTGCGCCTCGATGCCGAACGCGAAGAACTTCGCGCCCGCCTCGACGCACCCCAAGCCAACACCTCGACGGCCGCCGGTCTGCAATCCTTCACATCGAGCACAGCACTGCAGGCGCTGTTCCAGCAGCTCTTCCAGCAGGACCGCAGTAAGAAGCGCTCCTCTGGCGGCTCCAACGCGCCCGGCCGTCTAAGCCTGAGCGCAAACGACATGATCAATACGCCCTCGGCCTCCAACTCGGCCAACAGACGCACATCCATGGCCCTCCCACCCGCCGCCCCAAGCCAAACCCCCGTCAAGACACTGAGCCCGCACCAAGAACACCGCTTCGCAGTCAGTACGCACGACCGCCTCACCTCCGGCGTGACCTTCGGCTCCGATAAGCTGCTCAAAATGCGGCAAGCCAAATCCAACGTGCAAACGCAGAAAATCGCCTCGGCGCTCCAGGAGCTCGGCGTCCCTGAGATCATCCCCATCCCCACCAGCAAAGTTGCCGACGTGTTTGAGCAGCTGGTCGCCAAAGTGGGCCGTCTGCTCGACGTGCGCAAAGTCAAGGAGAAGGAAATGGGCGAGTGCCGCGTCCTGTTGCGCATGAAGGCCGTACGGGACGGCGGCGTCAAGCACGAAGGCGACGCCCACGCCGCCACGGACCGGAAACCAGGCGATGCTGATGCGGATACGCCCCCGCCCGACTCGAACGAAGACCACGACGACGACGCCGACGCCGACGACGATACCGGCGTGCAGAACACGCCTGCCCACGCCGACAGAGATGATGCGGATGATGACGATGATGAGGACGAGGATGACGCCGAGGGCGAGGACGATACGGGCGCCCGGAATAGTCCGATGGGTGATGTCGATGCCGAGGGTGAGGATGAGAGTGCGGCGCAGACGAGTCGCGCGACGAGCCTGGGGCACGGGCATAAGAGGAGTGCTAGTGAGCTTAGTGAGGGGAGTGCGCCGAGCGAGAAGAGGGCGAGGAAGTAGGCTCATAGTCTACGGTGGGGTATTGTTATAGGCATAGCGAGGCGTTTGGATTGTGTTTACTTGCAGACTGAGGTTTCTTGGGGCTGCAATGACTTCACACCTGGAAGTCGCTCTCCTTACAACTTTGGCGGGTGAGTCAGTACGTCGGGCTGTATATGTGTAATGCACAAGCCTACTCGTTGTTTCAATGTGTACTGCAATGCATGAGGGCAACATGTGAAGCAAGTTTAAACGTTGTACGTTTATATTTCGTTTTCAATGTTACAAATCGCCATAATTGCACTTAACATTGTACACTCCGTTCGCCGGAAAGCGATGAACCATGGCCAGCAACGACTTCCCACACACCAGCCAGCCGACTGATGGCAGCCATGCGTCCAAATCACATCATAGGGCATACATAGGCTTCCCTGCGGGATTGAGCCGTGAAGCCTAGGTCGACCCTCATCTTACAACTTCCTATCGTGGTCCTCCTCGTCGACGCTCTTGTTGGAACTGGAGGTGGTGCTTTGCTTCTCGAGCTCCTCGCCAATGGCGCCGTGGAGCTCCTCTTCGAAGACGGGTTCGGTCTCGATGGTCTCGAACTTCGTCTTGAAGTCCTTGAGCTGGTTGGTAGAGGAGTTACTGCGGCGGCGAGCATTGTTCATGTTGTAGGGCATGTCTTCAATTTCATCGCCGTCTCGGCCCCTGGCCGATGTTAGCACCGATCAGTTCAGCGGAGGATGCAATTGTGTCCCGGCGCGCAATGGATATTCAAAGTTGGCCATGGAGGCAGCCGATTGACTGAAGATATGACTGCACATACCAATTACCCTTTCCACTACCATCCTTCTTGGTCTTGGTAGGGTCAGTGTCGGCATGACCTGACTTGGCAAAGTAACGGGGAAGCTTCGACTCACGCTCAGCACTGCCATCTGCAATGCCTGCGTGGTCACGGTCAGTCCACTTGTGAGAGCGAGTCACTGTCAAGTGTCAGTATGATCGGTCACTCTTTGTCCGAGGAATTGAGTGTGGGTGTCCAGGTAGAAGCTCAATGTGCAAGTACATGGTTAATGATCAATGAGAAGGCAACCACTTACTGTTTGGTGAGGGTTGAGATGATTGAGCACGAGTTGTGTAAAGTAAGAGTCAAAAGCGGGCAGTGAGAGGTTGAAGTAGTCAGACACGGGGAGCTCGGAGTTCGGAGCTTGAAGTTATCAGTGGGTCTGTATGGTCACGTAAGAATGGTCTCGTGATGTCTATGGCGTAGCTGCGTGGAGCCATTTCGATCAGCACACGCGAGTAGCACGTACCTCACGATGCAAGAGTCAAAGACACAACGGTGACGATTGAGAGTGACTGTTTAATTAATTGTTGCAAATTGCGTGCTGGACAGCTTGACGTGAGGTGAGATCAAGGGAAGGTGCAAGAGCACGCGAGCTTGAGCGAGCGGGGTCAGGCGTGACTTCCCTTATAACACCGTTAGCAGTCGGTCCCTGTGAACAGCCATGGAAACACTTGGAAACTTCGCAGCCTGCCCCTGGCAACAGTGGCCAGCATTCCGGCCCGTGTGCAGTCGTTCCACGCGTGTGCTACAGTTGGTTCCTGAGCCTGGGGTGACAGTCGACAAGGTTCTACGTCATTCTCTCCTCGACGCATTAGAGACGTAGGGACAGTCAGTGTATCAAAGCACCATCGAATGCTTCTCTCGGCGCCGCGTAAGAGCTCCGATACTTGTTCGAAAACAGCCCGAGTCGTCGAAACCTAGCCCCTCACAATAGCTGAGCATGAGAGGAACTCGCCTCTGCCTCACCGGCTGTCTCCTGAGGTCTTTCTGCGGCGCTTCCCCAGGTTTTACTACTGCAACAAGGTGGGCCTAGTGGAATGCTGCCGACGCTTTGCCAGGTAAGCCGAGTGCGGCCCTGTCGCCTAATGGTCAGCCAATCGCATCACTCAACCGACTGATGACTTATAACACGCCACAGAAGTGAAGTGCTTTCTCCGGCCGCCGGCAGGAAATCGCGAACTTTAGTCATGCGCGGCATTATCGCGAAGTTGATTGCTCAGCGACCAAGACATCCTTTTGATTTTTACTCTGCCTCCCCTCTCAACTCGCGACTGACGTTCTTCACGACCAGACGGATTTCGCCCACCCCACTACCCCGCCATGACTTCACGAACACTCATTATCGCGCCGCCCTCAGTTGCGGCGCACCCCGAGAAGCTGAACAGCATATACGAGATCCATGACCGCTCTTCAACAGACCTGCAGATGCTTGACCGCATTGCGGCAGGTCTGGCAAACCTCCCTACGTCCACTTATGACGTGGTTCTCCTCCTCACCGACGCCGCTGGCACATCGCGCGAAAGCCACGCCCTCCTCGTCCGCGACGTTATGCACAAGATTGTCGGCGCCCTGAAGACTGGTGGCATATTTAAGAGCCAGGACGGTGCTCTGCAGGGTTCAGAGAAGACTGAAGCCATTCTCGCAGGCCTGGTCGAGGGCACAGAGGGCATGACCAAGCCCGCACAGGAGGAGCCAGTGTCGATACCCTTGAAGTTTGGCAGGAAGAAGTCAGCGAATGGAGCAAACGGCACAAACGGCGTGGATCGCAGCACCAGCGGCGCCGTCCAGGAACTCAACGCAGACGGCTCTGTCCCGCTGAACCTGAACCGCATCAACCTGAACGGCAAGCGACCCTCACCTGAGCCCGTTTCTGCAAAGCCTTCAGGCGTAGGCTTTGTCGACTTCAGCGACGATCTCGACGATCTCATCATCACCGGCGAAGACGACGACCTGATCGACGAAGACGAGTTCATCACAGAAGAAGACATGGCCCGCCCTGTCATCCAGCGTGTGTAGTCTCTACATTCCTTCCTTATCCACTCACTGACATGTATCAGCCGCCGAATGCCGCCCCAAGCCTGGCAAGCGTCGCCGCGCCTGCAAAGACTGCACCTGCGGCATGAAGGAGCGACTCGAAGCCGAAGACGCCGCGAAGCGCGCCGACGCCGACAAGAAGCTTAACACAATGAAATTTGGAGCCGACGATCTGCTCGACGAGGTGGACTTCACAGTCCAGGGCAAGGTTGGCAGCTGCGGAAACTGCGCACTTGGCGATGCGTTCAGATGCGATGGTTGCCCGTACATTGGTCTGCCCGCGTTCAAGCCTGGCGAGGAGGTCAGACTGCTGAACAACGATATTCAGTTGTAGATGACAAGAGCGACATGTGCATGGATGGCGTTTGGGATATACCATGGCGATATGAAGGAGTTTAAGGCATGGTAGTGCGCATAAACAGGCGTAGGCGCCTCTGCATTAGACTAAATTAGACGAAATGAAACGAATCAAAACTGCAATTTGTACCATCATCCTTATCTCTTGGGAGGCATTCAACGTGGAACCAAAGCGGTCTCGCAACTCAATAATACGATTGGCAACTACAGAGCGGTACACTTAGCCTTTCTTCCACAGTCGTTCTTCAGTCAAAAGTCACTGCAAATGCACTGTCACAACAATATTGCTTACATACAACGGGCCCGTCAAATTAGATCAACACTTCCCTCCCGCCGGTCAAAAAGTTATTCATGGACTCTACGAGCATGTAACAGTGTTCACGTAAATAAGCGCAAGCGTCGTCCCAAAGGCCTTATGCTTTTGGATTGAACTCTGAGGCATACATTGATCTAGCTACACAGTTATCTAGCTATAAAGAGGGATATCGAGATTCACAAAACACCGCCGCAAGACCAATCCACCATCCACGACAAGCCCACTCACACAAACACCTTCACATCATCCCTCTCCTTCTCCCAGCCCCACACGCTACCCCTACTTATCATACTCTTCAGCCCCTCGCCCCACGTCCTCATTCCCTTCCCTGGCGTCTCAGCTCGCTCAATGTCCACGCTCGCACCCACCTCGCTCAGCGGGTTGCGCCTTCTCTCGCCATTCAGTTCGGCCGCGCTCGACCCGGACGGATACAGACCCAGACCCGCACTTTGCCTGCCAGGTACACCAGACGGTGCCTTCGAGATACGCCGACCGGACACAGGCGGGGCGTCGAAGACCATACTGCTGCTTCTGAGCGTCTCGTCGCCATAATAGATCAAGTTGCCTGACAGATCGCGGGTGACCGAGGAAGCTTTCGCCTTGTTTTCTGTTTTTGCGGCAAGTGTAGGTGTGGCGATGGCCTCGCCGATACTGGTAGTGTCTTCGGTGACGTTCGGGTCGAAGAACGGGAACGCAGAGGATTGTGAGCGTGAGTGTCCGCGAGGCGTACGTCTGTCACCCGGCACGCGAGATTGGTTGCGGGAATGCAGTGAGCGGCGTGAATGGCGCTCGATAGTGGAGCCAGTGTTTGATCCAGCCCGTGAAACTGGGCGGGCCTGTGGTGCGCGCAGGATGGACTTGCGCGGAACGGCGATCGCTTGTGAGTTACGAGCCAGGTTGTTTGAGGTAGGTCGCACTGGTGACAGTGCAGCGCGAGAGATTACCTTCGATTCTGGGATAGGGGTGATCTTGCCGAGAGTGTAGGTGGATGACATGTTCTCCTTGCCGCCGTGCTCTTTGGCTAGGTAATGTGGTGTTGGCTCGCGTTCGCTTGTGCGCTTCAACTCACGGCCATCGTTTTTGTGTTGACTGTTGCGCTTACTGCTCCTCTTCTCACGTAGAGCGCTTCTTCTTGAGTCGAGATTCAGTGGAGGCAGCATATACTGACCAGGCTTGACTGTCGTCCTCTTCCCATAGCCTTCAATGTCGTCCTCTTCGTCTGTGTAGACGCTCTCGCTCAGATCCGCATTGTCGTAGATTTCAGAGCCTGTGAGGTCATTCAAACTAGCTTTCAACTCCGATGCGAGGAGACTCTTGCGAGTACTGGCTCGTCGAATCATTATAGTGCTAGCGGTAGGCATGGCTGATGTAGGCCGAGGCGATGATCTGGCTTTCTTCGCTTCTTTCGCCAAAGATTTTGTGGACCGGTGCTTGCGCAGACTACCTGGGAACCTTGACTCTGATTTTCTCTCAGAAGGCGTGCCAGGCACCTCTTTCTCTTTGCCTTCCTCAACATCATCATTAGGCTTGACGATAGTGTTGGCTCTCGAAGGCGAGACGAAGTTTCGCGATCTCTTCTGCTTCTCTGTAAGGAATGCGGGCGGCGATCTATAGCTCGAGGACAAGGCACGGTAGCCAGCGCTGAAGAACGGTGACTGAGCTGAAGCTCGTTTCCGTATGTAGGAACTGCGCTTGTCCTCCATTGTGCGGCGATCGCCCAGGCTACTGCGGGTTGATGACGGCACTACACGTATGCTGTGGCGCTCTTCTGTTGGAGTTGTCACTTTCGGTCGGCAGGATCGAGTGGTTGGTGCTTGAGGGCAGGCTGTGGGTACAGTAGACAGACTGCTCGTACGCCGAGAGTACGAACTCGAGCTCATGGCTCGGTGCAGTGACCCGAAGTTGTTGTTACTCCTCGATGGGGAGTAGGTGTGGCGCCCGTGTCCCTGGCGTATCTGTCAGTACAGACTCATCAAGCAAAGGTATCTTGTCGGTATGCGAAAGACGATAGAAGGGACGGTATGTGCTTACTAACAAGATGTTAGCACTCAGTCTTGAAAAAGGGTTTCAACACGTACCCATGCCTGTTATGCGTCGATTGACAGGAAGTCCTGAGCTTCGGTGGATCTGATCCCGATATACAGTTGTAGTCCGGCGTTTGTGTTTTCGGAAGGAGCCTGAAGAGTTTTGCGACGTTCGTTTCGCTAGCTCAACAGCAATCTTCATCGAGTCGGCTGGGCGATCTGATGGTGCAGAGTTGTTGTTGATGTAGCCCCATGAAGACTCGCCGAAGTCATCCAGTATGCGGGTGTCGCCGTCATTCATAGAGTCTGTCGCTGAAACACTATCTCTGCATTCGTGAGGTAGATTGACATCGATCTTCGGCGCATGTTCGGGAGTTCGCTCCAAGTAGGAATCATCGTGGTCTTTGCCCTTCTCGAGGTCTTCCTCTTCAATATCTGGCCAGCCGATGGGGATGAACATCGGTCTTGAAATCTCGGACTTTCTTGGGCTTCTTGGGCTTCCGGGCTTGGGACTTGAATGGCTCTTGGCCTGCTTCCTTTTTCGACATATACAGAAGATGCAAGCAGCGAGCAGTACTGCGCCGCAGATGGACGCAAGAACGATGCCTACAATAACGCCTTTACGTTGACCGCTCGTGTCTGTTTTGGTAGTATCGAATGTGTCACCATGGCCAGATCTTGTGAGATCGTTGTTGGCTGTGGAGTCTGCTGTAGCCAGAAGTGTGATGTTGAACGGCTGAGATTCCTCAAGGCTTCCGTCCTTGGATGTGGCCGCGATGGTGCATAGTACAACCTGCGGTGATATATCTGTAGGGACTGTGCCGAAAATCGTAAATGTATTTGGATCGAAATGCATGTGATCCGACAGCGTTGCGAAGTCAACCGTTACGACTTCGTCATCTTTGGCCATTATTGAACGTGAGAGCCGGGACTTGAAGAGCTCTCCCAACGTGATGTTCAGAGTGCCGACAGTGCCGGAGAACAGCTCTGAGACGACATTCAAGCGTATGGTGTGCTGAGCCAAGTCGCCATATATGTCGTTCGTCGATATAGTCAGGTCTTGGGACGAGAGCTCGGTAGGTGCCTTTCCAGATATGTCGAAAGAACTGCCGTCGAAGGCCAGCCAGTCCGGTAATTCAGCGGCCGACGATTGTATGTCTCTATCGCTTATAGGGGACTGATCCAGATAGAGCTTACTTTTCAGGCCAGTGATGTGGACGTCTTCGCCCTTGGTGACGTTCAAAGTTTGCATGGCTGGTTGAAAGTAGAACTCATGAACGCTGTTCGATAGCGCGAACTGTATAGTGGCGGCAGCGTACCCTGGTTTATCCGAGGCAATCAAGAGTACACCAAAGAATTGCGGTATGCTTGTAGGCGGAGCCGTTCCGGCGAGACGCAGCGTAGATGGGTCGAAGCTGATCCAAGCAGGCAGTGGAGTGTGATCAGAGAGAGTCGCGAAGTAGGACAGTTTGCTGCCCGAGTCAAACAGGTCTGAAGGAAAGACTATCTCGAAGTCTTGAGATGCCTTGATCGCGAGAGTCGTCGGACCGGACAAGGGGCCAGCTGCTGATAGAGCTTGGGAAATGTTCGCGTTCACTTGTGGCCCATCGTCTTTGGTCACAACCAAGGTTGATTCCATGTTTGCGACAGCTCCAGCCGATTCAGCTGCAGTAATCGTAAAGGATGCGGTGCCGACATCGCGCGCTCCAGGTATTCCAGAAATGGTACCAGTCTTTCCATCGATCGAAAGCCAGGAAGGGCCGTCGTTCAAAGAGTACGCAAGGCTGCCTGAGTCCGACTTGAAAGTTGTTGGCGCGAACTGGAACGAGTACGATTCGCCAATATGTGCGATCGGTGGGAATTGAGAGTTAAACGGATAGCTGACTTGTGGTGCTGCGCCAACGATAGCGAGCAAAGCAGCGAAGGCCGCGATGCGCACCGCCATAGCACTGAATGTCTGTCAGCTAGTCCGGGTCCAAGTCACGGAATTCTTACAATAGTGACGCTGCCATAGCAACAAGTCACAGGTGTCGGTCGTCGCAGAAGTGAGTGTAGATCTTGGGAGCAGACATGTTGAAGGCCTTTCGTCACTGACAGCCATCTCTTTCCGAGCCGTGGAATTCGTCGTCGCGCTTGAACGCGTGGTCGCGTCGCGGTACCGTCCGCCTTACGTGCTGGTGGAGAGATGGCAAAGGAATGTGAAGGTCGCGAAGGAGCAGAGGGGTAGTGACTGCAAGGGAGGTTCATCCTGCCACCTCAGCATACTTGAGACCAGCCATGAATTGCGCAAAACCGAGGTCTCTGCACTCATTCTACGATGGCCAACTCCATTTTGACTGCTGTTCGCCCAGGGCCGTAATAGTCTGGGAGCCGCTCAACTTGCTGGAACCCGCAAGACGCGTACAGAGCCCTGGCTGGAGCGCGAGCCTCATCAACCCACAGAAATATTGTTCGACAGCCTCCCTTATTCATTTGGTGGGAGAGGGAATGTACGAGACATCTGGCGATACCTTTACCCCTCTCTTGCTCGATGGTGGCCAGCTTGTGTAACCAGGCCAGACTTTTCTGTCTTTGAAACACGAGGTAGCCGACAGCCTCCTGACTTCCTTCCCTTGAAGCCAAAATGAGGCCAATGTTCTTCTTCTTCAGCTCAATACCGTAATCAAAGGCCTCGCTCGATGGAAAGATCTTCTTTTCGAGCTTGGCTACCTTTGCTGCCAAAGCCTCACGGTCCTTCGGTAGGCATGGACTGATTACTTGCAGGATAATGCCTGACGGTACAGTGACTGTATGATTGGTGTTCGGCATCGCTTTTTACTATCAGCGCTGAAGTAGGCTCACGCCGTCCGGCAACTGGAGCAGAGAAAGTCAACGGTAAGCCGCGTGTGAGTCTTGAGAAATCGGGAGGTAGTCAGCAACTTTCTGCGAATGTCTCGCAATTCAAGAAACTCTCCGGAGGCTACAGTTATTCTATCGTTATAGCCGACTTCTCCTGCTACTGGAGAGACTGCGTGAAAGTCGTGTGGTGGTGGAGCGTTTATTCAACGGGAAGCCGCGTTTGCGTACCACGCAGGATTAACCGGCAGTGTCTCTGAGTCGCCCTTGGTGGCGAAGTGCAGTCCTGGTGGTATACAATACTCTGTGTACGTCGTGGTGTAGGGTCGGCGAAGAGGTGGGTGCAGAAAAGCTTGATTGGTGGAGCCTCGCCCGTGACAGCGCGCCAACGATTTGCGTATATCGTCTCGACGCGTCTATCGCTCCTGCACGACAGAGCAACTGCCGCCTAGAGAAGTCCGGTAAACAACGATGATTTTGCGAACGTCCGAGTCATCACCTCTCATCGTTTGCGTACAGCGGTAGCGCCAAAGTTTGTTGCAACTATCAGCGATCTGCGCATGGTTCTCAAAATGCCCGGAAAGAGGAAGAGACCGTATTCGAATGTTGACTTCACGTTGAAGAGGGTGTTCAAGAAGCCATGTTTCCGGTACGTCAGAGACTCTAAGGCTTGAGGACTCGTCCTTATACACTCAAGTCCTCTGCAACGCGAAGTTATCATGGCGACATTAGAGGGCGAAGATGTCTTTCTGCAAGCAGCTACATCATTTGGCAAAAGCCTGTGCTACCAGCTGCCAGCTGTGGTCGATCTCGGCAGTATGTCAAGTCACCTGGAGAACGTGATCAGATGCTGACATCCTAGTTACTATTGTCGTTTCTCCGCTTTTGGCGCTCATGGTAAGCTAATATGCTCAGTAATGGGATGTGGAGTTGACATGCTCAGAACAATCAAGTCGCGTCTATGCGCAACTCACGCATCAAAGTCGAGACAGTCAACAGCACAACTCAACGACATGAGCGGGAACGCATATTGGCAGACCTCCAATGTGGCCATCCTTTGACCAGGCTCCTCTACGTAACTCCAGAGTACTGCGTAACAGACCACTTCCGCAAAATACTCCGCCTCATTCATTCGCAGAAAGAGCTCGCACGTGTAGCAGTCGACGAGGCCCACTGTGTCAGTGAATGGGGCCACGACTTCAGACCATCGTTTCAACAGCTCTCCTTCTTCAAGCTGGAGTTTCCGGACGTCCCAGTCATATGCCTCACAGCCACAGCGACCTCCCGCGTGCGCGACGACATCATCAAGACTATGGCTCTCGATCCTCTCAAGTTACGCGTCTTCCGTATGAGCACCAGCCGCCCTAATCTGCACTACGAAGTACGTTTCAAGTGCGATGCAGACGACCACTACACCGACTTTCTCTCCTGGCTCAAGAAGATCCACGACCGTCGCGCCAACTCGGAGCGAGCCAGCCAGCTTGCCACCCAGCAACAACGCACTAATAACGTTTCTGGAATCATATATACCCTCTTTCGCAAAGATTGCGAGTCACTCGCCGCGCGCCTCCGCAGCGACGGCATCGGCGCAAAGCCCTACCACGCCGGACTTCCTCACACGGAGCGCACCGACACGCTGCACGGCTGGGTCGCCAACAAAGAAGGCTACGACGTCGTCGTCGCCACAACAGCATTCGGCATGGGCATCGATAAAGAAGACGTCCGCTTCGTGGTGCACTGGCAGATACCCAAGTCGTTCGAAGGCTTCTATCAGGAAGCCGGGCGCGCTGGCCGAGACGGCAAAGCCAGCATGTGCATACTGTATTACGGTCGGGAAGACCGTGACCGTGCTGCGTCGCTTATGGCGAGAGATCAGGCGAGGCAGCCGACGAAGGGCGACGGAAGGGCTGCGCAGCGGCAGCAGATTCTCAATCGCGCGAAGAGCTTGCAGGAGCTTGTCGACTACTGCGAGGCGACGAATAAGTGCCGGCATAAGATTATTGCGAGGTATTTTGGCGATACGGAGGATCCGCCGTGTGACTTTGCGTGTGACTGGTGCAAGGATGCGGAGGCGCTTGTCAGGAGGAAGGAAAAGGGGTTGGCAAGCGAGGAGTGGTGCAGTACGCAGCGAGAGATGGGCAGGTATGAAGGGGATTACGATGAGTATGACTGAGAGAGCGAGAAGTGTCTGAGCGTTGTTGCATGATGCATGGGACTGGCGTATGACCAATATGCGCAGTGCTTTACTACGACATAATGATTCAGTGAAGACAACAGAAAGTATCAGAAGAACACAAGTCGTTATTTCGGGCGCTCTAGAGGAGAACCATGGTCATCTCTTCGTTTCAGATTCTGAAGTGGCATCTGTCAGCCACCAGATCATACTCTACATGCCAACGTCTCCCTATCTCACCTGAACGCCCCCAATGCATCTTTTCGTTACAGTTGTGTAGGACGAGAGCACCGTGTGAGCTCTCTACAGCATGCCTCAACCAATGATCAAGGCAGCGCTAGGCACCAAGCCGGCCTCCTTGAGCGTCATACCAAAGTCACTCTTGTCATACGTCTTCTTAGGGAAGTTGATGGTGAAGGTGTTCACCGTTGTGCCGTCCTGCTCTAGCGCATGCGCAACCTCAAATAGCGTTGTGTCGACCGGAAAGGTTTTGGTGACACGTCCACCAGGTGTCTGCAGCGCCAGACGTGCCTCTGTGTATGCGCTCGCGGGCTTGCTCGTCGTAGGTCCAGAAGAGATGGGGCCCTTTTGCTCTTGGACCGGAGGCGGAGCCTGGCCAGCACGCGCTGCCTTCTCAACCTCAGCCTTCCTCTTACGCTCCTGCTTGTCTGCTTCGAGCTTAGCCAGCACGCGCTTCTTCGCTTCCTGGTCTGCGAGCTTCTCTGCACGCTTAGCCTGCGCCTCCTTGATTTGCTCCTTCTTCTGCAGATCCTCCTTGATGTCCTGCGATTCCTTTGTCGACTTCATGCGGATCTGCTCGTTCCTCTTGCGGTCCTCTTTATCCTGCTCTGCCTGCGTGGCACGCTTGAGCGCCAGCTTCTCCTTCAGCTCTTGGAGACGCTGCTTCTTCTCCTCCTCGGTGAGCGGCGCGATCTCTTCGGTTGATTCGGCGAAATTCTCGTGGCCGGTCTTGCTGCCGTGGAATTCGGCCTGCGCTACGGAGCGGAACTTCTTGCCACAGTCTTCGCAGACGAGCGACTTGGCTTCTTCGCCAGGCTGCAGTGCGGGTGGCTCTTCGGCGGCGGAGGCTTGCTCGGCCTTGATCTCGTCGAGAGGGCGGTCTTGGTTCTTCTCGATCCAGTCGAGGGCGCCTTGCAGGTTACCGCTGGCTTTGAGGGCGAGAGTGGCGCGCTCGGGGTCAAAGCCCATGGCGACGAGCTGTTCTTGGTCGGACATAGTGATGTGGCGATGTAGTGTGTGTGGTGGTGAAGATGGATGCGCTGTAGCTTTACAGCGAGCCGTGGAGGTTTTTGAGCTAGGCAGAGCTTGACAAACAATTCTAGCAACCTAGTGAAACGTTTGCGTTTTTTATTGCAAGATGGTGTAAGTAAGTCGGAGCTTATGCGGAGTGGTAGCTCAAGTAGTAGGTGGGGTCCAGGGAACCACGGGTGATCTGTGGAGTATCTCGCACCTTCCACGGTAGATCTGCAGGTGAAGCGCGTGGCACAAGGTGTACCGAATAACACGGTTGATATTTGCTGGTTTCACCTGCACAAGCTCAGACGTGTGAACGTGGCCAAAGAGTTCCAAGTAAGCTGCGATGCCGCAATTCCGGCGTGCGACGATGACGAGTTCGCGGTCTAAGACAGGGACTAAACACTGTGACGTCGGGGTTGGCTAGATCCATCACGGCAAGCGAGACAACAGCCCTCCCCTTCACATCCCCTCTACCACGTCCACCACCAGCACCACGCCTGAACACCCTTAATCCTAGCAAGCACCCCTGACCTGCCTCCGCGGATTTCACACGTGCCCATTGTCCAGAACACGCCTTTGTCGCATGCGCCGTACAACGTAGCCGCGGTACTGCAACAGCCACGATTACCAATCCCACCCGCCGCCTCCCTCGCACCATCGCCATGTCTGTCGAGCTCGACCCCGTAGAGCTTGGGTTCAAGCGTGAGCATTGGCTGCATCTGCTGGCGTACACACATACTGAAAGCGCCAGGTCCCTTCCAGCAAGAGGTATCGCAGACGCTCCGTCTCAAGAACCCTCACTCGGACCCCGTCGCGTTCAAGGTAAGCCCACATGGACACTGTCACAACATGCAGAGTGTACCATGTAGACTGGCAGCTGACAGTTGCAGGTCAAAACCACCGCCCCCAAGCAGTACGACCAGCCCACCAAGCTTCCTCCCGGACCTCTAGGCTAACAACGGCCTTCTAGATACTGCGTGCGACCGAACAGCGGACGCATCGAGCCTGGGCGAGATGTCGAAGTTCAAAGTACGATCACAACACACTGCGCACTTCCGCGAAGCCCGGCGGCCATGAGTTAACACGTACGTGTAGTTCTCCTGCAGGCCATGAAGGAAGACCCACCGCCAGATGCCAAGTGCCGCGATAAGTTCCTCGTCCAGTCCGTCCTCGTTACCGCAGACAAAGAGTTCACCAATGTTGGATCTCTGGTAGGCTTCCATCACCGCGCTCACGCGACCAAAGCTTACAGCGATTGTAGTGGGCACACATCGAGCAGACTGCGAAGTCGTCCATCCAGGAGAAGAAGATTAGAGTTCTGTTCCTGTCTGCCGATGACGACTCCTCCTCCACACCTGCAAGGACCAACGGTGGCAGCCGCGACTCCATGCTCTCATCGCCCCAGTCGGAAGCTGCCGTAACCCCTATGCGCGGTCCTACAGACCAGGCGCAAGGCCCTGCTTCGCGCATCGAGGATCGCCCCGCCGGTAGTAAGAACCTCGGCGAGATTGAGCGCGAGGCCTACAACCCCGCAACCGGCTCTGGTGCTGGTGCTGGCATTCAGCAGACTGTGGCCGCAGCTGCAGCGAGTGTATCGAATGCCATCCCCACATCGCAGGCTGAGCTCCAGGCTCAGCTCGACGCGGCGAAGCAGCAGATCGCACGGTTGACACAGCAGGCCAGTGAAGGTCTCCGCCAGCGCAAGCCTGACTCGACCAGCGGCGCAAAGGGCCAGCTCGCCACCGCCACCCAGCAACAAACAGCCCCAGCAGGCGGTGTCTCTGTCCAGATCACAGCAATCTTGTGCCTGGTCAGCTTCCTTCTCGCCTACTTCTTGTTCTGAGCGTTTCTGCAATACCCGGAGTGGAAGACAAAAGCCATGCGCCTTGCGCCAACGACGAACCCGGATCTTTGACGAGACGCAGATTGTGGGGAATCAGAATGACGTATGCACGAGCACAACGAGCGTTCTGGCGACGTAGACAAGCAATGCATGCATGTTGGACGGTTTCTTTATTTCTTGTGTTTGAACTTCTGCTACACTGGAGGCCTTTGGGCGGTAATTGAGTACAGTATCGAGTACGGTTAGGAGCGGCATGGTAACGGGTGTCGAGTACTGTCGCACGAGCGTTCGATGTATCACCAATACAAGATGGCTTACCTGTTATTAAGTAAAAATGTGAGGCATTGAGTAATTGACAGCGGGTACTTCGCGCCTTGCTGAAACTTCTGAAGGCGACAAATGTAAGGCGATTTCTTTTACTCTCAAGATGCTTCGGCAATAGGGTATTGTTGACGTACGACACCTTCAGGACTGTGATTCGCTTAATTCTACGATATCTGCGTGCCACATGCAAATATTAGTCAAACGTGACTAACGCTCGCCGCGATCCTGCCGACCAAGGCCTGTCAAGCCTCAGAGTTAACGTGGAGATTGGCTTGGCAACTGACAGGAGGAACGTCAGCAGCGTTTGACGATATTTTCAAGAATGTTGTTTATGTGCATACATGGCGATCATCCACCAATGGCAGCACACTGTGTATGTGAATCGTCAAACGCATCCGGAGTCATACATCAATCCCCGCGCGCGTCATCGGCATTCCTCCCCTGGTTCGAGCGATAACGGGCTCCACTAGAATCGCTGGTTGCTTTCTGCGGCTCTCGGGCGCGTTCTGAACGTGGGCTAGTGGGGCATGCCCGTGTGGTCCCCGTTGCCGTCGCCGGAGGCAAGAGAGTCACTGTGAAGTGAGTCAAACTCTAGACTGCTCGGCGGTGAAAAACATCCACGTCCCTGGAGTGACGTTCTTCCTGTCTCTCAACCCTCCCCCCCTCATACAGCCAAGATGTGTGGTATCTTCGCGTGCTACAGGTACGTTATGGCCCTGCGACGACTGCGATTGCCCCTCCAAAACTTTCTTGTTGTGTATTCGAACAAAGACTGACAGGCGCGCAGACATCCCGATGTCCAAAAGTTCAAGCCGACCGCCCTGAAAATGGGCAAGCAGTAAGTCTCTTCCTCTCACGAGGTGACGGTGGGCTCAATCGACTGACTCTGGACAGGATCCGGCATCGGGGCCCAGATTGGAGTGAGCAACAGAAACACGAAATGCGCCGGCGAGCACGATAGCTGACAATCCGCAGGCGGCAACCACATCGCCAACGACACAAGTAAGCGCGCAGACACGATGCAGCTGGTGATTGGGTGCTGACAGCCTGCAGTCCTCGTCCACGAGCGTCTCTCCATCGTCGGTGTTGGTACGCGGTCACACGACCATATTTTTGTATCTGGGTAAATGCTTACGCTGTGCAGAGTCTGGCGCTCAGCCGCTCGTCAACAAGGCGGGAACCGTCTCGCTGGCTGTCAACGGCGAGATATACAACCACCGCATCCTGCGCAAGAGCCTCAAGACCCCCTACGAGTTCAAGACACACTCGGACTGCGAGGTCATCATCCCACTCTACCTCGAGCATGGCATCGACGCGCCCCGACACCTCGACGGCATGTTCTCGTGGGTCCTCCATGACAAGGAGAACGACCGACTCATCGCTGCCCGCGACCCCATCGGTGTCACCACATTCTATATGGGCAGGTCGAGCGAGACGCCTGGCGCCGTCTACTTTGCCTCGGAGCTGAAGTGCCTGCACCCCGTCTGCGACGACATTCAGGCCTTCCCTCCCGGCCATGTCTACGATTCCAAGACCGACCAGCTCACCCGCTACTACGACCCCAAGTGGCTCATTGAGCCCTCCAACATCCCCTCCAACCCGCTTGATCTGAAGGAGCTGAGGACGTCGTTTGAGCGCTCGGTGCGCAAGCGCATGATGGCCGAGGTGCCCTTTGGAGTACTTCTATCTGGTGGTCTTGATTCGAGTCTGGTCGCTTCGATCGCCCAGCGTGAGACGGTGCGCTTGAACGAGGAGACGAGAAGGAAGGCTGCCGAGAACAAGGCCAAGGCCAACAGCAAGGCGACAGACCCCAGCGAACTTGTCGGTATTGACGCCGACGGTCAGCTCCAGACCGACTTGATCCTTGGTCAACTCAACTCCTTCTCCATCGGCCTCCCTAACGCGCCCGACGCCATTGCTGCACGAGAGGTTGCTGACTTCCTCGGCACCAAGCACCACACATTCACCTTCACCATCGAGGAGGGTCTGGACGCTCTGTCGGACGTCATCTTCCACCTGGAGACTTTCGACGTAACCACCATCCGAGCGTCGACACCCATGTTCTTGCTCTCCCGCAAGATCAAGGCCATGGGCATCAAGATGGTGCTCTCGGGCGAGGGATCCGACGAGATCTTCGGCGGGTACCTCTACTTCCACAACGCGCCCGACAAGGCGGCATTCCACGAGGAGTGCGTCCGCCGCGTCAAGAACCTGCACTTGGCCGACTGCCTGCGGGCCAACAAGTCGACGTCAGCGTGGGGCGTCGAGGCGCGCGTCCCCTTCCTGGACCGCGAGTTCCTCAACCTGTCCATGAACATCGACCCCAAGGAGAAGCTGATCACGAAAGAGCGCATCGAGAAGTACATTCTGCGCAAGGCGTTCGACACGTCGGACGAGCCCGAGACGCCCGCCTACCTTCCCGAGAAGATCCTGTGGAGGCAGAAGGAGCAGTTCTCCGACGGGGTGGGGTACGGGTGGATCGACGCGCTCAAGGACACGGCGGCGGCGACGGTGACGGACGAGCAGCTGCAGAACCCCAAGCCCGAGTGGGGCAGCGACGTGCCGGACACAAAGGAGGCGTACTGGTACCGCTGCATGTTCGACGAGCACTTCCCGCCCAGCTGCGCCAGCACCGTCATGCGCTGGACGCCCACGTGGAGCAACCAGACCGATCCGTCTGGCCGGTAAGTTTCCTCTTGTGCTGCTTGTGCGATATTATGGTTGCTAACGCTGTGCTGCAGTGCCATTGGTGTCCACGAGCAGAAGTACAAGCACGCCGAGTAGCGTGCTGGCGAACTTTACACACGGTTACTAGGCTTCTCTTTGAATTCACTCATGGAATGCTAGGGTTCTCTTAGCCTGACAGACGTGCTCGACACGATGGATAGCATGTAGAATGCAAAATGGCATGTGCTGATGAACGAGAAGCCGTGCCGTCGTGAGGATTGCTGTCGGGAAAGTGTTCCAACGCGTTGTTGCTGTTGGGAAAGTGTTCCAATGCGTTGTTGCTGTTGAATGTTGGCGTGAGATGCGAGGGTCTGGATGGTGCGTGCTGCAGATGACTTGATCGTGTAGTATCGTAGAGCCAACGGGGGGGTACGGGTATAGTCTGTATTTTGACACCTTTCATCTGGAACATATACACATGTCATTGCGGTCTTGACTACATGGAAACATGTACAGTAAAACTAAGAACAAGAATGCACCTCAAGTCCAGCGACTGGGTATCTATCGCGCAACGCCGCATCGCACCAGAAGCCAACCAAACAAACAGACCCATGCTTTTGATGCCGCCCGAGGCGGTGATGAAGAAACACAACCCTCCCTGCCACGCATCTCCCTTCTACGCAACCCTCCCTGCCACGCACCTCCCTTTTACGCATCAACAGAGGACAGCGCCTCGCCGGTGCCAAAGGCGCGGAACTGCATAAAGATGACGGCGTCCTCGACCATGGTGCCGAGCGAGCCGATGAGCCAGGGCAGGTTGGTGACAAAGTACTCCTTCTCGGTGGAGTGGAACAGGATGCCGGCGCCGTAGGTGGCGTTGCCGAGCAGGCTGAGCATGAAGAACAGCAGCGACAGGCCCTCGCACGAGCGCTCGCGCTGGTTCTTGATGATCTGCGGCACGCGAGCGCCCAGGTAGCACACGGCGCTCACGTAGCCCAGTATCTCGGCGCCAAGGGCAATGGGCGGCGCGTCCCCGGTGCGCGTGGGCTGCGGAAGCCACACGCCGCTCTGCCAGGCAATGGCCCAGCCGGCGGCGCCGACGGCCATGACACCGAATACCGAGACGGTGTTCTTCATCCACTCGCTGGGGACGTCGTCGACGTCGAGGATGGTGGGCAGCGACGAGGCGCGGCGGCGGCGCGAGGCCTGGCTGTCGCGCCTGTGGCTGCCCGGCAGGCCGACGTTGGAGCTGTCGCGGCGGCCGAGGAGGGGCGCCTCGACCGAGTTTGCCGACTGCGTCGAGGTTTTGCGGGCGGTGCGCCGGGCGTTGATGGTGTTGTAGTACACGCACTGGGTGATGAGGATCTGGACGGTCAGGGTCAGCATGCACAGCTCTCGGGCGGGTTGAAGCGGTACGAGTGGCGTACCAGGTCAGCTACGCAAAAGTACATGGCCAGCGCGATGACGGTCGGCACCAGGCCGGCCCAGAGGGCGCCGGCGAGGTTGGTGACATCGCCAATGAACCAGATGGCGAGGAAGACGAGCGAGATGCCGTCTGCGGAGCCGGACTTGTAGTTTTCGATCAATTGGGGGACCTGGGCTGGTCAGCACACGAGAAGAGCAGGGCCTGGGCCGGACAGGGCAGGACAGCCTCACCAGCAGGAATATCCAGGCACAGAGGCTGATGGAGCCCCAGATACCGCTGAGGGCCTCGCGCGCCGTCAGGTGGTGGGCAGCAGCCGTCGCCGCGGCAAAGGTCGACATGGCGGGCGTGTATTGTGGTGTCTGCTAGAGTTCCCGTGCGGCTGCGACGACAACTGTGGACAAGAATTCGAGCTTCTCTGCAGCTTGCGCGCGCCTTGGAATTTTGGTTGAGCCCCGGTTGCTATGACGCAGACAGGCCGGAAGGGGAGCCAGGCCGAGGGCTGGTGCGCGACGACAGAACAATAGCGTCGTCGTGATTGGCCGGGCTAGCAGATTCGAGAGCGCTGCAGACGATGTCCCTCGCCGCGAGACATGGCCGCGGTGGGCGTTTTGATGCTCGCAGCTTGCAGCTTGCAGCTTGCAGCTTACGTGCACACGCCCTTGACGCGCTTCACGCTGCGCTATCAGGCCTACGGGCGAGGGAGCGTGTTTTGGGGGGGGGAGAATTTTCGCAGTCAATATTATTATTGCTGGCTGGAACGCAGACTTCAATGCAGGGCGCTGCCTGGCCAGTTTGGGTGCCTGCCAGCCGGCCCCGGCAGACGACCTCGCCGTGCGCCGTTTGCTATTTTGAGCGCCCCCCGACTCGAGGGCGCTCTGTCATCTGCCGCACCGGCGCATCAGCCATCACTCCCGCCGTCGTGCAACGCCCTTTGTTTTTTCCGCTTTCCTCGCTTATGTCACCCCATCCATCACCAACGCCCCCGTGAGTCTCTTCCGGCACCACCGCGACCACACCACACCACGCCACACCACACCACACCACACCACACTACACCACACTACACTACACCACACTACACCACACCACACTACACCGGATACGCGCACCCACCGCCCCGACACAATCCGCACCCACCGCCCGGACACGATCCGCACCCGTCCGCTGCTTCCGTCGCCGCCGACGCGCACACGCTCGCTTTCTCTCCCCCCGACACAACCATGCTGCGCCAGGCGTGGCTGCTTGCGGCGCTGTTCGCCCTGGTTGCCATGGCGTCGGCGTTCAACTTTGACGGCCTGCACCTCGACGGCATCAACGAGTACCTGCACCACAACGAGAAGCGCCAGGCCTCGGGCACCGCCGGCAACACGCCCGCCTCGTCCGCCCCGGCAGCGTCCTCGACACCAGCGGCCTCGTCGACACCGCCTGCATCGAGCGCAGCGCCCGCCTCGTCTGCGGCCCCGGCCTCGTCGGCAGCTGCCTCGTCGGCCGCCCCTGCTGCCTCGAGCGCTGCACCTGCCTCGAGCACAAACGACGCCGACTCGGCCACGGCCACTGCGAGCAGCACCGTCCCCTCGAGCGAGACGCAGGCCGCGGGGTCCACGGCAGCCACCACCACCACCGCCGCAGCCTCCTCGTCTCGCCGCACCACGGCCATTGTCCGCACCACGCCTCTCGTCTCCACCTCGGTCCAGGTGTACACCACCGTCTACAGCACCATTGTCAACGGCCAGACTTCGGCTGTCACTAGCACTGGCTCTAGCACTGTCCTTGCCACCACCGGCGCCGCCACCGTAACCGACGCGCCAGAGGCCCAGAGCGGCAGCAGCGGCGGCGGCGGCGGTCTGAGCGAGAGCAATAAAAAGGTCATTGGCGGCGTCGTCGGTGGTGTCGGTGGCGCTCTCCTCCTCGGCGGCATTGCCCTCGTCTTCTGGCGCATGAAGAAGCGCCAGAGCCGAGTCACCGAGGACGACGACGACCTCATGGCCGGCACCGGTGCAGCCCTCGGCGACAAGCCCGCCAACACGGGCGCCTCGCCCTTCCAGTCGAATCTCGAGCAGTACCACAACCCCGGCGGACGTCCGAACGCAGCAGCCAACTTTTAATCGACCAAGCACGCACACTGGCAGCCCCGCTGCGTTCACGACGACCACGACACTACTTCCAGCTTTGCGAAAACCACGGGTGAGTGGCATCTCAAACTCGTATGCAGCGAGTCGATCCACGACTCGGCACTCTCCGATACTTTTGTGTTGGATACCCTGAACAGCCTCGGCACTCTCTGATACTTTTGTGTTGGATACCCTGAACAGCCTCGGCACTCTCTGATACTTCTGTGTTGGATACCCTGAACAGCCACGGCACTCTCCGATACTTCCGTGTTGGATACCCTGAACAGCCACGGTGCATCACAGGCGTGTATCATTGCTTTATTTATTTATTTTCATTCCTCCAAACTGGATGGTCATAGACGTCTACTATCGGTATAGGAAAACCATGTAATAGGGTCGCTCGACCGCATCGCTTCGCCGCATCGCTTCACCACATCACTTTCCTTGTCAGTCGTGTACGGCATTGTAATAGCACATGAATCAAAACATGACTTCACCACATCCCAATCAAACCTGACGTCCCGCGAATTATCGCGCATGGGTCTTATCGAGCATGGGTCTTTCTTCGGTGGTTTTGCGTATCCACCGACGTCGTTTGTTTCGCACAGCAGAACTCGCTGTCGTTTCCCGCCTCGTTCGGATTCGGGGGGGGGGGTCCGCGTTTCAGCACTGTCGCAACACCACCACCACGCTTCCTAGTAGGGAAACGCAAATCCGCGGCGCCACTGTGGTCGCCTCGGCGCTACATAGGAGCGCAGGCCCGCTGTTTGGCCGTCGCCTTCGCATTCACCACCACCCATTGCACGTCGCGGCGACGGCGCCATACTCGAAACGAAACGACACACCACGTCCCGTACTCGCCGCCATGCACGCGCTCCCGCCCACGATGCTGATCCTCCTCTTCCTCGCCCTCACCTCCACATGCGCATCCACGCCCGCGCCGCCGCTGCTCGGCTCCGACTACGCCATCTCCCTGATGCCACGGCACACGCTGTTCTACCGCCAGACGGCAGATCTGCAGACCTTCACCGCCGCGCTGGGAGGCGTGCGCGCATCCCCCATCACTAAGAGCGGGATCCCGGACCGCCCCTTCTCCGTGGGCGGCAACTCGTTTCCGGACTTTGCGTCCGCCGCGCAGAGGAGCTGCGATGAGCAGTTCCAGGGGTGTCAGCAGCTGGCGAACGCAAAGGGTGGCGGCGGCGGTGGGGGTGCCAAGGATAAGGACAAGGGGAATGGGAAGCAGGAGGGGAAGAAGGGGGCCAATGGGGATGTCACGGTTGACATGTGCGGGGCGCAGAAAGGTATGTTTTAACCCCGGGCGCGTGGGCAACGGAGAGGGCCTGTGTAGGCCCAGCACGGTGCGGTGCTGACCAGTGCAGATAAATGTAGTCAGGCACAGCAGACGGCGACGGTAAAGGACTTCAAGACGCCGGTTGCCAGCATGAATATCGGGCCTGATCCGCTATTTCCGGATTATGATTTGATCTGTGAAGGGTAGGCGGTGGACATGGACATGGAGATTGGGTCTACTGGTGGCGAGGGAACTGGTGGCGAGGGAACTGGTGGCGAGGGAACTGGTAGCGAGGGAACTGGTAGCGAGGGAACTGTTGGCGAGGGAACTGGGTAATGTCTGATGTCTGATATCTGATGTCTAATAGTGGACGTAATGTGCACATCAGTCTCGATACGACGATTGCATGTGGTCGACGTAATGTAGTATTGCCTCACTCTCACGTCGTCAAGGCTTGCAGACGCTTCCTCGTCCAAGGTCTCGGATGAATCTACGCACTGCCGACGTCCTCGATCATCTTCGCTATCGCGGCCTCGTCCACCGCAGCTGAAGAGACTGTCGTGTCGCCGTCCACCGCAGCGAGCAGCTGCATCCGATTCGACTCCCACGCGACCCACGCCGCAGCCTGGAGGAAGCAGTCGGCAACATCGTCTAGCTTCTTCATCTCCGCTGCCGGACCTTCTTCCACCACCCCTCCATCCTCACCGCGACTCTTTGCGGCTTTCAACGCCTTCTTCCTCCGCGGTGCCTTGGCGATGCGCAGCAGCGCCTGCCGCGTTGCTTCTGCGCCCGCGTCGATGCGGAACGTGATGTGCGGCGTGCGAGTTGGCGTAGAGGGCGCGGTGGACATTGCATCCTGCGCCAGCCAGGAGCGGAGCACGGCGATCTTTGCGCTCTTCTCTGCTTTGCTGCGGCTGGGTTTCTTCGCACTCGTGTCCGTGGCATCATCGACGGCGTCGGGGGCTTCTGCACGTTCCGCGAGAGCATGATCCGCGCCCTGCTCCCGTTCCGAGAGCGCTTGGGTGTGCCGCCCCAGCCAGTACTGGCCCACGCGCTTGGGATCCACGGCGCGCACCTCGAACGTCTTTGTCGCGAGCGCCTCGGTGCTTCCAGATCGGAATTGCTGCGTCCGCTTCACCGTCTCCAGCACAGCCCACAGCATGGCCTCGAGCGTGTTGACGCGCACAGTCCACTGCTGGACCGCGCTGCCGCCACCCGAGCGCCAGCGCTGTTTCTCGATGAGGATCACATCTGGATTCACGTTCAGGACTTCTTCCGTGATGAGCTTGTAAGCGGTCTTCGAGAGGACCGAGGGCGAGAATTGGCTGATGTCTTCCTCGGCAGCTTCGGGGTCTTGTCTGCTGTCTCGCGATGTAACTTCTACGAGGTCGAGTTTCTTCCAGCGCATGACTTGCATGGTGGCGTCGAGGCTTTGCTTTGACTTGGGCACGGGGGATGGGTATGCTATCTCGGCGTCGCAGAATGCTAGGTTCTTGATGCCCATGTCGATGCTGATGACCCGTACCTTGCGGCTCCGTGATTCCAGCTGTGGTGCGATCTCTGCGGATTGCGGACAGAAGCCGTAGACTCTGGGGAGGTCGCGCTGAAATCGCCGGAGGAGCGCGCTTTTGGTTCCTGACGATGCTGAGCCGATGCGTGTGAGTAGAGCTTGGAGGGCTTTGGAGGTCAGGGTTGCTTTCTTGGGTGCCATGGTGCTCAGGAAGTATATGGGAATGAGCTTGGGGGTCGACCGGCTGGAGATCAATTTGCAGTGGTGGTGTTATGTGGATATCCCGAGCCAAGAGTTACGTGAAATGCACGACAGTCTCAAACCCTTTCGTGCAGACTTGATCATCGTGAGGACAGATTTGATGCTCAAAGTGAATTCGAGTCGGGATCAACAGGGGTCGGTATGGTAAGTAGCATTGGATTGTGTTGTTGATGTTGACGAAAAGGTGGAGGCCTGCGCGTGGACATGGAAACAATATCACTAGCGCGTCGCGTAGTAACCTCATCAGAAAGCAACGCCCGTCGCCACACATGTTCGTAATTCTTATTCAAGGCGTTCAATCAAATTCAAACTTGGATATCGCTACACATATGTACAGACACCGCCTACACCAGGCTTTCCTTTTAAACCAGACGAAACGGGACAGCTTAATCAGAAAGCTCATTCGCACGAGTCACCTCCTCCCTCGACTCGGCTGCCTGTGCAGCAAGCAAGTTCAGAGCGCTACCCGCAAGCACGAACGCGCTCTGGTCCTTGGTAAGGGTGTGCTTGGTCTTGACGACAACCTCCTTGCCATCCTTCTTCTTGACAACGAGCTCGATCTCGCCCTTGCCGCCGTTCTGCAGAGTCTCCAACAGACCTCTTGTCGACACCTCATCGCACGAGTCGATCAAATCGTAGTCGGACTCGTTGGCGAATGTCAGCGGGACCATACCCTGCTTCTTCAGATTGGTCTCGTGGATACGTGCGAAAGACTTGGTGAGGATGATGCGTCCGCCCAAGTAGCGGGGCTGCAGAGCCGCGTGCTCGCGGGCAGAGCCCTCACCGTAGTTGTGCTCGGCGACAACAAGCCACTCGGTACCCTGCTCCTTCCAGCGCTTGGCAAGCTCAGGGATCGAGGTCTTGGAGCCATCGGTATCATAGGCAACGTTCACTTCGTCGGTCTCGGCGTTGACAGCGCCGATCAAAGTGTTCTCGGAGATGTTGGGCAGGTGACCCTTGTACTTGAGCCAAGGACCTGCAGCCGAAATAGTGTCAGTTGTACACTGTCCCTTGACCTTGTAAAGCACCTTCAATCCATTCAGCTCAGATGAGGGGAACGGCGAGAAGGGGTCCAGGAGAGCCAGACGCGATGATGTAGGGCTGACCTGGACTTCGACACTGGGGTCAGCCACTCCAGGGGTGGGGAGGAACTCAGCCCTGCCCTCCTCAAAACCAGCAGTTGGCAGGTCAATACCCTTGGGTGGCTGGAACTTGAAGTCTTCGCCGGACGGGGTCTTGATGCTGTCAGTCATGGGGTTGAACGTGGTAGATCCCGAATAGGCCATGGCGGTAATGAGTTCGGGAGAGGCGAGGAAATTCATAGTAGCGCGGTTGCCGTCGTTGCGACCGGGGAAGTTGCGGTTGTACGATGTGAAGATGGCGTTTGATTCGCCCTTCTTGACCTCGTCGGTTCTTGTCCACTGTCCTGTAAGACTGTTAGTGAAATCCACACATGACAAAAGGATGGGGAATTTTACCAATGCAAGGGCCGCAAGCGTTGGCGAGAACTGTGCCACCAGCGGTCTCGAAGGTCTTGATGGTGTCGTCCCTCTCGAGAGTAGCCCTGATCTGCTCACTGCCTGGTGTGATGAAGAAATTGGCCTTAGGCTTCAGGCCAGCAGCCGCGGCCTGCTTGACGATGTCCTCTGATCGCTGCATATCCTGGTAAGAGCTGTTTGTGCAGCTGCCAATGAGTCCCGCACCGAAGGTCTGCGGCCAGCCCTTCTCTTCGACAACCGACTTGAACTTGGACAGAGGGGTGGAGAGATCAGGGGTGAAGGGGCCGTTGATGTGAGGCTCGAGGGTAGAGAGGTTGATTTCGATGACCTTGTCGTAGGCGGCTTCGGGGTCGGCTTGCAGGAGATTGCGCCCCATTGGCGACCGAGCGATCTTTAGTGCAGCTTCCGCGATCGGTCCACGATTTGTCGCTTGGAGATAGGGAACGTGAGCCTGCGAGAAGGGGAACAGCGAAGTCGTGGCGCCAACTTCCGCACTAAGATCGACGTTAGTACTCAGTCGTTTTGACCCAGGCTACGAGAAAGCAGACTCACCCCATGTTGCAAATAGTGGCCATACCGGTAGCAGACAGAGACTTGATACCCTCTCCGAAGTACTCGATAATGTAGCCGGTTCCACCACGAACTGTGAGCTGACCCGCCAAGTTCAGGATAACATCCTTGGGAGAAGCCCAACCGTTGAGCTCACCTGTAAGCTTGACACCGAGGATCTTGGGTGCCTTCAGTTCCCAGGGCGCGTCAACAAGAGCATCGACGGCATCAGCACCGCCAACACCAATGACAATAGCGCCGAGACCACCAGCGTTGACAGAGTGACTGTCAGTACCAAGCATCATGAGTCCAGGAGCAGAGTAGTTCTCCAAGACAGACTGATGGATAATACCAGCACCAGGAGGCCAGAACTCAATACCATACTTCTTTGCCGCACTTTCCAAGAAATCGAAAATCTCCGAGTTGTTCGCAATCGACTTGGGCAAATCGGCATCTGCGCCGGTTTCACCAACAATCAGGTGGTCGCAGTGAATACTAGCAGGGACCGCTGTGGTTGGCAGTCCACAGCTCATAAACTGCAAAAGCGCCATCTGCGCACTAGCATCTTGCATAGCCACGCGATCTGGCTTGAGCTTCAAGTTGGCCTGTCCGCGGATGTCGCGTCCGTTGTTGGTGTTGCTGAGCAGCGACTCTTCAGGAGAATCCAAATGCGAGTACAAGATCTTCTCGGCAAGGGTGAGCTGGCGTGATGAACCGAGGACGCGGCGGACCTCGCTGAGGCGGCCAAGCAGCTTCTCGTACGGCGGCGTTCGCGAGGCGATGTCGACATTGCGGGCGCTTGGGATCGATGTGGAAGTTGCGAGGTATCGTGCCTGTGTGGAAAGGCGGGATGTGAGGAGGTGAGGCTGCGGAGGTCAGTCTTCAATACTGTCTCTACACAAGTTCGAAGGTGGCACTGGGTCTACAGCGAGCTGATCTGAAGTCCGCTGCGGCACCCAATTGCATAATTTGTCACTTACTCTGCAGTTAGCAGCCTGTCCGGCTCGCAGTACTTGCGACCGCATCTTGTCGTGTTTGTCTGTGGCGTTGGTGCGGTGCCAGAGTCAGAGACATTGGCAACAAAAATGTGGACCAAAGCACTCCGCGGCCTCGGGCCGGTGTCGCTCTGGGGCGAACCCCTGTCACTATCTCGACCATTCGACCAATCACGAATTGCTTGGAAGTCAGCGCACGGCATATTTGCCGGCTGCCAGAGTGCTGCAGTGTTCTTGTCGATGTGCACTTTGGTTCTGGGTACTTGAGTTGCAGATGTAACATGTGACAAAGTGTGATTACTCTGTACTTCGATGCGCTCATTTTAAACCTTTGTATTCGCTATTAAAACGCAGCTCTGCCCTCAAATTGAGCAAACTACACTGAAGGGCAATCCATCTCAGGGATTTGCTGAGTGAAGCCTTCGCCAACAGTAAAAGCAGAAGAATACATGAGTCGCACTATGCATACTGTCGGACTGCAGGTCGAGGTTTCTGTGCTGTATACATTCTGGTGAGATACTTGTAGCTGCAAGACACTTACAAGCCTGGTGGAGGAGGGACTGCACCATAGCCAGCTCCGGGCGAACCGGCAGGTGGCGGAGGGGGTGGCGGAGGGGCTCCATAGCCTGTAGGCTCTGCAGGCGGAGGTGGAGGCGCTGCAGCTCCGGTGGCAGGAGACTGTGTCTGTCCGGCTGTGTAAGCTTGACCATAGTACTGTCCATAGCCTTGCGAGTACTGAGCCATGACTGCTGCAAAGCCGCCATATGCAGCGTATGGGTCCTCAGACGGATTTTGCGCATAGTATGCGGCCCACTGGGCGTACTGGGCGTTGTAATCAGCAGCTTGAGCGTTGGGGTCAGCAACACCAGCAGGAGTAGCTGGAGCGTCAGGGGCACCATTCTGTGCGCCGTAACCACCACCATAACCACCTGCACCTCCATAGCCGTAGCTCTGGCTTCGGTCGCGATCACCACCACGGTCACCGCGGTCACCGCGTTCGCCACGATCGCCACGATCACCATAGCCGCGTCCGCCGCCGTAGCCATCCCGGTCACCGTAGCGGTTTGGCGGTGGACGTTCCTTAAACGCCTGGTAATCGGCCTTCACCTTCTCAAGCAGCTCGGTGCAGAGTTCCTTGGCTTTGGCTACACCTTCTGGTCGGGGTCCACTAAAAGTTGTTAGTACAGCCTCTATAGTCATTGGACGAGATAGCACGTACGCAATGTGAAGGAACATGGGCTCTTCGCTCTCTTGCCCAGACTGAGGCTCCATGAAGCCAGATCCGCGACCCTTGATCTGAACTTTGCAGCTAGTCTCTTGTTGAATATACTTGACGTTATCACCACCGCGGCCCACAACCTGTGCGCGCAGGTTGAAGCCACTGATAGGTTCGAGACCAACAAAAAGCTTTTCCTCAGGCCATTTGCGCTGCACAAGGTCAGTGTTCGCACTTCAACAGGCAAAGCGTGACACTCACGCGTCCAAACTCGTCACGCTCAAAATTCTCCGGTTCGCGGCGACGGAAACGGCGCTCATCTACCAAGTTGGGCAATTCCTGTGTCAGCATCTCTTCGATCATCTTGACAGCTTGGTCGAGTCCTTCCTTCGATGTGCTAGTAACACGGAGATATAGAGGTGGGTTCTGACAGCGATTAGTGTTAACAACAGAAAGGCAGCTGTCAGACTTACAGCAGCGGTGGCCATGCTCTTGTCTGGATAGTATTCTCCTCGAGTAGTGACATCTTGCGTAAGTATAAGCAGAACATTCTAACGTAGCCAGAGGGATTTCGAGTATGCGTACCGGCGCCAGTATCGTCTTTGATCTAGATGTCACATCGATGTCAGCATATGCTAAATGGGTTGTGGGGCAGCTAGAAGATCAAGTAAGCTCCAGATCTCCGTGAGAAGAAATGCGCAAACAGCGTGCACAACTCGAGCCCTGCGACACTGTCATAATGCAGCAGCGCCGCAGTAGCTTCGAGCAGACATGATCCTAAACAATCAGTGATAGACAGAAGTAATTTACCCTTTTTTGTACAGCTCCTTTAGTCAGAGTATAGCGATTCCTAAGATCGTTGATTTCAATATCTTTGATGAAGTCACCATCTTGTTGGTATATCTCGCTGGTGACAGGCGGGCCAGAGTTGACAGACGGCGACTTGACGACTGGGGGAGTAAGCGCCTGCAAAGAATTGTCAGTAGGGATCCAGCAACTTTGCGACAGAGGAGAAGTACAGCACGAATAGGCGGCACATCGACATGCTGGATGCCCTTCTTCGCTTGGATCTGCGCATTGATCCTCGCAGCCGCAGCTGCCGCCGCCGCTGCTGCCTTGTTCTTGGTGCCTGCGTTCGATGGGCTGTTTGTTGCCTCACGAGCCACTGGGCTGCGTTCACGAAGCGACTCCGATTCTCTCCGCGAGGGCGATCTCGAGCGACGGTCTGTATCGAAACGCGAGCGTGCGGGGCGTTCAGGCTCGTCGCTGTCGAAGCGCGATCGCGGTCGTCGTTCGTCGGACATGGTTGCACGTAGTTGCAGAGTACGAATTGATGTTACAGTGAACGTGATAGTGGCCTGGTCAAAAGCGCGGACAGTAGTTTGCTCGCTAGCGCCTGCCGTGTGGTTCCCTTCCACGCCGCCGCAGGGCCCAATCACGTCTGGCCGAGGTCGGAGTCAGAAATTCTGGGCGCTCTGGGGAAGCTCAAACATTTATCAACACCGAACAACAAGTCTCACCCTCGCAAAAAGACGCCGTCTTTCAATTAACTCACTCAGGCTAGTTGATATCTGATGGCATCACAGCGGGCTCTGCTGCCTCTGCGCAGCTACCTCGGTCGGCAATGCGCCGGAGCTGTGCGTCAGCAAACGAGGGCATCGAGCTCTCAATCGTCGTCCACGCAAGCTTTGGCATACAAGGCTCTGCACCGCCGCATCGCGCCTCTCCCTACCGAAGACCGCCCTCCAGCTTGGTCTGCCCCGGCTGCTGTTAGCAGCATCCTATACGAGACCCCTACACCTTCGCAAAAGCCCCACAAGAAGCACATCCTCAACTGCTTGGTGCAGAACGAGCCGGGTGTACTGTCTCGCGTCTCTGGTATCCTGGCTGCTCGTGGTTTCAACATTGACAGTCTCGTCGTCTGCAACACCGAAGTCGATGACCTCTCTCGCATGACGATTGTTCTGCAGGGACAGGAGGGTGTCATAGAGCAGGCCCGTCGCCAGCTTGAGGATCTGGTCCCTGTCTGGGCCGTCCTTGACTACACGGAATCTCCTCTCGTTCAGCGCGAGCTGCTCCTTGCCAAGATCTCCATTCTCGGTCCTGAGTACTTTGAGGAGCTTCTTGCCCACCACCGCGACATGGCCCATAACCCAGATTTGGACTTCAACCCTGAGGAGTTGAGCGAGGAGGAGCGTCAGGCATTCGCCGAGGAGGCTGCTCGCGATTCTCTGAGGAAGGACTTCCACCCTAGCAACCTCGCTGTTTCTCAAGCGCTCCGTCATAAGCACGAGCACTTGCGAGCCATTACTTTCATGACCCACCAGTTCAAGGGCAAGGTCTTGGATATCAGCACCAACAACTGCATCGTCGAGCTTTCTGCGAAATCGGACAGGATCGACTCCTTTATGAAGCTCATTGCTCCATTCGGTATCCTGGAGTCTGCACGAACTGGTAAGTCTACTGGTCCAATCTCTCACATGGTATCTGAACTGACGTCAAACAGGACTCATGGCTCTTCCTCGTTCCCCCATTCACAGCTCTGATGACGTTGGAGAGAAGGACGCAGAGGATATTGTCGACACAAGCCTGTTGCCTCCCGGCTAAATTCCTATCGCCAGAAGAGTCTAAGTAGATTAGAACACTTACTGCTTTGGGGATGTCTTGATCTTTGCGTGTAATCTACCGGTAGTCGGGGTCTGGCGTTCACCGTTGGCGATGTGGCATTACGGATTGGAACTTGCGCAGTTACAAGATGACAAGTGGGTCAATACTATGTCGCGATATTTGCCATGTAGGTATTCCAGTATTCATGCTGACGTTCAATTTCGCTGCCGCTGCGTGTCTGGTGTATATATCAAATGCAACACTGGCCCAGTGCCCATCCACTTTTCGAGTCATTCGCCCTCCATCTGACATTGAAAGTGGCGGCTGTCACGCTCCAGGATTCGTCCCCATAACGGCAGGAAGAGCTGTCGTTTTCGCGTTAAGAGTGTAAGGTTGAGCCGCCCGGTCCATATGCTGTTGTGTCAGGACTGACTGGTGAAGCTGTGTTTGCTCGAGCACAGTGCGACAATCGCAACGACGCTCTTCATCGCCCTTACAATCACGAGTAAGAGATGAATGCAGTCAATGAACGACACTCAACTTCGCCTTTTGGGAAGTTACAGGGCACAGAAAGTTTCAGGCGTGCTATGGCCAATCACAGAAGCGAAGTGACGACCTGCCTCTTCTTCCTTCCATTTAAGCGCATTCCTGCATCCCATCTGCAGTGTCATGCAAGAACGGGCAGGTGTCCACAAAAGTTCTTCCCGCTTTCGTTGTCCGCGGACGCAAACCTCAATTCAACACGATCAGCGAAGGATACGCTGCAAGTGAAAGCTTCATTGCCTTGGCTACATCAGCTTATCGATAGTTATAGGTTGATTGGTCGTTATCTGGGGCCTGCGCAGCATACAGTTGCATTCCATAGTCGGTGTCAGACATATCCTCGACCATTTCTCACACCATAGATGAGCAGCTCTGGATGCCTTTAGCTGCAGGGTCTACTACACAACACACAACAAGTGGGGCGGGCTGTCAACACTTTCTCTGGCTGCAGTACCTGATGGGTCTACGCGAAGTTTCTACACGAAAACACCACAAGCAATACGTCTAGAACCCGTCCGCTCAAGCCAGGTAACACCTCGTAACCTACCACGCTGATTTACCACCACATGCCGCTTCAGAGCCAGTGGACCATGGCACGAGATGGTCCACCGACCGGCCCCGGTACCACATCCGCGACCTGAAGTTCTCCATTGGGGGTTGTTCGTGCAGCGTTAGGTACCATCGTGGACGGTCGACACAAGAGTGCACTTGACGCATACAAATTTTCCTCCAAACAGACCACTCAGATCGCAGCGCAGGATGCTGCCGTCTGCGGCTCTCCGGCAAGTTACCGAATGACCCCAGTCGTTGAGTGTTCGGCCTGCTGAAGTGGGTCTCACATCCTGATTCGTATTTCCATCCACCGCGATCGCGCTCTGACTCTGAGCTGTAGCATGATGAAGTCTGTGAAAGTTTTCTTACTTCTGGAATCTGCACCGTAATCCTGCAGCTGCAGACCCTGGCAATTTTGTCGGTGGCTGCATTCAGCGTCAGCCTTGACCACTTCCGGAGGTTGAAACGTGCTTCACGATGTGTTCCGTATCAGTGATGGAGGTCGGCAATGGAACCCTGCAATTGAGCATGAACGCCTAGTAGGGATCGTTGACCTTGCTATCAGGAACTCGGCTCCGCGGCGCGGCAGGAGCTAGCCTTGATGGCCGGGCGGGCATCACCCTCGTCACAAACCGTCCATTCGCTGCGATGCTCATAACACGGCGTTCCTGCGCCGTGTCGCTCATGCAATCTCGTCTTCCTATTGCGTTCTCTGCAAGATTAGTCCTTCAATTTGCGATAGCCGTTCGCGATTACATCCTGCGTTTTCGGACCTTCGCGATAACCACCGCAATCGCATCTTGGCTTGACCGACATCAATCATCCACTCGTACCGTCCGGTGAGCAGTCCGCAACATTCCATCTTCCCTCAACCATCGACTGCATCGACAGGTCCATTGCGTTAGTTCGTTTGATATTACCTGCAGCAACGAGACCGAGTGCGGTTATTATTGAGCCAGCCAATTCATATCTCGACAGTCGGGCACCGTTATCTGACGTTGGCGCCCAGATTGTTCTCCATTCACTACTCGTGTTACCTAGCACAAAGACCTGCGGACCCCTTCGATCGCAGTCTTAACACATAGGGTGCATTGCTACATCCTTAGCCTGGGATATGAAATACGGCGACACATTGCGCCAAAGGAGCATTCCTGAATGGGGCCATTGTAGGTGACGTCGGTGCTATGACATCCCTCGGCTACACAATTAACGACGTTGTGCGCAGTTAACATCGACTATGATTATCTCAAAGACTTAATCAAGCACCAGACGACATCTGGCACGAATAAAGCCGTTTCGATCCCCGGATCAGGCACAGGCAGCACAGAGAGAGCCTTTAGCGAAACGTTCCTCAAAGTCCTGCAGGCGCAGCACGATCGCATAAACCTTTTTGTCCGGAGCAAGAGCGGGGAGATCGAACGGCGATTGGACCACATCGGAAGGAGTCTGGAACAGTTGCGCTCAAAGCAATCGCCTGAAGGTCGTCTGCCAGCCAGGACAGTTGAGAGATACGCAAAGATAGACGCGGATGTTGCACGGTATGCATCACGCATCGAAGGGCGTACAGCACCTGAGGCTAATAAACCACAGGACTTCCGAGGAGATCCGCTCGCTTTCACGCTTCGTAGTCGTTCAGCGAACGGGTTTTGCAAAAATCCTTAAGAAGTACAAGCGCTGGACGACAGACAGGGAGCTTCCTCACACCTTCAAAGATGAGGTCACTAGCCGTTCAGACAGCCTTTTTCAGCTGGATCTAGGCTACCTTCTCGATCAATACATCGATGTTCTCGGCGCGCTCCGCTCAGTCTTCGATAGCGAAAATGTATCCATGGTTCACATCAAGGATGCTGATGCCCAGCTGCCGGCTGCACGCATCTCGAAAGCTCTCGAGCATGATGACCAGCTGGATTTCGATCTTGCTCTGTCCACTGTACCACTGGGCACCAATGGTCAAAAGGCCACGTACTGGATACACCCCGATCATGTAGTGGAGGCTCAAGTGGTGCTACTCCAACACATGCGACTTCACACCAAGAGCACCAAGCTCACATCACGGAGAAATTCTGTCAATTCAACGCCTCTGCGCCGCAAGTCCTCAAGCGCCCTTACTGATCGTTACTTTGGCAATGAAGATCAAGTTGGTCTTCAAGTACTGGACTACGCCGAAGCTTTTGCCATCAAGCAGAACGCCAGTACTATTGGCTCTATTGAGGATGATAAGGGCAACGTCGGCATCAAGGCGGCCGCCAATGTTCGCTTCTCTGCAGCGGCTGACGCTGCGATTGTCGTATGTACAGCGAGCGACTCTCGTACACAGTCACCTGACGACATCAAAATCGCGAAGCTGAAGCGCAAGTTTACAGAGGCCTTCCTGGACACGTCGAAACCACTGCCAGATAAGCAGAACGTTCGCTTTGTGGATCGCACAGGGTCCTTCGATGATGGCGAAATGGAAACTCAAACAATTCGACAATGGCTGACTGAGCACAAAGAGATCACGCCTATCGCTGGTGTAGGTGCTTTGCGCACCAGGTTCGCCGGATTGCACAACAATCCTTTGGGTGGTATTTGGGCTACGTTGGACCGTGAGATCTTCATGAAGGAGTCTCTAGTCAAGGACTTGGGGAGCGATGATTGGGCACAGACGGCGAGTCGAAGCTCGACCAAGTTCCCTCACGCTCTACTGGAGGTTCGTCGTGAGGGAAACTACGCTGCATCCTTGATCCAGACACTCGACCGGAGTCATCTGGTAAGTCATAACTTAACACTCCTCATGCGACTCCACTAACGTTAATAGGTCGAGCGCATACGTGGCTTCTCTATCGAGGCGCATGCTGTGTGGACATGCTGTAAACCCAGCTCCATGTCTGCACCTCACTGGATCTCGCTCCTCGACAAGGATATTCGCAAGCTACCAGACCCGGTCAAGAGGCAAAGCCGCAAGAACAGAGGCAGCACAAGCGGCTCCAATACACAGTCCTCACCGCCAATGACTTCGACCTCCAACACCTCATTCGACGGTCAGCTGAGCCCCTCGACGCTTCGCAACGGCGAGTCCTCCGCGACCTCAGCACAGGACTTCGTGGATCCACCTTCCCTGCAAGCTTTCAGGAAGAAGCACCGCACGCCATACGCGGATTATCCACCTCCGGTTGTTCGAGAAGAGCCGGAGACGCAGCGCTATTGGAACGAATATGACCATCCCGAAGACGAGGATCAGGGATACTACATCTACGTCGATCCGAATGCTTCCGCCAAGTTCCCTGGGCAAGAGACGCTCGAAGCCTGGACAAAGAAGACCAGGAAGATGTTCGGCATGCGACTTCAGGCAGAAGAACACTCTCTCTTGTCCGCCGATGTCACAACAGACGACGAAGACTCTGGAAGCGAGAGCCCGTTGGGTTGGAACCTTCGGTCGAATTACGGCACTATCTCGTCGCAGAACGGCAGTACTCACGAGGGCTATTTTAGCACTATTTTCCGGGGCAGGATCAATCCTTACCAGGATGCTGAAGCCCTGACAGAGCGTAGATCCCTGCTTAGCGAGCTGCAGACTCGCGACCGCGAGCGGGAGAGGACTAAGCTCCGCTTCTACTCGACATGCCTGGCTGCTGCATTCGCGATGCACTTCATCCTCGGCTTGATGACGATGACCAGTCGCAAGAAGGAGAGAGGGGCCGTAGACGTAGGTGTGCTTTTTGGTGCGGTGTGCACGCTGGTCTTATGTATCGTTGCTGTCGTCAGTATGAAGACGCGGAGGGAGCGTCTTGGTTGGATACATCAGGGTATTGTTTTGAGCATTGTGCTTGCGTTGCTCGGATTGGATGTTCTGCTGCTGCTATGGGTTTTGAGGGTATGAAGGAGGATAGTAATGTTTAGAAGGGAGAAAGCGGATGTATGAATAGGTGAAAAGGCATATACGGGTAGGAGGGTACGCACATATTCATGAGGAAGGAGGAAGAGGATGCGGGTATCGCTTCATTTAGTTTTTCAGCGTGTTCGGCGCTCTGGAGCGATCGTTTTGAGCCAAGTCGGATATCCTTGGATCTCGAGCCTGGGATCGGATCACGTTGGAAATACCAGAACTGGGACGAGGCGCTGTGGTGTAGGCATGAGCGCGATAGCCTCTGCACGTCCTGTTAGTATGCATACATGCAGATATCATTAACGTAACCCAAAAGAATTCAAATTTCAAGCAGATTGAACCTCATCAAAGGAAGCATGCCTAAGATTAAGATGGCGCCTTCATGTGATGTAAGCGGCTAGGAGAACGTTGACTGAAAGTTCAATCAGGTCACACGGTGGAACGCATTGACTCTCCGTCAGATTGCATACGGCCGCGGCTGCGCGCAAGGGAAACGCATCGCAAGGTGTTGAGAAATGCGGTTAGAAGACAAGAAAGAAAAGGCTTAATGCGTGTCTGGCATGCCACCATCGTTGAGCATTGCAAGCTGCTGAGAACAGCGGGGAAACGATCGCAATGTCGAAATGGACGTGCGCAGCATCGACATTGAAGCTGCTGTGGAGGCCTGGCAGAAATCAAGGCTCACCATCCTCGTCCGTTACAATCAGCAACAATACCATCGCAGACCCGCATTCCAGTATTATGTGGGCAGCCTCAGAAATCACACGATATCTGGCCTCTCCATCTTGTCTTCTCCATGACGGCGTTGAGATGTAATTCTCCACTAATTCTCCACCTTACATTCAAGGCCAGGAGGCGAACGAGGAGGCTCTGCTGTTGCCGGGCAGCCGGCGTGGGGGCGCCGCAGATCTGTGGGTCTTGACCAACTGTATCTTGATTCATGATCGAGCTCTGCGGCAGAGCCGCACGCCAGTTGGCATTGCTGCCAGATCATTTGCCGTCAAAGAAATATCTTCAGTGATCGTCAGGACTCGCTCAGTCAACGAGCGTCAGCATTCATGGAAAACCGCGGTTCAGCGTGCTTCTGACACGCGGTAACTTGGCGGCGGAGGAGACGGTTTAGCAAGGACCGAAGTGGGCCTGCACCCCATCAGAAATTCAACCCGCGCGTCATCCTTCAAAGCTTTCAGTGTCCATCTCTCCATACCACCCTTCTCCTCCCCGCCGCCTTTCCCCGGAAAAATTCGTGACTTCAGAGTTGGGGACTTAATGTGCTGGTAGAGAAAATCCGAGGTATGTTGTCTGTATTTCCTTGTCGTTGTCCAATTCCGGATTGGCATATGAATTGCTGGACCATTGCAGCACAGCTATGCGACACCGGGGAATTTGCAGCCAGCTGATTTGCTAGACCCTGCGCGGCCGGCTAACGATCATACGTGCAGGTCAAGCTTTCAAATCTCATCACATTTGTTTATATACCTAAACCCCTTTGCATCGATACTCTACGACGTTTCGGTGCTATAGTCCCGCACATCCATTCTCCACCTCACATCACAGCAAGCCAATCGATAGCGCATCATGGCTGCACGACGTTCGAGTCGCTTTTTGAAGCCGCTTGCCTACGCGGCGGGAGCTGGTGCTGTTGGTAGCGCTGCTCTGTACACGGTCATCCGACCGCGAGACATTCCTGGCACAGAAGCTGCCGCTGTACCGCCTCCGACATATGGCGAGGGCGGTGTCTTCAACCCTCCCAAGTTCCCAAATGTCCCCTCGAGGGAGGAGCAGATCGCGAAGCTGAAGGCCAGCGGAGGCATCGTCGCGCAGGTTGCAGACAGGGCCAAGCAGCTCCTCACAGGGAGCACAACAGCTCCTGAGCAGAAGCCTGAGCAGGAGGAATACGATCTTCTGGTCATTGGCGGTGGTGCCACTGGTGCTGGTATCGCGCTCGATGCCGTTACACGAGGTCTGAAGGTTGCTATGGTCGAGCGTGACGACTTCAGCAGTGGTACCAGCAGCAAGAGTACGAAGCTGGTGCACGGAGGTGTCAGATACCTCGAGAAGGCTGTTTGGAACCTGGACTACAACCAGTGAGTAAAGCCAGCTATGCCAACCTACGTAATCGCTAACTACGAGATTTTAGATACGCGCTTGTTGTCGAAGCCCTCCGCGAACGCCGTTATTTCTTGGACACCGCGCCGCATCTGTCACAATGGCTGCCCATCATGATTCCCATCCAGAAGTGGTGGCAGGCTCCCTACTTCTGGGCCGGTACCAAGTTCTACGACTTTTTGGCCGGTTCCGAGAACATCGAGAGCTCATACTACATGACAAAGAGCAAGGCTCTGGATGCATTCCCTATGCTAAAAAAGGAGGGTCTGTTCGGCGCTCTCGTCTACTACGACGGCGCACATAACGACTCCCGTATGAACGTTTCGCTGGCTATGACAGCAGCTTTGTACGGCGCAACTGTTGTGCCCCACGTCGAAGTCACCGCCCTGACGAAGGATGCCAACGGCAAACTCAACGGTGCAATCGCGAAGGACCTCGTTCAGGAGCTGGATGGTAAGAAGGCTGAGCCGTTCACAATTAAGGCCAAGGGTATCATCAACGCCACTGGTCCTTTCACCGACTCCATCCGCAAGATGGACGATCAGACGGTCTCTGAGATTGTTGCCCCTAGTTCCGGTGTGCACGTTATTCTCCCAGGCTACTTTAGTCCGGCCAACATGGGTCTTATTGACCCCAACACCTCTGATGGACGTGTCATCTTCTTCCTGCCATGGCAGGGCAATACAATCGCCGGTACAACCGATACTGCTTGCGACGTCAAGCAGAACCCTGTCGCCAGTGAGGACGAGATCGACTGGATTCTGAAAGAAGTCAAGCGCTACCTGCAGCCTGAGATCAATGTCAGGCGCGGCGACGTCTTGGCTGCGTGGTCTGGTATCCGTCCCCTTGTCCGCGACCCCACCAAGGACAAGTCGGAGGGTCTTGTCCGCAACCACTTGGTGACTATGTCCGAGTCTGGTCTGCTCACCTGCTCTGGAGGAAAGTGGACGACTTACCGCCAGATGGCTGAAGAGACCGTCGATGAGGCTATCAAGGAGTACAACCTCGAGCCCAGGGCTCTTACACACGCCCCTCTAGTTAGCGGAACTCAGGTCAAGGACGAGGCTCCTCTCGATGGTACCTGCCAAACCCACCGCGTCCGTCTCGTTGGTGCCCACGGTTTCTCCAAGACTCTCTTTATCAACTTGGTCCAGCACTACGGCATTGAGACCGATGTAGCCAAGTACCTCTGTCAGGCCTATGGCGACCGCGCCTGGACTGTTGCTGCGCTCTGCGCGCCCACAGAAACCCGGTTCCCCGTCCGCGGCAAGAAGATCTCTGAGTTGTATCCCTACGTCGATGGTGAGGTCCGCTACGCCGTTCGCCACGAGTACGCACAAACCGCCACCGACGTTATCGCACGCCGTATGCGTCTCGCTTTCTTGAACGCCCAGGCTTCGCTCGAGGCTCTTCCCAAGGTCATTGACATCATGGCCGAGGAACTCAAGTGGGACAACAAGCGCAAGGACCTTGAGTTCAAGAACGGAGTCGAGTACCTTGGCTCCATGGGTCTGCCTAAGAACAAACTCAGCCTGACACGCAAGGATGTCGAGAGCGGGAAAGTGGGCAAGTACGCCGACGAGGAGTACCAGCTCTACGCACGCCATGGTGAGTCTCCCGATCCTCAGCATTGTGACGATCTGTTTGAAATGGGAATTGCGCTAAATTGTGGATTTGCAGACAAGCCTGAGGAGCTGCTCGAGAGCGACTCCAAGTACGCTCAGGGGCATAACCCGGTTGTTGGCCGCGACTCGCCTGCCAACAAATAAGCAGTCAAACGTGGTGATGGATGGTTCTGTAGATCTGGTTTGAGCATCTTGTATATTGTTGCATAATCGGCGCGTTTGTTCTTGTAGAGTCTGAGGGGGTAGTTGCTAAGCTACCTATTGTCATACAGCGTGTCCCGTTTGGGTGTCCGCGATCAGCATTTGTATATATCCTTGTTCAATACCTAGCTATTGTTCACCTGCAGGTTTTGACGCTGGAGAAAGTGAGAGACTGATTCGATGTTGGCACAATATTCTCGGCTGTGAGACTTAGCCTCGCAGCAGGCGATGACAAGTGGACATGATTGGTAGGCGTTTAGGGCTTCTGGCAGCCTGCTGCTATCAAGCCCCCTGCACTTTCTCCTCCTTCCCCACAGTCTTTATGATAAGCTAATCCCAACTCAAAGATAACGTCCGCGAGGAAGTCTCGTATTACCCTCGTGGCGAGACCGTCCCGTCGCCTTTGCCTTCTTCCACGGTCTCGCCCGAACACCTGCCGCGAGCCTTAGGCTAGTGGTCCAGTAGCTATGATACTATCATCCGAAATGTAACGTAACGGTCGGGTGAGTATATAACTATCACTTGGCAGACCTCACTCGACGTTGCGGGCGCCGATAATTTCTCTAGCTAGAGATTACAAGTCATGGGGACGCGATGCGCTGACTGCCGTGGTGCAACCTTGCTTGCCATGTTTTCTGTATAATATAAAGACCTTGTAGATCGTCGTGGATCTTTCCAAGTCTCAGGTTCAACTCGACTGACTTCTCAACAACTTACCCAGGATCCTCCTGAAATCTGCAACCATGGGTGTCGATCCTGAAATTGCGCCGACCGCGAGTGCGTCCAAGACCGCTGAAGTGTTTTCCCAACACGAGGGTGATCTGAAGGAAGGACTCGTCGAAAACAACGGACACTTCACCGCTGCCGAACTTGTGAAGTATGGACAGACAAAGCGTGGTCTTTCGCCTCGCCATGTCCAATTGATGGCCATTGGAGGTAGAACCCCCCTCTCGTCAAAACACGTGCAGAGCTGACAGCCCCAGGATCCATCGGTACAGGTCTCTTCGTAGGAATCGGTGGCTCCCTCTCCAAAGCTGGTCCTCTCTCCCTCGTACTCGGATACATGTTCTGGGGCGCCCTCTTCGTCTGGCCCACATACCTCTGCGTTGCAGAGATGTGCGCCTATCTACCTCTCCGCGGCGCTATCTTCGAGCTGGCAGCCCGCTTCGTCGACCCCGCGCTCGGCTTTGCTATGGGATGGACCTACTTCTTTGCTGGTGTGATGCTGGTTTGCACAGAATACAGCGCCGTTGCAACGGTCATGCAATACTGGAACACCGACATCAACCCGGCCGTTTGGATCGCTATGACGATGGTAGTGTGTGTTTTTCTGAACGTGGTTGCGGTGAAGTGGTACGGCGAGTCGGAGTTTGTCATGGCTTCCACCAAGGTTCTACTTCTGATCGGTCTCGTCCTTCTCACCTTCATCACCATGCTCGGCGGCAATCCTCAGAATGACCGCTACGGATTCCGGTACTGGACCAGCGAAGGTGGAGGAGCGATCCATGCCTACTACGCTGAAGGCGCCACTGGACGCTTCTGCGGTTTCTGGAGTGTATGTATCTACGCTGCTTTCACTATCGCCGGGCCGGACATGATCTGTCTCGCTGCAGGGGAAATCCAGAACCCGCGCCGCACGATTCCGCGCGTGGCAAAGCTCATCTTCTACCGCCTGGTTGGATTCTACGTCTTCGGTGTGCTGGCTGTAGGCATCATCTGCTCGTCCCGCGACTCTCGTCTCCTGGGAGCCATTGACGCTGGCGAGCCGGGCGCCGCAGCCTCGCCCTGGGTGGTCGGCATCACAAACCTCGGTATCAAGGGCCTGCCCGGCCTCATCAACTTCCTGATCCTGCTCTCCGGCTGGTCCTGTGGAAACGCATACCTCTACGCTTCTTCCCGCACTCTCTACGGCCTCGCCCGCGACGGCCAGGCGCCGAAGTTCCTCCTCAAGTGCACAAAAGCTGGTGTACCGATCTACGCGGTCGGCGTCGTGACACTGATCACCTGCCTTACATTCCTCGTCAGCTCAAATAACGCAGTCGAGGTGTTCTACTGGTTCGTTGGGCTGACGACATGCGCGCTCGTGTGCACATATGTCGGCATGCTGTGGACGTATGTTGGCTGGCATCGTGCGCGCGTTGCCCAGAACTTCGATAAGAGTCTGCTTCCGTATGTTGCGCCTTTTACGCCTTATACTGCGTGGCTCGCTATGGTTCTTGGTGTGCTGATGGTCATCTTCATTGGTTACGATACGCTTGTGCCATTCAGCATTCAAGGGTTCATCACGAGCTACTTCGGAGCGTGGTTCAGTATCTTCGTTTTTATCTTTTGGAAAGTGTTCAAGCGTACGTCGTTTGTCAACCCAGCGGAAGCTGACTTCGTGAGCGGCAAGGCGGCGATTGACGAGGAGTGCAGAGAATGGGAGGAAGGCGGCATTGAAGAGAACGTCAAGGCGAGGCTATCAAAGATGCCTCTCTGGCGCAGATGCTGGGAGAGGATGTGGTAGATATATGTGGTAGATATTTTCACCCAAACCCGGTCGAAGACTCGAGGGGCAAAAGTAATGTACTGATCGACTGCACATTATGCACACAAACAATTGCTTCACAAGATATCTGCTCAATTCTTGCGAAGTTAGACGTAACACTCCGACACCAAGTGATCACTGTTCTTCAAGTCCATTGACCACTACTTCGCAATTCGCCCATCCTTCACCATGTCCCGAATCGTATCGATACTCTTCTCTACCGCCATCTTCGCCATGCCCTTCAGCTTCTTGGTTTCTTTCTCCTGATCCTCACTCCCATGAGCATGAGGAAGATCAAACTCAAACATATACGTCATATGCAAATCCTCCGGCTCGCCGGACGGTCCATCAGAGACAACATTGCGGATGTGGGTTCCGTCTTCTTGCTCGAAATCAACCTATTCTATGTATCAGCTAGGGTTGACATCATCCCGTCTGTCGCAATATCTCGAAGTTGCATCACGCTTGAAATCAAGAGATGAATGAGGCTGCATCCAGACTTACCCAGCTTGGCCAGTACTCCCTAACCGTCTCCCTCGCCAGTGGTTTCAGCCCCGTACCCTCTCTGAACTTGACATCGCGGACCACAGTTCCATCCTCTCTCTCCTCGAGCACCGTGCAACTCTCGATGGCCGGCACGAATTCCTGTGCGAAGCGCACTTTGCGCTGCAGGCCGGCCCAGATCTGTGGCACCGTGAGCACAGGCGAAGCGCCGGGCTTGTTGATGAGCGATGTGTAGGAGAGGTGGACTATTGGCATCTTGAGAGTTGGCTTGTATCGCTGGGTGATGATGGGGAATGGTAGGAGTGGCGGATGGAGTGGGAGTGGAGTGGGGTTGGAGTGGAGTGGGGTGCAAGCAGTGGTTGCTTTGCAGTTGACGTCAGAGTATTGGATTTGAAGCTGCGTTGATGGATAGTTTGGATCGGTGTCTACCGTACCGAATTACAGTCTTAGTTATATATGGATGTCCTTCGATGTTGCAGCTGAAGTGCATCATTGATTCGTCGAGTACCCGGTCATTACAAACCGTTGTCGTTCGTCCGTTGTCGTTCGTCCGTTGGCCTTCAGGCATTGAGGAACCGAGCTAGAAGGAGCCGCTCCCGTTTACACGATTACCGCATAGGGAGAACTAGTCTCGTCTGCATAAGGCTGTTGCTTACATGTGCAGACGAGAAGTAAGTGCGAGAGACCGAAGGTACGTGAGGCTCTCGTGGGAGTGTGCCGCGTCCTCATGAGATTGTCGTAGTCTGTCAATGAAATCATTGTTACTCAGGTACGAAAGACGTGCCGTACACGTAATAGAAGAGCAATTGCATAGATTGACCTCAGTTTCGCTCCGCCAGCTTCTGCATACGCATATTATATGGGACAACCTCCCATCGATCCACGTGGACCCTGGCTCAATTTTGTCTTCCTGACATCAAATGAAATAATCACAACCCGCAACTCAAGACGACCGAGGTCTGCTTCCGGAAAAGCCTCGCACATTCAATACGGGCGGTAGCCGGAGCCTCCACGACCACGGTAACCACCACGATAGCCTCCTCCACGAGGAGCATAGGCACCGCCACCGCCACCACCACCCCGGCCGCCATAAGGTCCACCTCGACCTCCAAATCCGCCGCGCCCTCCCCTAGGGCCGCCGCGACCGCCTCTCGTCATGCCGGGCAAGTTGGTACGCTTGGGTACGACCTGTAATGATCAGCAAGCTCGCTCATGAGCATCTAATGAAGGTGACATACCTTCAGATTCCTGTTGCGGAACTGACTGTTGTCGAGGACCAGAGCCTCACTGACCAGACTGGGTTCTGTGAACTCTACATACGCATACCTGCATACGCCCATTAGCGTTCCAATCTTTCTGCCAGAACTCTTGCCAGGTCGCGAAAGATCATGCCGAGGGAGCTGTATACGACAGACGCGCGCTGGGTGCAGCGGCACAAAAGTGGGCGCAGAGTAGCTTCGTAGAGGAGAAACGGATCACTCTCAACCAAATGCGCAAAGAAAACCTCCTCTTAGTACTGACCCTTTGGGATGCCCTGTGAACTTGTCGAGCAGGATGGTGACACGATTAATGCTGCCGACGCTCTGGAAGTGTGCCTGGATCTCCTCAGGGCTGGCCCCGTAGTCGACATTACCAACGAAGACACTCCGCGAGTCAACGTCTTCTTTGCTTTCACGCATCTCGTGGCGTTCGTGGTCGAGCGACTGCTGCATCTCGCGCAGCTTCTGTGCCTCATCTTCCATCTCTTGCACGCGGCGCCTCATGGCTGAGATCTCCTCCTGTTGTCTGTTGTCAGTCTCTCTCGTTTACTACTTGCAGACCGCATTCGGCAACGTTGCGCTGATGGCGCGCAATAGTGAAGACTCGGATGATCGCGATGGCTGAAATGCGTGTCGTACCTCTTCGATGGTATCATCTCCGCGGCGCTCGTCTTCTGCAGTATCGAGGCGCTCGTCTTCTGCGGTATCGAGACGCTCGTCTTCTGCGGTATCGAGACGCTCGTCTTCTTTGCGACGCTGCTCTTCCTCGCGCTTGATATCAGTTTCGACGTCAGACATGATTACAGAATTTCTCCTGGGCTGTGGTATGTGTTAGCTTTATGTATGTAAGCTGTGATGAGTGCTTCGACGTACAAGGCTATGGGGAGGTGTTTGGTTTCCAACAGCAATCTGTCAAGCGGTGCGGAGGTGATCCTTGAATTGACCGAGTCCCAACCCTGAGCGCGTGACGCGACGACAATAAAGCTCTGATAAAAGAAGGAGTGACACCTAGGTGAAGGTGACTGTGATGTAGCTTCGATGGAGTGACGATGCCGTGGGTCGGAGCTTCCTCGCGCTAAAACAGTTGGGGCCTGGGTTTCAGCCTGCATCTGCAGCCTTACGCGTGCTCAGGGAATGTCTCAAAACACAAAATCACGAATCAACGTCCGCTCAGAATATGTATATCTTCCTCATGAACAGCAGTGGCAGTCAGAGTCTTTCATTCCATGTAATTGCGAATTATCGCCAGGTATACATATGAGCCCAAAGTCATCCGTTCACAGATCTAAAGAGCCGTCATGATGTCCATCAACCCCAAACGCCAGGTGCCATGGATATTTCATATCGCCTTCGTGGTGAAGCACACGCCAACCCTGCCTAACGACGTATATGTGAATGCTAGGCCTCTCACTTCGCCTCTTCCTCCGATCTTTTCGAATGCCTCCAGGCTTCTAGATGCGCGCATCAGGTCGTTTCCTCCAACTCCAAACTGGCTTCTGTACTGCGCTCGACACGCGCGCCGCATGACTCTAGGGCGCTGGGTTCTCCTTGACGACGCTGCGTACCTTCTTGTCGTATGCAGTGCGGTCCTTCTTGAAGAGGTTGAAGGCGTCTGCTTGGGCGGGCGATTCTGGGTTCGGCTCATCGAGCAATGACTGAATGCCGAGCAGGATCTCCTTGATTGTAATGGCTGGCTTCCATCCCTCTTCTTCGTTCAAGATCGACAGGCAGACGGTGCCGGAGGGATACACGTTGGGGTGGAACAGCGGAGGTACGAATTTACCTGCGGTGTATTAGTTCGCCTGAGCACCGAGAGTCGAGGAATAGCTGCGCCGCAGCTGAGCGCCAGAGAGACGTACACTTCGGTGGCTTGGTAGGGTACTCGTCAGGAAATGTGACCTCGAGCTTGAACAGGCCGCCCTCCCAGAGTGTCTTCTCCTTGCCTGGTACGCCGCAGTCCCACTTCTTGAGGTCCATCATACCGTTCGAGCCACGCATAGGCTTCGCGAAAAAGCCGAAGGGGTGGTCGCGTCTCCATTGCTTTCTTGAAGATGGTCAGCGCATCTCTTGTAGATTCCTGCGCAAAGGTCGCTCACCTCTCTTCAGAGAGCCGGTTCATGCACAAAGACATGGTGCAGGTGTATGGCTGTTATCAAGCTCCGGTGCGTTCTCGGGTTGTCGCTGGTGATGAGGTTTACGTGGAGCGAATGGAAAGCGCGACGGTTCAGGAAAAAGCGACGCGTTGCGCTTTGTAAGCTGGCGAGCGTGGCGAAGGTGAGAGAAAGCGACGTAGGTTGCGTGTGGACGTGAGGCAGACTTGCTCAGCGCACCTCTCGAGTCCACGTGACGTACAACATTAAGCGTGTCTTCCCGCCTGGTGAATCTAGCCAGCAGAGGAATCCCTGCCCCGCTGCAACTGCCCCACTCAGTTGCGCCGAGGCTGAACGGCAACGGGTATCAGCGCAGAGGAGCGACGCGTTTGACCTGCAATTGCTTATACAACGTCTGTCATTCGCGTGCGCTTCATTCTAGCAACACAATTTCTATACAAGAAGACAACAGCCGTCATCATCACCATGGCTGACGTGCTAGCAAAGCAAGAGAAGGAGCATGTGAAAGCTGCCTCTCCACCAGCCGACGTTGCATCAGACCCCGAAGAAGACGATCTCTCAGACCTAGATGACGTGCTGGATGAGTTCGCAAATACAAAGCTCGACTCCAAAGTGCCCGCAGCATCAGCAACAGCACCGAAAGCTGCACCACAGCCCTCAGCTCCGTCTGCCTCCGGCCCCGGGAGACCGGAAGACGTCTCACCCGCTGAGCTCCTCCTTCAAGATGAAGACGCATTCGCAAAGAAGCTACAGGAAGAGATGGCGCAACTGCTCGGCCAGGGTGACTTCCAGAAGCAGTTCGAGGAGATCATGAAGGATATGAACAGCGAGATGGGCGGCGATCATCTTCCTGCGCCCACAGCTTCGGAGGCAGCTGCAGCTGCAACGTCGTCGCTAAAAGATGGCGCATCCTCGAAAGCTGGTGGAGCGAGCAAGGTGGATAAGAACTTCCAAGACACGATCAAGAAGACAATGGAGCGCATGCAAGAGTCTGGCGACGCTGCTTCCTCTGCCGCTGCGTCGTCTGCGAACCAGGACGATATCCTCGCGCAAATGCTGAAGGAGATGGAGAGTGGTGGATTCAGTGGGGAGGGCAATGACGAGGACTTCAGTAAGATACTGATGGGCATGATGGAGCAATTGACCAACAAGGAAATATTGTATGAGCCGATGAAGGAGCTGGACGACAAGTTCCCAGCGTGGATGGAGAAGAACATGGAGAAGGTGCCAAAAGAGGACCTGGAGAGGTACCAGGAGCAACAAGTGCTGGTTAAGGAGATCACAGCGCGATTTGAGAGGAAAGGATATAGTGACGAGAACGCCAAAGACAGGGAGTATATTGTGGAGAGGATGCAGAAGGTATGCATCCCTTTTCATCTTGATTCCTCTTTTACTGACTGTATACAGATGCAAGCCGCCGGCTCACCGCCACCGGACCTTGTCGGCGATATGAACGCCGCGCAGGAAGCGTTGGCTGGTATGGATGAAGGGTGCCCGACGCAATAGCGTACTGCCCAGAGGATATATCCCAAAAGTATACATGAGTCACTGTACATGTGCCTGACCTCGGCCTCTCTGCTGGAGTGCTATGCTGGTCTGCTTGGTGACAGATATTGCTGGTTCCTGATCGAGTGGACTACTCGAGAATTCTAGTTCTCAATCGTCTGTCATATCCATTTCATCGATATCTCTATAACTGCTGTCGTGAGCCCGTGGTTCTTGCTGATACCGTACATTGACATCTGCGGTGCACATGAAGATCTGGTCATAGTCTTCGTCGTCGCTGCCGTAATACTGCTGTAGTGCTTTGTCTTGACTCTGCTCTTGCTCCAACGCAGCAATTAGCTGTTGCAGCTCGTGCTCCTCTTGCGCAAGTACGTAGTCCGCTTCGCTCATTTCTGGCTCGTATTGTGGTGCGTTGCTCGACGACTGTGGTAAATTCGCGTAGCTCAGGAGCTCATCGTCGAACTCATCTTCTTCTGGTGGTGCTTCTTGTGCCTTTTTGCTCTCCCAACGCTTGCGTTCCGAAACGAAGTCCAATTGCTGGAGCTGTGAAATGTCAGTACGCGTGTCTGAAGACTGTGTGTATTGGTGGCGTACCTGCTCGCCTCGCGACTCCCACTTTTTATCCTCCCGATTGTTCTGCACGCGCTTGAGGAACAACTCCCTCCGCCTCTTCGTAGTCGCGTCGCGCATCTGGACCACAGGATTGGCTTTGTACGCGCGTTGTGGTTGTTGTGGTTGCTTCTCGTTTTGCTGCGACATTGCGTTGAAGTCGAACAAGCCTGCACCGGTGTTCACTGAACGCTCGCGCAGTGGTGAGGACTGGATTGGTGAGTGGGTGGCGTAATGCTGATTCCGCATGTGTGAGTAGTAGGTGCTCGTGAGCAGCATCGTGATGAGTTGGATAGTTTCTGAAGAATGAATGAGCAAGAATCCAATTTCGCTCGTTGCTGGTGTGTCGTGTTAGGAAGTTGGAGATTGTGACGGTAAGTGATGATGCAGTCGCGACTCAAAGACGGCAGGCGCGTCCGACGCGCTTTCCTTATCGATTGCCAACAAGATCACGTGCAGGGGTCCTCATCCACCGTCAACCGCCCGGAGCTTCTTAGCCTTCCGCCATCACAACGAGCACATAGAGAATGCGCACCTTCCTACCTCCGTTCGAACAGCTCCCTGGCGTCGAAATAGTGCATACCACGTTGGGAAGGCCATATAGCTTCGATACTCGACATTGCTGAGCGGACACCAAACAGACTGCAGCTTTCTCGTTCCCATTCCCGAGTGATTTTCCGTCATCATGGCCGTTCTAGCTCAGATACCAGGCCTCAACGTGGCGATCGTAGAATGTCATTATCAGGCACTTAACGAGTATGAGGACGGTGACAATGAGCAATCGCAAGGTGCAGAGGAAGACCAACGGACGTACGAACTGACGAGGTACATAAAATCGAAGACCGGTGCGAAGTTTGGTATTCAAATTAGATTTGGCGAGGCGTTCGTCACAGAATACGGTATTCGCATGGAAGTCAGGATCGATGGTCGTGGAGCAAGAACAATGATCCTGAGACCAGCTGATCTACGCACATATGGTGGACAGTTCGTCTGTTCTTACAAGGACGAACAAAGGAACTCGAAACGCTACCACCGAGATTTCCAGTTCGCTGATCTCGAAGTCGGTGAGCACGCGCTTTCGTGCGTCGAACCACGCTCACCCATGTAGGTGAGATGTCAGAAGACGATTCATTTTCCAACATTCACCGAAACATTGGGGCGCTCGGAACTACCTCTGCCGTTCTCTACGAAATAAAAAACGTGCATTCAAGACCAGCAGCCACGCCGACTAGGAACTCATCGCGCCATAAGAGGATTGATCAACGTTCTGAGAAGCAAGGGTGTTTCCCTAATCCAGACCTCCCTTGGGGTACTGTTGGACGTGCTAAGCTATAGGCTTGTAGTTGCAGCGCTCCCGGCCTTAAAAAGCAGTTTAACGGTGGTTTGTCGCTCAACAGCGGATCTCGTCCAGAGTCCATCTGCCAGTGGAGGGAGCACTGTCACAATTGTGGTTGAATCGAGGCCCAGAGACTACTACGGGCCCTCGGGCCCGCTCGAATCAAGAAGTGCCATTGAACAATCGGTAAAAGGTCGGGATGAGTTGACTGACGGTCAACGTCGGCTCTTCCCTCTCTTCCCTGGATAATATCGACCTCAATGGCTGTGCGGTATTGTTGCGGTGCAATTCGGTCCTATAGGCCTTGATCGTCACCTCTGTTGACTACCTTGGACTGGCACGTCTCAGGGCATGTATACATGGTCGCCTCCTAGCTAGCAAGCAACTCAGCGCAGTTTCCATCGACTATACAGCGGCTACGTCTGCCGCAACAGGTACTCACCGAGATCAGCAAGATATTCAATCCACTTGTCTTCAAATGCCAGCACTGTCTCATGTAGCCGCGCCATCATCTGGTAGGCCAGATATATGAACGCCAACATATGATTCGTGGTGAAGTAGTTCATGGAAGGAGTGACAACCATGCTCCCATACACATGCAGGCATCGTGTACTCGGTTATGAAGCGTGAGAGAAGTCGAAGGGCGTTGCGGGTTTCGAAAGTAATCACGGTGTTCGTGCAGTAGCGTTCAGGGAAGAGCTGCAAGCGCTGTGGTTGGGAACGAGCTCCCGAGTACCTTCACCTTTTGTCGCAGCCTGCGCACGATCCACATGAGTACACTTTACTTCAAAGTATCCGATTGGACGATTTTGGGTGTCCTCTTCTCCTCAGAAACAACAAGGCATTATTTCATGAGTCAGTGCCTGGGTAGCCTCCATCCTCCGATGCCGTGGATGGGTTTCTCAGGCATAAGTATTTGAGTCCCTCACACGGTCGACACTTCGATTTCATATGTTGCTTGTCAGATTCATCGAATAGCGTGCCCAGGTCTTTTATGCACATCTCAATACCAAACATCCTCAAGCGAAGAGTCGGTGTAAAACCCACATACATGGCATCATCTAGCAACAACACCGAGATTATACTCCAGGTATGCTTCGGCATATTCAGTGTAGTCAGCATAATAGTAGCCCTGGCCGGACTACATTATCGAGACTCATGGTGCTGTATATTATTTCGAAGACGCCGTAGTCGGTCAAGTTTCAGCTGTATGGGACTGCTACCTGCTACTGTCGACCCACTGCTGATCAATGCCACAGATGACAGCCTTCCTTCCCGAGCCACCACACCCTCGGGGGCAAGTGAAGTGGATGCGGAATGTGGATACAGTCTACCTCCTACACGAATCGAATCGGTATATCTGAGACCCACAGCTGACAGAAATCCGAATGAGCATACATCAGCTGGGACTACAATCACACATGAGAAATCGTCATCAACACAGATACCACCGCCGGTACATGATGCATCCTCGAGTCCGTCAAACTCCCGTCGTACTAGCATATAGTTGTGCTGCAGCCCACTAATAGCTTGTACGCAGAGCTCGAGAGTATAAATATGCGTAGATATAGCAATGCCTTAGTGTATCAATCTAGTTCCCTACACTCGGTCTCGAACACTCGTCCCCGCCTGCTGTGCACATGAGTTATGGGATCTTGCTTCCTTTAGTCACCAGTGCAGCCGTGTGATAGATGGCGTTGCCCGATCATTTAAACTTTACGATTCAATCTATGCTGCGAACCTATACTACTTCTACTCATCTTCGTCGCCTATCTAAGGCCATTACAGTGTTTCTTTCGTAAGAGGCTTTGTTGCTAGTGAACAGTGTCACTTAGAGATTCGCTTGTTACGTCAATTGAAACACGCTGTCGCCACCCATGCGCCTCACACCATCTGTCATGGCTGAGGTGGAACAGGAGCCAGTAGCGCCCTTGCGGGCTACAGCAAAGAGGAGCGAGCGTATCGGGAACCCCCAACGCCAGAACCGTACATCTAGATCAAAGTGATATATACCCGGACCGCACAACATTCTAGAAGCCTGCATCGGTGATAAGAAAGCGGGGTCAAGCATTGGAAAGCACGCTAAAGTACTTCGGCAAGCACAGAGGGACACCCTGAGTGTACGATCCTTACCAATGCTGTTGTTCTATTTTGCTTGATTGCAACACACAGCTCGCGTCGGAACTGGATTATCCAACAGGCCTGCCTTGAAAGCACGATTATCCATGCACTCTAGATACAAAACCCTTGATAATTCGATCTAAGCAGAGCAGATGGTCTGATAAGCGCTTGCCACACTATTACTATGGACTGCAACGTTGTCAGCCACCTGATCACTGTTGCAATGTCACACGACCACATAGAAGCCGATCTGCATCATTGGACTCCAGGGTTAGTTAAGAAGGCCTAGTTAGGCTGTCTTCTCAATGTAAGTATTTTCTACTTTCTCGCGAACACATAAGGTGATCATATATCTTGCGATCCACCCGAGAGCCTTTGCAGAGTTAGTGGAGGTGCTGTACGAAATCAAATGGCTATTATTGGAGGTATGGTAGATGTTACTTGGTCGGATGCCAATTGCATTCTCCCTACCCATGCTCTATCGATGAGGTATCCCGAAAGATGCCAAACAAGCGACCAACCTTGACACCGCAGTAAAGTACGGAGAGGAAAGGGACTTGAAGTACTGAGGCGAAGTGCGGAGAGAAAACGTGTGTAAGAAGCTTTGTTCCTGTTTGACACATAATGTGTAATGAGTAGACCAGGGAGATAGACCTGAGCTTGTAGAAGATGCAAACAAAATCATGCTGTTCATATACATACTTTCATGTGGTCTTGCCGTGACTCCGTCCGTCATGCATGCATTATTGCCTTCAAACACCAATACTAAATGCAATCCAATGTGCCATGCAAATGAGTGGAACCCGGACAACGCCGTCGCTAATGTGTGCAGACTAGTAAAGACAAAAAACAGACGGGACCTTGAGCGGACGCCAAGGGAATACACACGTCGAAGCGATGATGAGATGATGAGGGATCGCTTGAGCAGGGTAAGAATGATCAGATGCGCCGTGCAGTATTACTCAGCAGCCTGTCCGCCCGTTCGAAAACATTCAGTGTGCCGGAACCGTGACCGGAAGCGAACTTGGGCGTATTTGGCACCGTAGCCTGTGCAGCAGCGCCCAGAGCAGCACTCAGTGGTGTCGCCGGTACACCAGGAGTCCCGTAGCCACTCGATCCGTGCGACAGAAGACTTGCAGTGGAGTAGGGCTGAGCCGAGTACATTGAGTTTCCGTTAGAGGCTTGCGTGTTGATGGCACCAAGATAGGAGTTGCTACCGCCGCTCATGCCTGGCCGATTTAAGAACCTCGGAGGCTGAGTGCGTGACGTAATCGACGAGAGTGCTGAAGGTGGACCCATCGAGCTATGGTTGTTGGACGTCAGATGCGACCACGGAGAGCTGTAGATGGCGTTACTGGCTTCCTTGACCGTTTTATGGAGTGGCCTCATAAGCTGCTTCACATCAGGGCTCGTAAGCTTGAGATCCTTGCCCTGTTGTGTATATGCTGTAGCTAATTCGAACCAAGCCTGAAACAAGTGTCAGTCTGATGCTTCAAAATGAAACAAACAAAATGAGGAAACAGACCTTGATGAAACCCATGCACTGCTGCCAGAACTCGGCTTGGCTACGGGTATAGCTATCTTTCAGTTGCATCTGCGACAAGCGACTTGCGAGAGGTATCGTCATCTGCTGTACCTCGTTGCTCTTATCAATTAGACCAGCAAGCGCTTTGATCCTGGGATGGTCAGAATCCAAGTCTCGTCGCAAGACGTCAAATTGCTCTCGTAAAAGGCGGGTGATCTGGGGCATGGATGTTCTGCAGCTCTCGCTGGCGTTCCTCAACTTCTGGTAGACTCGATCGAACTGGACATCCTCATCAGACTCATCGAAATTGCTCGTCATCGTGCTTGTCCTGGTCATGTTCGTAGCTAAGGTTGAGAACGACTCTCCTGACCTAGGCGTCGCAGCGCTGATACTCGTCATCGTGTTCGTCCGGCTGTTGTCATTGCTGTGCAGTATGACGGGCGGTGGAACCTGGTATTGGCTTCGTTGAGGTGGCGATGTTGGGAACCGTCGAACTCTCGGCTTTGCACGTATTGTGCCAGGGGCGTCTACTACGCTGGGTCTGCGCGAGCTCATAGAAGTTTCCTTGAATTGCGCTCCCAATATTGAACAGGCATTCCTCATCTCGATCAGGCTGCCCTGTTGGAGGAACAGAAATGTTCGTAAGACTTGTGGATTTGCATTTTGCGTAATCTCGGCGCGATTCTCTGCAACCGACAGAGTGATTGACATGAATGACTCTAGACAGCGCAGCGCGTACATGTAGACGCTCCTGGAGAGTCGTTGTGCGTCTTCTTCGTCTTCCTCGACAAGCGAGCTAAACTTGTGAAGGACGTCATTCAAAACCCTTATGTTGAGATAAGTCGTCGAGAACCGACGATAAAAGTCTTCCTTTCTCCGAACTGCCTCTTTTGGTCTTGTCGTCAGTTTGATAGACCGGACCATGTGAGAGACGCAGTCGTGAAGCTGTGAGATGGCATAGAGAAAATTTCTAGCGGCCTCGACGACAATGTCTGGAGCACGCGATCCACGTCTGTGCTCTCGCACATCAGACAGGGGGCGATTCGCCAGCGATCGAACTGTCCCTGTGTCTCCATATCCTATGGCAGTAGCAGGACCAGAGACTGCGTTGGCTGCGTTGAGAGGAATGACAATTCCCTGACTGAAGCCTCTAAAGTGGCTAGTGCGCCGCAACTCATCGACCGAGCCGAGCTGCTCAGATGCCTGGTGCTTGTTGGTGTAAATGCCCATGCGCTTCTGGCGCTGTGTCGAAGGACCTGCGCCTTCGCTCTGACTACGATTCCGCTCACTCAAACTAGTCGTCAGGGCCAATGGCGAAATTGGAGGCCGCGGTCTCCCACCGTTGTTACTGGTTTGCGACGACACTCGGAAGTGAGATCGAGTGGGTATAGGCGGCGCTGATAGACCCGGAGAACCTTCTCTGCCCTCTGTGAAGCCGTCCAATGTGCTGACACTGGGTCGCACCGGGAAGCGTCCACCTGCAGCTCGTTTGTTCGGGCGCGGTGTCTCGGGATTGCTCTCAGTCCAGCTCTCGTCACTCGATGACTCTATCCGTATACGTGCCAACTCAGCCCGCTGTCGCTGCTTGGAGGCTTGTTGGCGCATGAACTTCTTGACTTGCGTAGCTATGACGGCATCTCGTTCGTTCTCGTTTGACGGCGAGGGTGCGTTGTCTTTGATCGTGCAGACTTCCGGAGGCGGGAAGGTCAACGGATTGCCCTCAAGCTTCATGACCTGCAGGCTGTTGATGTCCCCCAGGCACACCGGCAACTGCTCGATTTTGTTCTTCGCCAGAGCCAGTACTTTGAGTGAGGTCAAGTTTGCGATCCCTTCTGGGACTGATCTGATCTTGTTCCTGCTCACGTCTAGAATTTCCAGCGACGTCATCTCGAGTATCTACAGCTGGAATCAGCACGGTGTCACATGTCGTGCAGCTGGGGCGGGCCAACGGACAGCACTGGGGATCTCGCGCATAGCGTTGTAGCGCACATTGAGATAGCGAAGGCGCTTGCATTCTAGCAGTCGTGAGGGGAGAGTCGTGAGGAGATTGTGCGAGAGGGCGAGCCTGGGGGAGTCAGCATCAGAAGACAAGCGCTGCGGCCAGCGCATTTGCTTTGCGGGGGTTGTATAGGGCGCACCTCTCAATCTCCACCCTGATGACATCGATAACCTCATCGGGCAGGCGCGCTATGTTCTTGTGGCCGAGGTCGATGGTGATGCCGGTGTGGTGCTGCTGCACGTCTCGCGGAGCGTCCGGGCCACGCTGGCTGATGTCCTGGCGGGAGTGGTTGAAAGCGGCCTTGGCCAGGGCGACCACCTCCTCGTCCGAAATGGGCACAGGCGCGTCGTTGCTCATGACGAGCGGCGGTCAGACAGACGGACGGCGGCGGCGGAAGGGCGCGCAGACATGCTCATGCAGCAGTAGAGAGCGTGTGCGGCGGCTGGTCGATGCAGCAATACGGGACGAGGTAAGGAGCAGCTCAGGGCCCACGCCAGGAACAGCGGCGCTTGCCCTCGACTAGCGCCGCTGTTCCTGACGTGGGCTGGCGACCATCAAACAACTCTCCCCCCGGAAACACCAACACCGCGCCCCACCGTCACGAGGCACTCTGATACACCGTGGCCTTCTGCAATGCCCCATGCCGAGGGGACTTTGCGTTCACTCTCTCTCATGCACCTCAATATACTTCGTACTCACTGTCCATGGCAGCCTGACGTGAGCCCGACCGTTGTGCTCAAGCCCCTAGCGGCAAAGCCACCCGCGAGGCTGCGAATAAACAGCCGCCGGAGTGGATTCCCAGATCTCCGTCCATCCAGCCTCTTTGTCTCCAGGATAAACCCCTTGTGCTCTGACACCTCTGATAGGATCAATGTAACCAAGAGGCGTAAATATACTTTGATCAGGCCACTGCGGCACAAAGTCAGTTGTTGACAGGCTCACCAACGGCACGTTTTCCCAAGCAATGGCACGCTAGTATGTGGGTCGGGCAGTTTTGGCAGGTGATTCCGCCATGTCGATCGATCCAAGAAGTTCCGAGATGGACTCGAGTTTGTTGTGCAACAGCTTCTCCACAGATTCGAGACTCACAATCGACTGGCGCACGCGCAAAACGTTGTCATGAACTATGACGACTACCTGCATCCCATACGTCGTTCTCCACGAGCGGCGCATGAACTCCGACAAGTGTTTGAGCAGCTGCAGCTCGAAAATAACGTCGCCGAATACGACCAGGACGAGGCAGACGGATGCAGTGAATCAGATGAGGACTTCCCACCACCCATACCACGAAGCCGTGTGAACTCATACAACGAGCAACCGGCGACGAGTCGAAGAGAACCCCTACCTCGCTCTCCAGGACATGTGAACCCACTACGGTCGCATCCGGTTGTGGCTGCCAGGACTTCAGCAGACCATACACCAGCGCCAGCGCCAGCACCAGCGCCAGCACAAAGACCAGTGCCGAGAACAGCCTCTCGGTATCGGTTCTCCCATCCCCTCAGAGAACAGCTGTGTGCCCCTCGACTACCTGATCCAATACCTCGCCGACATCCAACCAACCTTGTTTCCTACAAGCCTGCCAATCAGCGTCTCCACCCAAAGTTGCGTAAACGAACGTCCTTGGATACTATCGCATCGGTGACAACGACTGCCTCTGCCCGCGATGCTGAGTTCGACGAGCCGTCAGACGTGGAAACCCAATCTCTTTCCATGTTCACACTCGAGTCCGATTATCCCACAACACCGAGCGTAGACCTGGGATCACCGCCAATGGGCGAGCCTCTGCAGTCGACTTCAATGCCAGAATCGCTGCGCACAGCAGGTGTTGACTCCACACCGTCGATGCCCCCAACAACGCCTGTGACCTCGACAGAAACGCATCCACCGAAGGGCATACTTCGAAAGCTGAAGCCTGGCAAAAGGATGGATTCAATGGGCACGGATGGAGGGGCCGATAAGCTGGTCATCGAAAGGACGGTTTCAGTCGATCAGACGTCCTACCGGTCGAACTCTTCAAGTGCTTCCAACACCATGTCGTCCGGCACGCCTTCGCGATACCCAATCTCAGAGGCAGGCAACTCTCGATCCAGTAGTACGTGGACAGCGAGCTCGCATGATATCAGCGGGCTGACTCCGGAGGAATTGAAAAAGTGCAAGAAGAAGGGCATCAACCCAGCACTGTTCGCCGAGATGAAAGCGGCAAGGAAGGGGAAGTGGACAAGCCCAATTGCAGGAAACACATTCTTGGCCTGATGCAGCAGAGTGATGTCGCAATTATCCAAGCGAGTCTCCCATATGACGAGCGCTGCGGCGCAGCTAGCCTTTAACCCGTACGAGAAACGCTTCAAAAGTGTCTGTTGGGTTAGGCAGTTTTGCTTCGAGGTGAAAAGCGATGCCCACCCAAGCAGAGGATCACTGGAGTTGGAACAGCTCGGTACGGCACGCACTGGCATGCCTTTGCTCCTGGACTGGGTCGCAGCAATATTTCTATTCCTTGTTGATGTTTCGGTTGGCTCAGTGTCTCCCTGCCCAATATACAAAGGCACGGCTGCAAGCAACCTAACTCACAACTAGGCTCTGTCTAGCCGTGCTGAGTGCACACGGCCGGTCGCTCCTTGTCTGCACCTGCATGGCGTCCGCTGTCATGCAACACCGCTCATCTATGACGAATTCACCACGACCTTGGGTTTGTCCACGATCTGTTGTCTCAAACCGATCGCACTCACGTGTCTTACTTTGTCTCCGCATCTGGCTGTCTGGAGACGATATTACCTACCCGGGTAGGCCGTGTTTCATCTGGATAATTCGTCTATTGGTGTTCCTATGGTAGCCAAGACGTCTATGGCAGTCAATATCCGGCTTATTTCCAAGAGGGTGTTCGAGATAGATGATCAGCAATTGACTATAGGTATGCCAGTCGCATATAGGCAATGGGTGAAGGGGGTCTTCGAAACAGCATTTGAGTGTCGCTACCGCAACATCGAACCTCAAGGGTGTGTTACAATATGTAGCAAAGGATCTATCTGTAAGTCAGACAAGCGCGTCTTATGGTCATGTAATATCCAGAAGCACAGAAGGGTCACGAGGTGCATCACTGTAGATAAAACGAACAATTCACAGCATCACCACCTCAGCCCCACCATCGGACAATACATTCAGGCAGCCTACACGCGTGAAGCCTAGTGGCGACCGACCACTGATCTTCATCCAAAGCTTAATACAATCACCCCTGCAATAAACACCAAATACCATGGCGACACTTGTCAGCTCACAGCCACCTGCCCGTCACAGCATTGAGCAGCGCGGCAGTTCCCTTTCCCCACACCGCCAGCCAGCACGCCAGCATGTCGTCTGCCCCATCTACACCACTCACAGCGCACCGAATCAACACCCCTATCCTGCATCAGCTGCTGTCCAATCAACACCTTCATCTTACAGCCTATCGCATCCTCCCGCCGTACGCCCTGCACGCTTATCAAGTGCGAGGTGGCGATCGTGACGCTGCTTTTGCGTGCGATTATTCCCATATAGCCCGCAGGCGAGGAAAGGCCAACTCGGAAAGGAAGGCACATCGTAAGCTGTACATGCGGGGAATGAGGGAAACGAGGGGCGATACGGCTTTGTCTGCAGCCTCCAACGATTCGCCAAACGTTGTCTCCATTATTGTAGACAAACTGTATGCATGTATGTTTACTTAATGGATGGGTGGGGCGCTAGGTGTTCACACCGAGCAACTGCGAGACACCGATGAGGTTGTGTAGTGTTGAAAGTGGAGAGGCCGGACATGGTTGGTGACGGTTGCTCATGATGCTCAAGATGTAGGATGATCTGCACGTGCACGGGAGTAACTTCCCCAATATTTAAGCATCTGCGTCGCGCACGTGCAATTGGGTGTGCAGAGTAAGACAGGGCTGGGTAGGTAGTTTTCGAAGCGCGATATTACACGCTCGAAGCATGAGCTGATGGTGGTGAGATTGCGATGTGCACGCGCGCATGTGGAGAAGGTGAGATTCCAAGCGAGAGGAACAGTGAGGGGCAAAACGTCATCATATTGCGAGTCGAATGGGAGTTTGTGGCGCCTTGGAACGTTTCGAAAATGCTTCTAGAAGTATTCCACGACTAGCACCGCGAGAAGCAGTGGAGGTTCCATCGCGCACTTTTTAACCCGTTTCGGCGATGTTGTATTCGCCTACTCACGCTGTTTTCGACGCGCTTCGCAATGACTTGGGGTCTGTGCCACTGGCAACACGGACATCTGTGACAATAGATCGCGATCGTAGACTGCGCCAGGTATGTCGCTGAGTTGAGGCTCTACTTTAGCTCTAGTGTGTGTGCTGATTCAGATCTAGACACAGCTGCCCTTGAGAGCGCGCTGAGCACGCTGAACTGGTCGTTTCAATACCATGTGCTCTGCCTATCAACGGAGCTACAGTGGCGCCACCCTTCTCTATAGGGCAGGACCTCACCGAAAAACCTCACGCTCTGCGGAGCCGCATGACGTGAGACTGCACGTCGAAGATGAGGATTAGGCTGGGTCGCAAGACTTGCTGTCCACTCTCCCAGAGAATCAAAGCTTTTGAGAACAATTCCGTCAGGGGAGATTAGTACCTCACTGCTCCATTCCCGGCACACCCTCCGACAAGCTTTTGAGATCTTCGTACGAAGCAGTGGTGCCGGATCTCCTCCGCCAGTGGGGCGAGTCTCCGATTCTTGCGCGCCGATTCCAATCAATACATGTGCACAACCTGCCGGATGCAGACGGTAGCACTGATGCTACGCTACCACCTTGACAAAGTGCACATGATGGTACTCCAGCACGTGTAGCACTAAGCAGATTCACGCGTAACGAGGCATGGTAGATACGACGCCCTACGGTCAAGCTAGACATCGGTATGCGCCGAGCGACGAATGCTGTGGTCGGTCGGAATGTGGGGGTTCTCGGGATTACATGACAAGGGTCAGACGTGGTAAAGCAGTGGGGAGGGATGGCGACGATCAATGCTTGGTGAGACATCGAGCGTGGATGTACCAGAGTCGATCACGACGGTGCGAGATCGAGGGCGACGTAATGCTTCTGCTATGTTGATGCGGAGAGTGTAGACAGAACATTGGCGAAACGGATGCTGTTGAAGACCAATGTGTGTCCGTAAGTGCAAAACAAGACGCGTTTGGAAACGACTGCCGTGGTATGCTGGATTCTGCACCGAGTCTTCCATCAAGCAAATCCCTGCTGCTGTACCTATACCAAGCTGCTATCGAAACGCGCTGACAGTACGTCCAGGTGTCATCTTGGGCTGTTGCATACGCACCCTCGCTTATCAGCTCACATGTAGCACGCCATATGCGAGCGGTCCTTGGCCCAGATGCTTACTCTCATCTCCAAGCCCAAGGCCTCATCTTCGTCCCGCCCAAGCAATACAGACATCCGGGAAAGCCGTTGTGATAACGCGTATTGTACAATCCCAACTGTCAATTGGGTCGGCCCGGCTCGGAGTTGAGAGATCGACGACTAGCATGGACCCGCGGTGAAGGGGCCTAACGCCAACGACCTGACAGCTTGGTGTCGTGCGCGGCTTTTCCAGGCATGCGGTCGCTTCGTTGCAGGTTGAGTGCCGCGGTCGATGTCTGTGTATCAAAGCTCTGCTTTGGATACGACTCATACGAGCGCCATGGCACGCGTATCGTGGCTGCAACATTGGCTTGTTTCAAGCACTCAGTTCCCGCCAGAGCCTCCGATGCTCCACTTTCCTTCTGCCGTCTCTGAGCTCGTCAAATCCAGACTTACCGAGCGGCTCTATATCGGCGGTACTCCCTTGTTGCTAGCCCGCGAAACGATAGTGTACGGAGCGGACTCAAACAAGCGATTTGTACGTGGTGGGTGCAAAACGGGGATGCCATGACAGTGACAGTGACAGACCAAACAGTGTGCGTGACATGGTTGGCAGCGCTCCGCAGATTACCCCCCAAAGGCTTATTGTGAAGTTGACCTTGCGAGTGCCGGCCGTGTGTCTATTTGCCGGCCGGCGCACTGGAAGGGTTGCATTGTGTGCCTCTGGAAGTCTGGAGGTCACCTGCCTAGCTAAGATTGGTCAATCATGGAAATTGCGAAGTCGCGTTTGGGTGAATGAAGAGGATCTTCGTTGTGGCATTTGCCGTATGCTTCATTGCTTCGCGCTCTCTGCGCTGTGGTATCTACTTCAAGCCTCCACTTGATCAACTGCTCCGTCTGAAGACCCCAATAGAAATAGACTGGTGTTGATACAATCGCGTCGCCCATTCGTCTCATCATTACCAAGAATGATGGGTGCAAAAAACGCCTGTCCAAGTTGTAACCTCTCGCCAGAGGTAAATTTGCAAACGCCAATGTTGTCTAGAAAGCCACGACTACGCCGGTCGTGGCTGTGGTATGCGCCTGTCGCCTCGCTGTAGGCTAATCGAAACGCCGAGTATATGCAGCCCAAATGCCGTTTGTATGCAGGTCGCTGAAATCGCATGTTCGTAACCGTGATCGCTTTTCAATGTGAGAAATTCGGTGAAATGTTTCCATCCTCAGTGGATGGTGTCGAGGTGTTCATTTAGATGAAGCCTCCAGGTGAATCGACAACAGCGTGCTCGTCCTCTCGCAGTTGGCCGCCGCTCTTTTTCTTGGGCCAGAGCTTGCTACTGACACGCTTCCAGCTATCTCTTGTCGCAGCGCCGATGCCATTGTGCTCTCCGCGGCTTGTGCGGGGGCTGGGAGTGCCGCTAGCAGTTCCACTCTCGCCATAGATGTGGGTAGGGTCGGCCAAGGGGTAGTCGCTCATGGGCGGTGTACCAGGAGGAGTGAGAGGGTCGGTCATTGAGGGGCTTGCACTGCCAGTATCATCCGTCATCGCATCGCTGCCGCTGGTGTAGCCGGATGTGACGCGAGTAGCGAGAGAGGCGGATGATGTGGGTTGAGAATGGAAGCGGGAGTGGGAGAAGGGACGTGAGTGCATGAAGCCAGCAGTCAGCGATGATGGTGCTGATGCACGCTGATGGGCAGAAACGTGCGATGACTTTTGCGAGACAGTGCTTCGCTCATCGTAGCTGCGTGTGGACGACCGTGTCACGCTAGCATTGTAACTCTCGTGACTCATGAGGCTAGGGTGTGCACTCTGAGGGCTGACGGAGTTCAAGAAGGACAGAAGGACACCCTCCTCCATGAGTTCGTAGATCTTGGCAACAGCCTCGTCCAGCGTAGATGGGTGAGGTGGCACATAAGAGTCAGACAGAGCCAGGAGCCTGTCACGGACTTCGGCAGGGAGGTTGACCTATGACGATTAGCATAAGACAAGGTGATGTAAGAGGGAAGTCAACATACCTCACGAGGGCCAGACTCCCGGATGTACGCGTCGATTAAGCGGCGCCAGAGCATAAGAACGTATGCACACTCGTCCGACAGGGGAGAGATGGGTGTCCCGGGGTGACGATTGACCATCTTGGAGTAGTGCTTGCGATATCTCGATGCGTCCATGGTGAACTCGAGGTTCTCTAAACAGTGGTTCTGCGACAGGAAGGCCATAAAGGACGATAATGTGTACGGTGGGGGGGCATTGTTGGCGAGGATCTCGGCCAGGTTGGGTTTCCGGCTGTGAGGGCTGGGGATGTTCTTGGGTATCGAGACGGTCAACGGAGCTTTTTGGCAGTCCGAGAAGGCCATTTTGACGTCGTAGCCGTCGAACTCGTCGAGGGACGACGCGGGCGACGAGATGGTGGAATTGGTTCGTATCGAGGGTGCTGTGGGCTCAGGTTTCCGCGAGATCATCACGGTCCGCCAGAACTGCTTGTAGACACGGCGGGCCGTCTTCTTGCTCTGCTCTTCCAGACTCTCACAAGGACAGGTTTGGGTTCGTATAGACTGCGCCAGCTTGACGGCCGAGGCACGAGGTTCGGGGCGAACCTGGTGGCAGCGGGAGAAGCGTGGGTGGTGAGTTACTGCTTCGCAGACGGCAGCATCGAGCGCCGTAGAGGTGGTGGTGGTGCAGAGGACGGGACGCGCACGGCGGCTTCTTTTGACCGATGGCCGGAGGGGACGCAGCGGCGAGTCGCGCTGGGGCCGTGCAGTGTTTGCTGGGTGCTGCAGTGCTTCTCGAAGGGCGACACAGAGAGAGTCTGCTATCGAGAGGGTGCTGGGGTGCGGTGGTACGGCGGCGGGCCTGGTTGCAGCGTGTCGGACGGGTGCAGCGGGTGGGCGTTCGAGGGCGAGGGCGAGACGGCGGGAAACTGAGCGCTGCGCTGGGACTGGCTGCAATGCGTGGGTGCAGCAGCGACGGGTGGACGGTGCGAGGAGCGTGCAGGCGAGTGTTGGGTGACGCAGGCGCGGCGGGTATGAGACGTGGGTTCAGATATGCCGTCAGAATTCGAGACAAAAGGCCCTCCTGTGGTGCGGCTCAGCGGTGGTTATGAGGAGAGGGCGGAAGCACTCTTAGCACGTCTAGCAGCGCGACTAGCAGCACGCCCTGGACACTGGACAGGCGGGTCGCAGCTCAGCACCAGCCAGGGACCCACTCGGTGGACAGTGATCAGTGCGGTTGGCGAAGCTTGCGCAAACGCGGACAGCCTCGATGTCAGAGGGCGATGGGGTGCCATGGCCGCTGCACGGAGGCAGGCGCTGGAGCAAAAGCGGCAGGCGCTGATGCTTCTAGCGGCGCCCTAGCGCGTTGACGTGGCTGCTGATTCGCCACAGCCGCCGTCTTCTGGAAGGAATCCCTGTCGGCCGTCTGCTCGCTCGCCACCCTCAGCCAGACAGTGCCCGCACAGTCGCTGTTACAGAGAGCGCGCGCAGCCCGCCGTTGCGCAGACGTGCGCTGAACGGTGTCGTCTGTCAGCTGCGTGCAAATCAGGCGAGGAATGTGGACGTGAATGTGAACGTCCGCGCGGTGCTGGCCGCCTGCAGTTGCCGCGAGCCCCGCGTCAAGTCGCACCACAGCTGCGTGCTCAGCGCTCGGTCTTCTCTCCACCTCAAAGTCAGTCATCAGTCATTCGCACGCACGCATTCCACCACTCGCTCCGACCCCGGCTCTTACTCGGGCGCTGTTGCAAAGATTACGCCTCGGCCGCCTAAACAGCCCGCCCGCTGCTGTAGCTCCCTAATGCCCAACGAGCATCCGGCAGCGACCAGCACTACCTCCTACCCGGGGTAATACTATCTCAGCGAGCGCGCTTCCCTCTTGAGTGGTACATAATAGCCCCTTCACCTCACTGTTGCTTGACCCATTGCGACCTCAGTCCCAGCAGCCCGGCTGGTCCAGCCGCTGACCCTTCACTACGCCGCAAACGGCCGTCTTGCAGTCCCAACACGCTGAGTCGCCTCGCTAAACCGCCCTAAGGCTCCCATTCCGCGACAAAAGGCAACCCAGCCGATGCTTCTTTGAGCCTCCATGTCAGGCTTTCTTTGTCCGCTGATGCAACGCATGACAATACTGCTCTTCCCAACGGCTGCCTCTTGAATCATGAAAACAGCGCATCCACGACAGCGTATTCACGCAGACACTCCATCAGCAGCGTCCTGACGGTTGCCTCGCTTCCCCGTTCTCTGGCAGCATGCCACTCTCCAGGGTGCTCGGACGAGGTGACGCCAGCGCCTGCTTTGGACTGGCCTCAGGCTGCCACTCGCTGACTGGCCCGTCAGTGCACCCTCTACCCACAGATGGGGATCGCACGGGCACAAATCTTGGCTTTGGCCCCATCGCTGGGGAGACTCAGCGCATCCTCCAATCTATGCCCGAGGCTCGAGACATTTGATTACCGTAATCTATTCCTGCCGCATCCTGCACTTCAGCATCACGCAGATCCACAATGGACCCACAGGGGACCCACCACTGCCCGCGCCATGGCATTCAAGCAAACACCGTCGTCTCTTTAGGCCAAGTTCTAGCAGCGTCTGCGTCAATTGTGTACTATTCACGCACGACGCAGCAGCAAACATACCGAGTGCTACAGGCCACATGTCTCAGCGTCTCGCTGGTGAGTCGTGGTCGTGCATGCAGCCGACTCAGGCTGACGTTTCACCTGCCCTGTTCGTTTTCTCACTCCCGACGTTTGTTCCTTGTCCTCCCACCGGTCATCGGCCGTGCGCGCTGAGTTTTTTTCTTTCTAGAAGCACTCCAGGTTTCTAGAAGGTTACCACAAACTGCTAGCACCACCACAAGTGCGCCGCTGTCGATCTTTTCCGCCGAAGCATCATGTTTGGCGCCGAAGCACCATGTTTGGCGCATGATGTTGGCGAAACAGTCTCCATTCATCTCCACCTTTCATAGTGCGACAACATTGTTGAGAACCTCACCAGAATACCATGGAACTCGCGTCGGATGCACCTCGGGGGATGTGAGGGCGTGTGAGCCGTGTACCTCGGAAGGCTGCTTGCGAAAACCTTCTAGAAGTTGAGGCTGCTCTTGTATCGTGGCCTGGTGACCCGCGTGTAAGCGCCTCGTTCCAGCACGCACCCTATCAACAAAATCCACAGCATGAAAATTTTGGTCGCCAACATGCGCTCGGTGCCTCAGACATGACGCAGCTAGTGGACCTCAAGAGCAAGCGCTGCAATTCACCCGCTTTCACCGCCTATGGGGTCAGCCGCATCCCGCATTCGCGATCCTGAAAGCAGGCGTGGAAAGATCGCTTGGCGTCTAGATGTTCGCAGGAGCCTAATGATGCCCAGTCAGTAAAGATAGCATCGTAAGCCTTGACGCCCAGCGTGCCCAACATTGCGGACGTGAAGGTTACCCACGCATCACGGTGACATTTTGGTAATATACGGCCCTTTCCATCTAGCTTTCGCACCGTATTCAGCGCGTCTTTGTGCCGGTGGTTCGTTCCCATGATTCGGCCAGAGACGTCACCAAACGTGAAACGTGACAGGTGGGCCTCCACCACCGTCTGACAGTCTGACAAGCGAACTCGCAAGTTTCGGATCTCTAATGAGACGAAGATTTATCACACTCAGATGATGGGCATTAAGAACAGCGAGCGGAAACAAGATCGTTCGTTATCACTGCGGCATGTGTGGCTCGCTTGGTCAGCGTTGATGTCGTGCGGTAGGGTGCAGCGTCTGGCCCAAGACCGTCGACTACTATAATTCTCCGCAAGACGCGCTGTCTGATCGCCAGTCCGAATCCACCTGACTACTTTTCGTTTTCGAAACCGTGGTTTGTAAATTATCGACAGGCCAAAGCAGTCTTAGGTGAGCATGTATACGTTACATCAGATCTCCCCATTTCAAACCACAATCCTCCTCGCCCAGCCCATGTCATCTGGCAGCCGTCCTCTCCGCCCTTATCCTCAAGCATCGCGATTCCTCCCTCCTGTTCTGCCCTGGGATTTGTCAGAGCTCCGTCAGCCGCACAGGCGAGACGTGCAGGGGCTGTTAGGCCCATTACCGCGCCGCATTGCCATAGCCGTGCGTGCGCCCGAGCTTGTATTGATCGACGAAAGTCATGGACGCAACCTTTTTCTTAGCAGTACTGTGCCTCGAAGCATGGCTCCGACTGCCAGAAAAGTAAGCAGTGTCTGCGGCGTGGGTTTCCAGTAGGGAGGTCACAATCCTTCCCAGGTCCAGGGCCATGGTGAACGGCGAGGTGGACGGTCGACGGCTCAGTAGGATCGGTGAAGGGGGCGCGTATGCTGCTACGGACCTACGTTCCGGACGAATCTTGCGATCTGTCGATTAGGGCGCGGACGCCTGCTTGTGTTTCGAGTGCGGCGGTGTCGAGATCCCATCCTGCACTTCTCAATGCTGGGGTGTATTTGTTGAATAGCTCCTTGCTCTGCCGCAGGGTGTGCAGAAGCTCCACGAGCCGTTGTGCGTTCAGAGCCTCGTCCTCGGGTCCACGAAAGGACGAAGGAGCCTGACTCCGCATCCTTACGAGCATCAGTGCATGGACCCATGCTTTGAGATGATCAATCGCTGTGCAACCCTTCTTCAGAACAATCAAAACCTCTCGCGTTTGAATGTTGTTGTGCCATAAAATGTAACCTTCACGTTCAAAGATTTCGAGGAAGTCCGGCAGCTTGATGGGCAAGTCCTTGAAAGCTCCTGCTTTTGTACTGCCGGCGAGGCTCATACCACCAAATAGCGACTGCAGACTGATACCTATCCTGCAATGTCCAATGATTTCGTTTCCATATCGTAAGACGCCGTCTCTCTCAAAGACACGCTCTTGCTCCGACACCTCCTTTGGGCTTAAGACTCGCGGCTCCTTGGCGTCTAGGAGGTGACTGAAGACGATGTTCGCGCGCTGTCTGTTTAGGTTGGTCATGCTCACAGCTTTCACCGCAGCATAATTCATCGCCAAATGCACTGACAGCAGTGCAATGAGCGTAGCCCATGTCGCCATTGGTGTCGTCACCCAACTCACCACCAAACTGCCCGCAAGCATACCCAACAGACTGATGACAGTCTCTTGGCTGGAGTCCTTTGCGTTCAACTCGCCTAGATTCCCTCTCTTGGCAAAATGCGCACTCAGGCTCGCCTTCGCGGAGCCAGCACACACTCCGCAGAGCGCTCTGAGGCAGCTGGAGAAGCTGAGTACCACGACACGTGCGGGCTTTGGGAAAGCCGGAGATAGGCAGTCCAGGATCATAGCGGTGTCGTTGAATATGTCAGCTGCAAGACGGTACATTTTACATTCAGGTTCCAGAGATGTTCCCAGACGGTGTGCGAACATGATGGTAGCGAGTCGACCCATTGACTCTTGTAGAATAGAGAGCAGCAGGGCGCTGGTAGGTGAGGCTGTTGAGTCGCCTACGCCGACGCCTTCGAGTACGGCTCTTGAGGCCAAGAGGCCGGCTATCGATGATGAGAAGGCTTGCAGTGAGTCCTGGCATACCGTGAGCCTTTTCGTCACCATATTGAAGGCTTCATGGGTGCACATACATAGATCTGGTATCTTATGATATGTCAGTGCTGTTCGAATCGTGTTTGCTCACGTTGGATTGACCTACTGAATGTAGTCCTCCGTCACACTGTGTGGGTATCCCGCGGGTAGAAAGACATCAAGCAGCTGTTGAGCGTAGCTCTTCGTCTCTCTTGGAAGCTGAACATCATCAGTACATCTTGCTTCTACACTGCGTACGAGTGAAAGCGGGGAGGGCACGTACGACAACATCAACACGTGATTCGCCTGACGCTATGTACGTAGTCACCACATTGCCAGCCTCGTCATACTCCTCGATCTCGATTTGCTCGGATTTTGACATGATGTCGTGTCGTAGTTTGGTCGTGGTGGTCGGCTAGCGCAGCGTTGAGCGAGGCAACTGTGGGGTCGTGGGGACAATTCCAATCCTTGTGCACTTCACACCTTCCGTCAAACATTCCATCCCTGCACATTTCCTGCATATCACTTTCCAACCTGCATGTCAGCGCTTCCCTTGCGCGATCTTCCTGTCGATGAAACCGTTCCTCGGCGTCACACTGGCTTCGCTGATCATACGTCCCCAATGCACGCTCGGCGCTTACTGATCTTGGCGCAAGGCGCCCGTCTGCAGGCGTCTTCGGCTTCGGCCTGCTCTCCAAACACAAGAACACTCTGACTACAATAAGCGACAGCCTGGGGGTCGGCACTTGGAAGCTCGGCCTTGTACACAGACGATACCGATCTCGGCGAAGGGTCGATGCAAACTCAAAGTCATGCTGATAATGTCTGTGACGACTATCGAGTTGTGCCTTGGGAGGAATTAAGAGCCTCGAATGATCCAGCTTCGTTTATCGAATGTTTTGAATCGGAGCACAGCGAAGACGAGCAGGCTATGTCCTCTCAGAAAGCGAAAGCGATGATGACTCCAACGGTGACCAGGCTCAGGGTTCTAAGCAATAGGGCGATGATAATGCCTACATGATCTGGGAAGACGACGATGGCGCGTATCACACCTTTACCATACCGAGTTTCCTTGCTACTTCCTTGAATCTTAAGGACTTCCATACCGCGTTGCGTGGTTTCAAGCCCACAGATGCCGCCAATATATCACAGTTTACAGGAGTCGCCTGGAGGCATTCAGAGAATCAAATACTTTCTCCAATCTTCCTTTGACTCGCCACATCGATTTCGTCGCCAGTAAATAGCACGCTCTCCCATGGGCTTTGGAAGATATTGAGCGATTCTACTGGAACGAAATCCATTCTATCAGGAATCTGATGTTTGGTATCGGCGGGGTTCTAACATTGTACCATCGCCCGCAGAATGTGTACAACCAATGCGATGTCTCGGGTATTGGGTGATCGTCATGCCAGATCCCTGCGTTACATGGAGGAATTTCTTCGACGCTTCTGGCGTCTTGCCATGGTACGAAGTCAACACAAATGACAGCGCTGCACAGCGGTCTGGTGACAGACACGTTGGAGGGGCTTCGTCTAAACTACTTGATTTGGCCGCACGTGAGTGCTCGTGATTAATTATAAGGAAAAGAGCGTGGTGCTGCGCCCACAAAGGGTGGTAAGTGTCGGCACTTGTCAATCCAGCCGAGAAGTTGTGGCAGGTTGCCAAGTCCAAAAGCGAGGTGAAAGGGAGTGGGTCATCTGCCCTTACACAGGGCTTCCATACATCACATAGCCAAAGCCCTCCGACATGGATGTATCAAACACTACGGTCTCCCGTCCTTCCACCCCTTCTCCAACTCCTCCACGTTCCCGCAAACCTCCTCCTCGTAACATACACAAACACAACCAACATGATCAAGAACAACACACTCCCCGCGCTATACCCCTGGTTCTGCACCGCCTGCTTCTTTGCCTCCTCATAAATCTCCTTGACCCTATCCTTCACGCCATCGCCCTGCTCCAAATCTGGCATGGCCATGATACTGACAACCAAACTTGTCCAGCCTGTAAAATGCTGTGTGCGCTGTCCATGCCCACCGACAGGATCGTACTGCTCCCAAGCATATCCTGTCTGCAGCCACGAGCTAAAAACAGTGTGCACGATGTTCTTCCTTAACTCGATGTAAATGCCTTTGCACCTCGCCTGGTGCGGGCCAGGCATTTTGGCGAGCGAGAAGAGCTGTGTGAGGATCATGTAATTGAAGTTTATCCATATCGGGCTACGCCAGTAGTTATCGCCGACGCCATATTTTTTATCCTCTTGGGAGAGCGACTTGATGCCGTGGTCAGTCCAGAGCTGATTCTGGTCGCGCAGCAGGCGTAATATTGCGTCGAGGTGCGGGTGACTTGCATCAATGAAGCCAGTCATGAAGGGGAAGAGTGAGAGGTAGCCTTTGTGGCAGACGTAGGTGTGTTTGTCGTCACGAACGACGGTGTCGCAGTAGGCGTTTTGCTGCTCTTCCCAATGGAGAGCCTCGAGGTTGATTCTGATACCGCGGATGTGGTTTTGGTAGGTGAACGCATCGTGGGTGGTCTCGGTGAAGAAGGCGATCTTCTCAAGCGTGCGCGACATCAGACCTACCCAGCAGAGGGCATCGAGATGGAGCTCGGTAATGTCTGGTGGTTCCGCACGGGGGTAGTCGTCCATACCGCTGGGATAGTTCATCTCAGGTGTACGACCTCGCCATCTGTATCCTTCGTTAAGATTTGCTGACGGAACAGAGTGAGCTTCGATGTCTCCTGACTGAGACTTGCGCCACCATTCGTAGTGCTTCTTAAGAAGCGGATAGAGCTTTGCGACAAACTTCTTGCCTGCTTCAGGCTTCAGCAGTGTTGACTCGTGCCCGTAGTACTTCGCCTTGCCTTGCAGTATGTCGATGAACTTTGACACTACAAGGAACAGAGTCGGAGGATTCGCAATGTGCGGATACTGCGTCAAAGCATCGCTAAGAATGCCATTTTCAGCCTCAATGCCAACAGCCTGCTCCCTGGCTATCCAACCGTCATCATCCATAGATTTGAGCCAGCTCTGCACGACTTCCATGGCTAGGTCGACATCCCATTCGAGCACTGGAAGAAGGTGGAAGCCCTCGTCCCATAGGAAGCCGCGAGGGAAGACAGCTCGAGCCGGCGTGTGCGTGAACAGCTCGTATGGACCTCTGGTCTCGGGTATGGAGTGCTTCTTCGCATCTGCAGTCTTCTCCCAAAACTTGCCAGTCGTTTCGGCGTATATAGCTTTTTTCGACTCGTCGATCTTAATTCTGCCGTAGAAGTATCCAATCCCGCCCAGTAAGTCTGCAAGCATCTTCTGGCCGAAAAGGGCATGCTGGTCCGTATTGAACGGAGCTTTCAGTGCAAAAACCCGCGCGTAGTCCTTCCTGTATGCGACTACGTTGTCCTGGATACCGCCCGCCATCTCCGATGTGGTCATGGCACGAGTTGCCTCTCGACTCGAATAGAGCACATCGAAATGGAAACTGCCATGTATGATCATCTGCACAAACTGCATGTTGCCTGAACCGGGGGCGTTGCGAAGGACAACGTCCATCTTTCCGGCTTCGGTTCGATCGTTCGACTGAGCTTTCAGTGCGTCTAGGAAGGTGGCTTCTTGCACGCAAACATGTCAGCTTGTTCATGGCAGCTATGTGCTCTTGGATCTGACTGGACTCACACTTCGCCTGCCATAGCTTATCCTCGGTGACATTCAACGTGTGGACAATCGTGCCCTCATGCCTTCCGTCCTCGCCAACTGATGTTGGAATGTGTATACCGGCAGAGCCTACTCGTGGGTGCTTGATTGCAATGTTCACCGCCTCAACAGACTTATCGTCGCCAGCACCAAGTTGCTCAAAGGCTTCGAGCTGGCAGTCTGCACAACCCTCTTTGCCCTCCATACCCACAAAGAAGATCACGGAAGTCTTCAGGTCTGCAGGTGCGCCTTCGCGCGGCTTGCCCTTGATTCGCAGTGCCCAGTTGCCCGAACTCTGGCCCTCAGACTTCTTTACGAACTCGGTCGTAATGTCGATCTGGTTCCCCACATCTTGGACGATTTGCGTTCCTCCGCTTCTCGCATCGTAGGTAGTCCAGCCGTACATGGCCATGCCATCGTTTTGCTCGACCGTGTGCCGCAACTCTGGGATCGCAATCAGCGCCTGCTAGGATTGCCTTCAATCTCAATCACCCACTCTTGTCCTGCTCATCGAGCTTTCCCCACATCAAACCCGCAATGAGACTTTCGGGCAATCGAGGGCAGATGCCTAGGTATAGATTGGGTTTGTATGGTCCCCATAGTAGCGGTGCTTCGTTGGAGTACAGCGATGAGTCGACCGTCTTCGAGACTACAGGTGCTACAAGGGCGAGTGCTACCAAAGTCGCTGGGAGCTGCATGGTCCCTGAGGCAAGCTACGACGCGTATGGAACGCGCCGGCTAATCAAGTGGTGAATCCAAAGAAATAACTAGGGCGAGCGCTCAGCCATGATACCTGTCGTCTTCGCATGCAAGCGTAACACAACCAAAGAAGCTTGTTAGCAGCTTCGACCTGCGTGCATTTCTGGGCGTAAGGCGCGATGCACCCCTGATTACTTCCGCTCTCGTTTTGCCCACCGATTGGTCAGTCGCGCCTTACTGGTCACTTTATTCCAGCACCACTGCACTACAACCTGCGAAGCAACTCTGATACAGATAGCGCAAGCACAAGGCTGAGTCCATATCGCCAGCTATGTCTCACTATCTTGAGCTCGTTGACACATCAACACCACGATGTTCATCACGTGCAGAAACAGCCCCCGCAAAACGACGTCAGCGGTAACTCAGCCGTGATTGAGAAGGACAATCCCCCACGGTCGATAAAGATTGTGCCAAAGCAAAAGCACACTCTTCTTTCGATTACTAGCAGATCCTGATCGCCGCTGCGCCATCAATTGCTTAAGTTTTCCCTGCAAGCAACCGAGCTTTGAACGCGCTCAATATCCATACAATTCAACATGCAAGAACAAGTCGACCGCTTAGTCGAAAAGACATGGGGTATGAAGCTACCAATACCAGTTTCCGAAACCCGTACTAACACCATGACCTAGAGATGTTTCAAGGAGTCAGTGGCTCAAGGCGACTGTTGGTAGCTGTGTCTGGCATTCCCGGTTCAGGTATGCACCTTCCCCAAGGTCGCGTGTGCATTGTGGGCTGATTGTTTGGCAGGCAAGACCACACTTGCAGCCAAAGTCTCCAACGGCCTTAACAAAAAGCACGCGCAATACTCACCGGGAACATACAATGGCAACCCAGTCGCCGCATTTATACCCATGGATGGCTACCATCTGTCACGTGCGCAACTCGATGCCATGCCTGATCCTCAAAATGCACATGCTCGGAGAGGAGCAGCTTTCACGTTCGATGCCGACCACTTCCTCGCACTGGTGAAGAAGCTGCGGGAGCCAATACTGCCAGAAACACGAACGTTGTACGCACCGAGCTTCGACCACGCGAAGAAGGACCCCGTGGCGGACGATATTCCCATCGCACCTTCAGTGCGCATAGTTATCTTCGAAGGCAACTACTGCTCGTTGAACCATGGCCCTTGGAAAGAGGCTGCAGATCTCATGGATGAACTTTGGTTCGTCGATGTTGATTTCCAAGTTGCGCGGAAGCGTTTGATTCACAGGCATGTGAAAGCGGGCATTGCGCAGAATGAAGAAGAGGCAGCTAGAAGAGCCGACGAGAACGACCTGGTGAACGGGAAAGAGATTATGGATTCGAGGCTGGACGTCCATGAATTGGTCAAGAGCAAAGAGGATCCCGAATGGGCACCGGAGTATCAAGGCGTAGGCGGCAGCAAAGACTAAAGACTTTTGGACACCAGACGCATGTGGATACAGGCCACAGCTAAGCATGCATCTTGTTCTCGACGTTCCCTGATGTGCTTTATGACTCATCTCCCATCGAAGGGTGCGCATAGCCAAATGGAACAGATAAGACAGTGCCGCTCGCGCGGTCTAGGTTCACGAGCACGTGTCATGGAAACGACAGGATGCCAAACTAGCTTATTTGACCTTCCCTTGAAATTGGCGAACTCATATACGATTACGCACCCGGTCCACTCCGGCGCTTGTTCGAGCTCCACAGTAACAGCTATTCCAACATCGTTGTTCCTCCTTTCCACTTGCTTCCCAGATCTTACCTGCGGCACCGTTCAAGGACTCCCCTCTTGGCTCTGAACGACTTGCACGAGATGCGAAGAAGTGGTCGCACCTTTATTCAGCACGGGAAGGCGTGGCAAAAGAGCGTGTTTTGCCGCAGCTAGACCCTACCCGCGCGTAAACACCAAGCACACAAGGTAGCGTGCGGGATTCCGCACTCGATATACCAGCTAGTGAAAGGTCTTTGGTATCAGTCTGCTATCACAGTCCGAGGAGGACAGAACAGCGCAAGAGTTGTCCATTAGGATTTCTCAGGATCATGCGGCCCTTTGTAAATCCAACGAAGCAGGTATCAAATTGAGATGGAATGGGCGGCATTGCTGAGGTCTGAGGATGTGGCCTGCTGAATGGCGGTGTGAGTGAATTGGCCACTTCAGTGGGGTGGAGTGCAGCTTTACATCCGCCGAGCGCGAGGTGATAGGGTTCCAGCACTGGGTGCAGACCGCTCTGGCTCTTGACGAGCCGCTGCATCTGCGGTGAAGCCGTCGATCTCTTGCTTCGAACGAGACAATTCAGTCCAAACACCACAACCCACCAGTGTAAACCACTGCCTCCACTGAAAGACCGTTTTATCGCGCCATGGCATCCTTTTCGCCTGACCGGGCGACAACGAGCGCGGATGAAGTATGAGCAACGCCAGCAGCAACGCAAAACAACAGTCTCACGCGAGCTGAATCCGTGTAAAGTTGAAGCGCAGCCAGCGTCCACCCTGTCCTGCAGTCCAACATCCTTATTCCTGCTCCTCCACCCAAACAGCATCCACCAAATGGCCCTCACCCTGCCGGTAAACCCTACATTCTAGAGTTTGCCGTGGTACAAGTTCGATATCACAATCGCCAACGACACGCGTCCCTGGACCGAGTTCCTCGCACACGTCTACCCGTTTCTGCACGCATCGAACCTGCGCCTGATGCTGACGTGCGATGCCAGCCAGCCTGAGCATTTGGCGCCGTATTTTGACGGGCCGGAGGAGTGGCTTCGGCGGTTTGCACAGGTCGATGTGGCGCTGCTCACGACTGAAGCATGGAGCGCGGAGATGAAGAAGCGGGTTGAGAGGGTCGTCAGCAAGCTTGTTGGGACGCGATGGCGAGATGGGAGACCGGCGGGTTGGAGGGTGGAATAGGTAATTGAGGAGCCCACGCAGCCAGCCGCCGTGTGAGGTGCATGAACATATGTGTTCGTATTTGGAGCAGCAGCGACCAAGGAGGAGGGAAGTGTCGACATATTTGCTGCGGATTGGAAACCGAGTGAGATTGGCGTGAAAAGTGTTCAATTTCTGCGCCAGAGAGGAAACGCCCGCAATGCATGTACTAGGTATCCAACCCCGATTTGATAATACAACACGCTCTCCAAACGCCTGGATGATTTGTCTATTCCTTCCTGCGGCCTTGCTCACTGCCGCCTGCCTCGTCGTCGCTGTCCACACCCAGACTGAACGTGGAATCATTCTGCGGCCCCCGTGTCTTGTCCGAGTACCCGTTTGTCTTCTTGGGCACATCATGCAGGTCGTCGAGTTCTCGCTCGTCGAAGTCTGCGGCCTCGAGATCCGCTCTGCGCTCTTTGCGTCTGAAGTTGTCCAGGCCCATGCCAGTGAGGAGGGACTCTCGACCCTCGTCTCCGTCCGCTCCTTGGTAGCCGTTGTTGCGGCGGCGACTGCGCCATATGAAGGTACCCCATAGAATGGCAACAATGCTGACAATGACAAGGGCGACTTCGCCAGAGCGGTAGTATGCCTTCCACTCGGCCTCCTTCAGCTGTTGTGCCTTGTCCTCCTCGGCCTTGGTCGAGTTCGGGTGACCGCCCACGCTTGTCAATGGACCCTTCTCACCGTCAATCACGCTGTCGGCCGGGGTTCCGCCAATCTCGCCGATATCGACACCAAGGAATCGATCGAGCATATCGCGGGTCCGCCTGGGGTAATCGAAGGGCACCATGTGGCTAGAGTTGTAGAAGACAATGTAGGTGAGGTTGCGAGCCTCCTGATAGGTGCCAGCCGGCTCGCCTTCAAAGGCCCAGTCCTGCTTCGAAGACACGACGCCAGGAGAGATTTCGAAGCCTTTGCCACCGTTCCAGGTCATCTTGTCGATCATGTTCTCTGTGCCGACGTGGTTGCAGATCATGTCCTTGTCGCCGGAAAAGAGGGTGATGGGTACCTCAGCAAGGAGCTCTGGTAGGAACCTGATAGCAGGCTCGCTGTTCTGAGCACGGAAGTGGCCAGTAACCGCTCCGCTGCACTCTTGCCATCCTGTCTTCTTGTCTGGGTTGATGTGGAGAGCGCGGATAACATCTTGGCGGCGGAGATAGGGTGTGACCTGTTTCAGATCCGGAGGCCAGTTCATGCCGCAGGAAGAGTCGTCTCGCAGGCGGATGTCGTACATGTTGATGCACTGTTGCATTCTGTCGGCCTCCTTGTTCTTCGTCTCTTCCAGAATGGTGGTCATGATGGCCTCGCAGACGGGCGTGTCGACGCGGTCCTTGGCACCATCGTTCAGTGCCTTGACACATACAGACTGCTGCTGTTCAACCCGGCTCGCCGACTCTGACCCTGCTGTAATAAGGCCGTTCTGGTAGGCGAAAGGAAGGTACGCGAGGTACTGGTCGACGGGCGAGATCCAGCCGTTGCCAATGAGCAGACCCTTGAGCGGCCACAGTCGGTTGCCTTGCTGCTTGTTGCGTTTGAGGATGGCGCGCGCTATGTGGGGGATGTGCTGGCCAGCGTATGATTCACCTGCTATGTAGAACTGCTCATTGTCAGCTGTGACACGAACTCAGCTGAGCTGGATATACTCACGTCATCGTTCTCGTATTCTGGGAACAGCGCGAACCACTTCTCTAGGAAAATGACCATGTGCGCTGCCATCTGGTCCAGCTCGCTCACGTAGCTGTCTGTGTTGACATAGCTGAAGCCAGTACCCACAGGCTGATCCACAAAGAGCAAGTTGGCAAACTCATCCCACGAGCCGTTGTTATACTTCAAGTTCCCATCCTCTGTCACCCGGTATGGTCCGACTTCCATCATTGCGCCGTCCATCGAGGAGCAGCCGGGGCCTCCATTGAGCCATAGTACCGTCCGCTGCTTGTTGGCGATGTGGCGGTTCTGGTAGTGCCAGAAGAAGAGGTTGCCGTTGTGCGCCGGATCAACTTCGATGTGCCTATGTGACTGTTGTCAGCCCTGATGGATCGTGTGGCGATATCTCTCTGCCTACCCGGCGTGCATCTTCAGCAGCGGCTGGGGCGCGCCCGGAAGATCGCGGATAAAGTAATCCGCCTGCGTCTTTGCCTGTGCTGCACTGCCCGGCAGCATCGCGAGAGTTGCCAGCAACCCGCCAATGAGCGCTGTCCGCCATCGCGACTGCGAATCTGAAGAGAACATGGTCATGGGCGAGGGAGCCGAGGTCGGTCGTGTGCGGCTATCTCATGGGGGTCGTGAGTACCAAAAGAGAGAATTATAGGCGCAGGAAAGTATCAGGCAAAGCAGAGAAGATCTAGCCTGCCTTTAGCCAGATACTAGGCGCTCAGCTCGCAGGGTGTTGACGTCGGGGTTAGGGTGTTGCAGTATGGATGATCTGGCCGCTGCTGGCGAGCTTACGACGCCTCGAGCTGCGCAGGGGCGCGTGGAATACAAGGAGAACGCCGGGGTTTCTCAGGCGCCGAAGAGATCTGTCAACGGGGCGCTGAGCTGGAGAATGCAGCGATGCTGCTTACAAGACGACACGGCTTCCCATATCTCCAAAGTGCCTCTTATTCAAAGCTGTTCTAACTTCTCCGTGGCTTTGTCCGCGTTGCGCCAAGTAGAGCTCCAATCACGAACATCCTCCTTTGCTCGCGGCTCATCGACCTCCGCGTTTCGCATCTGCGATTCCTTCTGCAGATCTCGCGTGGCATGCGGCTCTGACACTGTTGACGTGTGAATTTCTTGTACATCTAGGCTCTCCAGGTCTCAGGCTTGCGGTAGAGGCGCCGTGAATACGAGCGAGCTTAATTCACGGGGCCTCCGCTCAACGGTCGCTTGCATCACGCTTCACAACGTCGACGGCTATGCCCTTGGCAACTGCTTCCAGCATGTCTCATGGGAGTGCACTCCCTTCTGTGGTTGAGTAACCTACGGGGCGTCACTAGATTCTTTTTGTGACTTGCGTTCGATTTTACTCTGCGAATATGAATCGACCATCACAGCGGCACATCTTCAGTCGGCCCGTCCCTTCTCCACCGATTTGGGCCTCAATACCACAACGTAATATATACGGCAGCTCTCTTTGTGCACGACGTCCGCGTGCATTTCTAGAAACGGCATTTTCTGGGACAATGTCGAAAACTGTGTGCCACAGTGGCGTAGATAGACTTTCGGCATACCTTCATCTTCGTTTCAAGGGCTCAGACTAAACGCCACAATTGAGAGAAAATTTTCAAAACAAATCGTCGAGACTCTTCTCCGAATCCTTCTTAATCAAGTCGACCATGCCCTGTTGGTTGTCAGTCTCGATGTAGCTGACTTTACTGCATGTCCGCGGTATTGGAAGGCTTACGGGTGGCATGATTGGCTCTCCGTCCTTGCCGACAACGTAACGGAACGGCATCTCTGTGCTCTCGTTCGCATTTGTCCTGATCTCTGGGTGATCGATGTATGGGATCTTCTCGACGGGGACTGCACAATATCAGTTACAGCTTCTGAGGAGCTGGAGGGATCATACCTCTGTCCTGAACGCAGATTCTCGTGACGCGCACAGCAGTGTCGGTCGTCATCTGCACAGGTCCGAGGCGGCGGCCTTCATAGCCCTTCTTACGCAGCTCAGAGGTCCTGTCTATGAAGAGCTTGTGGTCAGTCGTCTATCCGGCGTGTCTGAATCTGATGTTGTATACCTCTGGGTGGGTCATCGCCTGCATCCTCGTCAGTCGGAGTTCGAACATCACGGTCGGCGTTCTGGCCTACCCAAAATACCGCCAAAGAGGAATATGTCAAAGTTGTCGCCATCCTCAGGGCTGAGATCTTTGGCCGCAGCGGGATCGAGCAGACACACACGGTTTTTGCGGTCTGCGTAGATCTCTTCAATGCCTCGTGTCTCAACGTTCAAGCCCTTCGCTTGTTGAAGGTTCTCTGGCAACTTGAGCGAGGTTGGCACTGATGAGAGGAGGAATTGAGACCCAGTATCATGGCATTCTTGTGCAATGGCTGAGTACTCGAGCGAAGACCATTGCTCCAACTCTGGGTCGAGGTGCTCGACGACGAAGGTCTTCCCCGCGCCGGACATTTTGGTTGTGGAACTCTTATTCTTTCGTTTCGATCGTGAAAGTCAGCTGCTCCGAGTCTGAACCAGGACGATTGGTGGCAGAATTTTGGGATTTGCAAGACAGCCGTCAGTGGACCCTGAGATATTCGATTACGTCCCAGAACGGGTTTGAAAGTGGTCGTGGATGGTGCGAGCCTTGCAGTAGTGATTTGCTAGGCGGAGCATGTGGTCTGAAGACGGCCGACAAGGATTTGGCGAGCGCACTAAGAGAGCGGAGCTAGCTAGCAGACAGCCTATTACGTGTGAGGGCGGACGTAAAGGAAGCGTAAGTGGGGCTTTATATGCTGTAGCTTCCAGCATGCAGATATTCGTCTGCCCAAGTCAATTACCGTCAGTGGTGATTCCTCCAGGGTGTGGCAGGAACTGCACAGCAAGCGCCATCTTTTCGGATGGGCTGCAGCTCCGAGATGAAATCGTAGCAGGTCCTGACGATCCAGAACGCTAGTAGGCACGCGTGACGTTGTAGTTCCATGAGTGGTGTAGCATACGACAATCTAACGTAGTCGTCCACCCAGCGGTCGTCAAGCGTCGAATTCGCCCTGCCTCTCGCGGCAGCGGTACTCTGCATGCTCCCTTGTGCTTCCGAGTCAAACAAAGTCACCGAATGAGAAATTCTGGTGGTGTACTCTCGGCCCACTCAAGGTTTCTTACATATCTTGCTGCATACCCCTCTCTTAAAGACCTCCAGTGCTCCTTCCTTTCCCTGCAGAACGTCAACCTCGACCACTTTTGCAGCTGTTCGACCTCGCTCTTTCTTTCGCCAATCCCATTCAAGCCATATCTGCTTGACAGCTGCAATCCATTCTGTGTTGCCCGCACCACTCATCCTGCAGAGTGTTGTTCCCAGCACAGGCGCTACCTCGGACGATAAAAGCTTATCGCATCTCGAGAATTGAGGGGCATCACTGCTTCCTCCAGACCTTCGACACAAGGCGTAATTCCTGTCTTAGCCACCGGGTGCCATTATTTTGTGTTGTCAGGCAGCAGTAGCAAGACACGCCCGAGCTTCTCTGACATCCAATCATCCGCGGTGGAAAGCCTGCAGAGCCAGACGCATAACTGATCTGTTCCCTGTCACGACCCTGCTGCCCAAACGGCCAACTTGTGGACGTGCCGGACCCTTGACCCTTATTTCTGGCGACAGCACTCGCGAAGAAAGAGGATAAATAACGACGCCCACTTCTCTCCTCGAGCAATTACCCCTCTCGCCAACATCACCTGCACGTACAGCGACGCAACACCAACCGCAAAGATGAACCCCCACCAGCAGAACAAAGTAGACATTAGCGTACGTCATTCGCGGCCCCTGCGCAGTTCAGTCGCTCGCATTGCTGCCCCTCTGGCAACGCCGTAGGCTGTGCCAACTGAGAACTGACAGAAGATAGAAAATGTCGCCGGAGGAGGCCAAGCTCTTCCGTTTGTACGGAAAGCTGCCAAACAAGAAGGACCTGCTGCAGAACAAGCTCAAGGTATACTTCCAGGGCACCGAATGCACCACCAAGTACCTCACTAACAGTAACATCAGGAGCGCAAGTACTTCGACAGCGGCGATTACGCGCTCTCCAAGGCCGGCAAGGCTTCAGACGCCGGTGTCACCCAGGTCGGCCGCGAGCACCCCAACCCTGAGAAGATCCCGCACATGGCCCCGCCCACACCAGTCAATGGTCAGGTGCCAACAAGCGGAGATATGAAGGCCGGCAGCCCATCGAAGGAGGGTGGCACCTTCCTGCACCGCGAGACAAGCTTGAACCGCGAGACTTCAGCTTCCGATTTCGCCGAGAACGCCGAGCCCCAGAACCAGCAGGCTGCTCAGGTCTAAAGAGACTTCCATACCGTCATTTCGCACGCGCGCATCGGTCTCGTCTCGGCGTTTGCAAATATAGGATACAAAATGTCTTTCTGACCGTCCTCTCTTACGGCCGGTATCGATTACAACGGATTTTGGCGTCACCCGCGGCGTACGGGCGTGTTTCCTCCTGCTTCTGGGCAGCTGTTCGCTCTTGAACAATGCTGGTCAACAACCGACGTTGCCGTGATGCAGGCTCGCCGAGCACACGGGACCCTTCGTTTCATGTGCAATACGCTTGATATGGACACGGACTGGAGACTGATGGGGTATCAACGACTTACAATGAATTTCATCTTTGGATGGCAAGCATGCTTAGCTGCACATGTAGGATACCTGACAAAGGTACAGAAAATAGTCGAATCGACATCTTGCAAAGCCAAACCTACTGTGCGTTCGGATGAAGTTTATCCACAGCCTGTACATGACCAACGCTCCAAAGTGCGTACTCAGTGCGGTCCCTCAACAGGTTGTGCCTACACCGCTGTACCACTTAACCCAGAAGAAGAACATAGGCGCGACAATGACCACACTCACCGCAACGTCCGCAAACACATAGACCACTCCCACTAGCGCAGTCCAATCATTGCCAAAGTGCGACAACCCACAGAAGAGGAAGGTTCCTGCCCACCATATTGATAATGAAAACCTCGGCGCCAACATCGCGCATCCAGGATGTAGCTCGAACCCGTAACAACAGCACACGCAATCTCAGCCAAGTCCAGTATATGTACAAAAAAAGTAAAGCGACACTCCTCCCCTTCTCAGCGAAACATCAAATCAAGTACAGCCCCACCACAGAGCACATGCGGCAGAGCAACGACTACTAGTGCTGGCGAGAGCAATGGTGCGAGGACGGCAGCATATAGGACTGAGCTGTAGGTGACGATAGACATGCTCCAGAAATACGGTCTTACGTTCCACTTAGAGAAATTGTGGCAGCAATGTGTGACTGTTGTTTAAATCTGCTGAAGGTAGGGAAGCTAGTTGGGGGTACTCGGCTTTGACATGTAGCTTTCGGATATCAGCATGGTGCGAACAATTTCCTGAAAACATCTAACTTACTGTCTAACCGATGATGCTGACGCCGGTTGCGGGACTATCGAAGCGTCAATAGGGCGAGGGCATCGGTGAATAAGGGCGCTGAAGACTAGATGTACATCTGTACCTTCTCCGACAATCGTCCAAGGTCGCAGTAGACTGTACATTTATTTCGATATCGAAGATACCCCTATCTGAAGATACATTTTGCAACACTTACCACGTTGTCCTAAAATTCGTTCTGCTGAGGTAAAAGGTCAAGCATACGTAGGAAAGGACATGATCACCTAGTGACCGCACTGGCTTCGATTGCAGCGAACTGCGTACTCAGTCCAAGACACACATTAGTTGTAAGCATTGCAAGGTAGGCGTAATCAGTTAGTGTATTCCTCTACTGAAGAGCACAGAAAACAAGGCAGGCACAACCCCGCAAGTCCTGCGTGTAGTCAACGTGCTGCGTAGTAGCAGATCAGGTAGCATCAAGAAGCCATCGCTACCGCATTTGTGGACTTGATGCCGTCTCTCGTCAGGCAACAGGGTCTCAATGCTTTCCAGACGATGAAAGCCTGGGCGTAGTGGGGTGGCCAATTTTCGAACACGTGAATACGCCGCGGTAGCGCGTTCCTGCCGCCTTGGACGCGTCGGTCGGCGTCACCTTTAGCCACCCTTCAACATCAACGCGTCGCCGCTCAATAATGCACATTCCCTCGTGAGTGCACAACGATGCCTGCGTAAGTCCCAGAGAATGTAGACATGTCGCACACACATATTATTCTGTCAATCACAACTCCTAATGATGACGCAGGCCAGGCGATCAATACAGTGGCGGCGACGTCAAGAACCCGTTCCAGGAGCGCGTCGTGCCCAACTTCACCGCGCAAGAAATCGCGACACTACAGAGCCGGCTGAACAAGCAACTCGGCCCGGAGTTCATCTCACAAAGACCTGGCCAAGGTGGCGGCCGAGTCGCATATCTCGAGGGGAACAAGGCCATAGCACTTGCAAACGAGGTGTTTGGATTCAATGGCTGGTCGAGCTCCCTGGGGCAGGTGCAGATTGACTACGTATGTTTGGCCGGCTTGGGACGAAGGAAGGCGATTAACATGGGCAGGTCGACGAGCATCAGAATGGCAAGGTCAGCCTTGGTCTATCGATTGTTGTGAGAATCACATTGAAGGACGGCACCTACCATGAGGTCAGTCGATCGTTTCCTCATACCGCATTTGTGTCTAACCGGGTACCAGGATATCGGTTATGGGTCAATAGAGAACGGCAAAGGCAAAGCGGCATCGTTTGAGAAGGCGAAGAAAGAGGCCGCAACAGATGGCTTGAAGCGTTCGTTACGCACATTCGGCAACGTACTCGGGAATTGTCTGTACGACAAGGAATACCTCAAGAAGGTCCAGTCTATGAAGGTCAAGCCGATCAGGTTCGAAGAAGGCAACCTCCACCGACACCGGGACTTCGCACCGCCGCCGCAAGAACAGCAGGACACTGTCAAGCCAGAGACACACAAGACGCCTAGCAGGCCCAATCAGATTCTGAGGACACGAACCGAGCACCTCACACACTCGACTACTACGGAGTCAGCCGACTTTGATGATGAGTTTGACGGCAACCTCTTTGATGGTGTAGAAGTCTCTGAAGATCATGGCGAGACCACACTCGATTCGGCGTCTTCAGATACAGTAGGACCACGAGCAATCGAGGCACCGAGGTCAGGAAATGGCACAAACGGCACGAATTCGGACCGCAATACGCCTGGTCCTAACAACGGTAATCTACAGCCCCAGAGACAGTCGGCGCCGGTGGGGCGTGGACACGGATTCTCACAGCAGTCTCAGCCAAATCAAGGACCCGCCCGAGCGCAACCTAATGGACCAAATCAACGTGGCCCACAAACACCTCAGCAGCCTCGTCCAGACCAGGCACGACGCATGCCACCACCAACAGGTGAAATCCACAAGGCACCTGCGCCTCAGCAACAGAACGGACAACAGCGCCAACAGCAACCGCTCAGACCGACACCACCGCAAGCTCAGCAAGCTAATCAGCCGCGGCCTGCGCCCCAAGGGCCCGGAAATGCAGCGCCGCATAGCAATGGTCCCAACCCTAACGTTCCAGCACAAGTAGGGTTTGCCTCGGCTCGTGCAGCCGAACAGGTACAAAGCGCCAACTCTAGCATGGCCCTCAACTCTGTTGCTTTCAACCCGCACGCCGAGTCTCCCGTTCCGAAAGACAAGCGCACACCCGGCCTCGACCACACCCGGAGCGTGCCTGTGAAACGTAAAGACGACGGCAACGCAGCTGCAGCTCAAGCACAAGGCGCAGGCCGCGCAGCAAACGGCGGCGCAGCAGGGTTCAACCGCGCGAGCAACTTTGTCAAGCCGCAGCAGGATGCAAACCGACGGATCGGTATGCCGGCCGGAGGCCCGAGCTACGCCATGAGTCCTAGTGCGAATCGCGGCGCGTACAAGCCTCTCTCGATCAACCATCCGGCGGCCAACGCGCTGAAGCGGGAACGAGGCGCTCTGCAGGATGTGACGAACGCGGGACCGAACGGTGCCGCTGCAGAGGGCGGCGATGCGAAGAGGCAAAGGGTGGTGGAGGTGCCAGGGGTGGAGAACGCGGGCGTCACTTCGACCTAGGCTATGAGGAGCTGCGAGTCAATTTCTTTTCAGAGGCAATGGGTATGCTCACAGCATAGTGTCAGGCGTTGTTGGTCTACATTGGGATGGTGTCTGGGCGTTGAACTGACAGGGGATAGCATAAGGTCGACTTATCAGCGAGCATGTCTAGGGGAGGCCGACTTGATAGCGAGCATTTCTAGGGGGTGCAGAGTACTTGGCAGCTCACATCAAGGCCTGCAATACGATGACGACGACGAGGCAGTTTTGGATGCAGTGATTATCTTGTTCATCTCGTTCTATCATGGGGCGTCTGTTGCCGCGGCTCGTTACGTAAGGTCGTTGTAAGGGTGGCAGATGCAGGTGAGGGTATCTGGGTGCGAGTGGGCGAGCAGTCGTGTGCCCTCGCGCTCTTCTCCGAGGAGCTCGAACATGGTGTCTCGACGGAGCGATGCCCGCTCATTCAGTAGCATCTGGTGCGGTCGGCGTGTGCTCCTCAACCGGCGGCCTCCCTGTAGAAGCTGATCGAGTTATTCCCGCCGCCCAGCGCAAACATCTCGCTCCTGGTTGGGGCCTTGGGCAGCCACCTCGCCGTCCACAGCGGCTTGTCTCCGTGCGCGTGCGTCGCAACACAGGTCCGCGTCTCGACGCGCCAGACCTTCGCCTTCGCATCGTGGCTCCCAGACAGCAGGTACTCGCCCGTGTCGCTCCAGTCCAGCGTCAACACCCAGCCGCCGTGCCCCGTGAAGTTGGCCACCTGTTCGCCGGACTTGACGTCGTACAGCGCAATGACGCGCGCATCGCCAGCGGCGGCGAGCAGCTTGCTCGCGGGCGAAAACGCCACGCTGCGCACAGGATGCACAAGGCCGGCGAGCGAGTGCACCAGACGGCCCGTGTCGTTGCTGAAGACGTAGATGCTCCCGTTCTCATGGCCCGAGGCCGTGAAGCTCCCGTTGTCGCTCAGCGCGACGCACAGCCCGAAGCTGCCCTTGGTCTCGTAGGTGCGTATGCGCGGGAAGCTCTGCGCGCGGTCCAGGCTCCACACGTTGATCTGGCCGGTGATGCTGCTCGAGGCGAGGTACTGCCCGTCGGCGCTGAGGGCAATGGCCCAGATGGAGCCGGGCGTGTTCTGGTCGGTGATGGCGCCGTCGAGCGCCCATTGGCCGTCGGGGCCCTGCGACCAGATGTTGACGCGGCCCTCGAAGCCGGCCGAGGCGGCGCGCCGGGCGGTCGCTTCTTTGGCCGTCACGAGGTGGTGGATGCCCAGCGGGTGGGCATTGTCGAGGGTCTGCACGAGCGGGAAGTCGGGCTGGGTGGTATCGTAGACGTTGATGGCGGACCCGCCAGACGCGGAGAGGAGCTGGGTGGGCGTGGGCGCGACGGCGAAGATGTCGGCTGCCCGGGGGTGGGCATGGTCGACGGTGTGGAGGGTGAGGTACTGCTTGGACTGCGGCTGTAAGTTTCCCGTGGGCTGCCCATGCAATCTGGGGCGGGTTGGGGGCTCACCATGGCGTGTGGCTGGAAGCACTGCAGCTTCTGGGGGCGCGCGGGCAGCTATCAGGCCATGTGTGGGCGCTGTGGGCGCTGTGGGAGAGACGATGAAATGCAGCACAGATGGCAATAATCTGTCGCGCCCAGTGATGTCAGGACAGACGCGCCGTCACGGCGTCACCCCACCGCAGCTTCACCGCCAATCACACGCCAGCTCCACCAGCAGCATCCCACATTCTGGCCGCCGCGCGCATGTGCGCGAGAAGCCCAGCAGTGCTCGCGAGCAGCTTGATACAGTCACACCGCGCCGTCCTCGGTCTACGCAGCACCCGCGCATTCTCACTCACGGCCCCCTCCCCTCGCGCACACTCGGCCCGCTCTGCCATGGCGCCCACCCCCTCCACCCGCGCAATCGTCATATCCGGGCCCTCGGGCGCCGGCAAGTCGACCATCCTCAAGCGTCTCTTCGACGAGTACCCTGACCGCTTCGGCTTCAGCGTGTCGCACACGACGCGCAGCCCGCGCGGCGCCGAGCAGGACGGCGTCGAGTACCACTTTGTGACCCAGGAGCAGTTCGGCGACCTGGTCGAGCGCAAGGGCTTCGTCGAGCACGCCACGTTTGGGAGCAACCGCTACGGCACCAGCATCGCCGCGATCGAGGCGATTGAGAAGGAGGGGCGCACGTGCATCCTGGACATTGAGATGGAGGTACTTGCGCCCCCCGCTGCGGCACCAGTGCGTTCCTTGCGTGCTGCGAGACTGACGAGTTGCAGGGCGTCAAGCAGGTCGCAGACCACCCCACCTTCCCGCGCCCGCGGTTCCTGTTCCTCTCGCCGCCCAGCATGGACGTGCTCGAGAAGCGGCTGAGGGGCCGCGCCACCGACAAGGAGGCCGACATCCTCAAGAGGCTCAACCAGGCCAAGGTCGAGATGGACTTTGCGAAGAGCCCGGACGCGCCCCACGACAAGATCGTCGTCAATGACGACCTGGAGAAGGCCTACCAGGAGGCCAAGGCCTTTATTGTTGGCGACGACGCGTAGACAGAGCCACGGTGATGCCACAGAACAATAGAAGCAAGTGCAGATGCAATCCAAGCCACAAAACAACAGCAGCAAGTGCAGATGCAATCAAAGCCACAAAACAACAGCAGCAAGTGCAGATGCAACCAAAGCCACAATACAACAGCAGCAAGTGCAGATGCAATCAAAGCCACAAAACAACAGCAGCAAGTGCAGATGCAATCAAAGCCACAAGACAACAGCAGCAAGTGCAGATGCAACCAAAGCCACAAAACAACAGCAGCAAGTGAAGATGCAATCGTATCACAGGGTGTATCAGGACACAGTAGTGCATTCATCTTATTCGTACAAAGTATTATAACTAGCTACGCCAAAGGGTGTATCAGAATATAGTTGAAATACTCAGCATCGGCGTCCTACCACTTTGGGATTCAGACAACCTCAGTGCTTGACTCTATTTCGTGTATCTCATCATGTGACCCTGGCTGGTTGGAATCCGGCTTGTTCGACCAAGCGTGCAGTTAGCACCTACTCGAGCGGATCCGAAAAAGTGGTGAGTGAACGTTCCTCGCGTCAAGAATAAGCCCCATTGAGTTACTCCTGCGACACCCCCGTGTTACCGAGGGGCGCAAGGGCAATCGCATAACCATAAACTGGACGACAAGACCCTCGCACCCAGCGCCTCGACACCTCCCTCCTCCTCCTGGCCCGATGCAATCCATCGGCGGCGGCCAAGGTAGCCAGCGGACTCATATCATCGCCCGGGTGCCGGCTCCTCCACCCGCAGCATCAAGAAAGCGCGGACCGAGAGTGCAAGCGTTGGGAGAGCGAGGGTGCTGTGGCGGTGCGAGGCCGCGCTTCTATGGCGGTTCGTTGCTGAAAGTGCGCTCGAAGAGCGTTGTCCGGGGACTTTCTCCCAAAGCGAGCGAGATGGCGGGGCCACTCTGTGCGTGTGCTTCGTTGCGATTCTTCGAGCGAGGAACGTTGGGGACCAAGTGGGAGAGCGGCACGAGGAAAATATTTACCTGGCGGAGCTCGGCGCGAGTTTGCCCGGGCCGGGCTAGGCAGCTTTAGGCGCGAGGACATGAGTGCCTGTGCGCGTGCCTGGTGAAGCTCAGACATTGTCTTTCTTTGCGCCGGGCGAAGGCACTTATAACTGCTGCAACAGCTTCGCGCCGCCGCCGCATACCAACCGCCTCGTCGCCCACTCGCCACTGAGTCGCGACTTTCCGAACAATCTCGACGCGCCGAAGTTTCTCTTCCTCGACGACCTGGGCTCGCGACAGCTCCACTGCGCCAACCACGACCCACGAACCACGAACCACCACAGCATAGCACAGCACAGTCGCCTCGTATAAAAGACATGGCGCTTTTCGGATCCGCTGCAGCAGCGCCTGCGAGCACCACCACTGGCGACACAAGCAAGGACGTCGAGGTGCAGCAGAGCCAGCTGCCGTCAGACAGCATCCAGGACCTCTCGTTCTCGCCGGGAGCCGACTATCTCGCCGCAGCAAGCTGGGACAAGAAGGTCTATATCTACGAAATCGGCCCACAAGGCCCCAATGGAAAGTTTCTGTTCGAATGCCAGGGTCACGTCCTCGGCCTTGGCTGGTCAAAAGTAAGCTGCCGCAGCACAAACACAGACTCAACAGCTGACGTTTGCACAGGACGGCACTCGTCTCGCCGCAGGTGACTCGACCGGACACCTGAACATTGTTGATCTCCGCACTGCCCCTCAGACAGGCGGCCAGATCCAGGCCCAGCAAGCCAAGGCTCACGAGGAGGCCATCAAGTGTGTGCGCTGGTTCCAGACTGGCGGCCAGGACTACGTCGCGACCGGCTCCTGGGACAAGACGGTCAAGTTCTGGGATCTGAAGAATGCACAGCCCGTCGGCACGCTCCAGTGCCAGGACCGCGTGTACAGCATGGATGTCAAGGACCAGCTGCTTGTGGTCGCGACTGCCGAGCGACACATCAACATGATCAACCTCAACGAGCCCACAAAGATCTACAAGACCATCGTCAGCCCGCTGAAGTGGCAGACGCGCGTTGTCAGCTGCTTCTCCGACGCCTCCGGCTTCGCTGTCGGCAGCATCGAGGGACGCTGTGCCATTCAATACGTCGAGGACAAGGACACCAGGTACCTTCCCTCTGTTGCCGTTTCGCACAATCTCACTAATACGAGCGCAGCCTCAACTTCTCTTTCAAGTGCCACCGCCAACAAGACCCCAGCCAGCGCGACGTCGCCAAGGTCTATTCGGTCAACGCCATTTCCTTCCACCCCCAGCACGGCACATTCAGCACGGCGGGCTCGGATGGAACCTTCCACTTCTGGGACAAAGATGCCAAGCACCGCCTGAAGGGCTACCCCGAGGTCGGCGGCAGCATCACAGCGACTGCCTTTTCGCGCAACGGTGACATCTTCGCGTACGCTGTCAGCTACGACTGGAGCAAGGGCTACAGCGGGAACAACCCTCAGTATCCCATCAAGCTGAAGCTGCACCCGGTATCAGGAGACGAGTGCAAACCCAGGCCGGGGACGAAGAAGAGGTAAACCTCAGAGATGATCTCGGGTTTCACCCTCACTCTGTGTGTGACCAGGTCCTGATCACAGTTCTGTAAAGCGACGAGCCAATGATCGCCGTATCGGACGAAGCGGAACAGTCAGCGAACGCCATGCCACCCATGCCACCCCGAGGTACGACGTGGAGCAGGGCACAGGCATTGCAGCAAAATGGAACGGGTTAGGGAGAGACGATGGGATGTTGTGATTGCATTGCATTAGCGTTCTATGGCAGATCGGCGTATAGGGGTTGCCCACGGGCGACAAGACAGGAAGAAAATATCAAAGTCGTACGCATTGCTCTCCTCGACTCCGCCGCTGAAATCGGGATACAGTCGAATCGGCTTTTCCCTACTCGGCTCGCGCACATCCGAGCGAGCGTTCATCCTCTCATCTACTCGAAATTGACTTGATTGTTGACAAGGCTGCACCTACGACCCCGGATATCAGGGACCTGCTGATGCAGCACGGCTTCACTTTCCATGTCGTGCTGATGCCGGTCAGAGCCTGAGGCTCGTCGAGGATAACCCGTTTGTGGTAATTGAAGATTTTGTAAACCTCGGGCTTCATCATGGTAGATCTCTCACGCTGTTTGGAATGGGATACGTGTGAATGTTGACTACGTGATCAATTCTGACAATGCTGTTCGCTAATGAATGATATCTCGATATGAACACATCCCCATCTATGCAAATCGTAAAGTCGTCATCGCTTAAACGCTCTCGTTGCGTTCGATATCCTTGGCCTTCTCCTCGTAGATGCCGCCCTCGCGGACCTGCTCCATGTCCTTCAGGCGGTCGAGCATGATCGGGTGAGCGCGGCGGATGGGCTTGATCTCGAAGAGCTCGTCCATGCGCTCGAGCGGGATGCCCTTTGTCTCGGGGATGAGGAAGAAGACAAAAGGAATGGACAGGATCATGAGCGAGGCGAAGAAAAAGTACACGCCGTAGCTCATGGTCAGGAACATCTGCGGCGTGAAGCGCGAGATGATGAAGTTCCAGAACCAGTTGTTGGCCGCTGCCGACGCCTGGCCTAGCGACCGCGTCTGCTGCGAGAACATCTCCGAGTTGATCACCCACGGCGTCCCGTTCCACGACGGCGTGTAGAAGAACGTCCACAGGTAGAAGAAGAAGATGGCTGCGATCCCGCCAGGGGGAAGCTTGTCGCCGTTGGCAGAGGTTCCGTGCAGCTTGATGTACGCGCCGATGATCCACATGCAGACAGAGCCACCGGCGGCACCGATCATGAGAAGCTTGGTGCGGCCGAGGTGGTCGATCAGGTAGAGGAGCCAGACAACCGTGACGACCGTCTTGACGACGCCAAAGAGTCCGGTGGTAAAGAAGCCAGTGTTGGTGCCAGTGATGCCGATGGACTTGAAGACGGTGGGAGAGTAGTAGTTCTGCAGACATGTCAGCTCGTGTCGCTTGAGACGAAAGTGTTTGCACCACTTACAATGGCATTGATGCCGGATCCGTTCTGCCACAGGAAAAGCATGCCGCCGAGGAAGAGACGGTACTGGACCTTGCGCTGCTTGACGGCCTTGAAGGGAGCCCAGAAGCCGGGACCGACAACCATGCGGTCGTGCTCGATTTCAGCGTCGATAGCGGCGATCTCCTCAACCATGTAAGGGTGGGTGGGATCCAGGTTGCGAATCCAGCATAGATCCCGCACAGCCCTCTCGCGATCACCGCGCGCGAACTGCCAGCGAGGTGACTCCCTCAGCCAGACAGCGCCAGCAAGAAGCAGACCGGCGGGAATGAGCTGAACAGCAAAGGGAATCATCCACTGGCGGGTAGAAGGACCCATGGTCTCGACGAGTCCATAGTTGATCCAGAAACCAACCAGACCACCAATCTGCCATCCTAGCTCGTAGATACCGACGAGTCGTCCACGGACCGCAGGAGGTGACAGTTCCGAGATGTAGATCGGAACCATGTTACTAGCGGCACCAACGCCCAGACCGGCTAAAACACGGCCACCGATGATCAAGCCAAGTCCACGGTCACCGTTCGCGCCCAACATCATTCCCGCACCGAGGATGAAAATCATGGTCCAGATGAGCAGAGTGATTCTGCGTCCAAGGTAGTAGGATGTGACATAGGCACCGAAAGCGCCGAAGAAGGCGCCAGCCTGGTAGACGGAGACGATATTGGCCTTCTTCAGGGCAAGCTCAGAAGCCGAGATTTGCGAAGGTGCCGACAGTTTGAATTCCGAGACAAACGATGGGAGCGCAAGGGTCGTTCCAATGAAAGCAGAGTCATAACCGATCTAGAGGTTCGGCGTTAGATGCAGCTTTCGAAAATTGTCGCTGGCGGTGATCATCTTACCATGCAGGATGCGAAAGATGCAACTGATGCTGCGGCGTAGACGCGCCAGTTGTAAACCTCCCTAGGCGTAGGCCTATCTTCGACAAGAGTGAGGAGACCCATGTTGAGAGATGCAGTGTTCCTGTCCGGTCGTCGATGCGGAGGAGGGATCCTGGAGGTCTGACACTCCTCTGAAGAAGGGAAGAGGAGGATGCTTCAAAGGAAGCTGTTGATGCTGAAGAATCTTCAACTCCGAGCCCGGACTCTAATAGTCGTGCAGGGCTAAAGGCTACCCCGGACTCTCGCCCTCGTGGGGGAGCTAGTCAATTGCTACGATGTGCGGCGGCGTGCAGGCGAGACCCCAGACCATGCCCAGACTCTCCAGTCTCCAGGTCTTATCCGCGCACGACCCTGCGGAGGCGCCACGATGATGGGTTGGAGACGCACCCCGCAATGAAGGGGATCGCCAGTGCTGTTGCTGGATCAGTTCGGTGGTCATCCTGGATAAAGGTTTGTCGAGCTCCTGTCAACCAGGTGCTGTGAGCCTCTGGCTTGGTGCGGAGACAGATTACGATTAAAGCGTGGTCATTGGCGGCGGCTGAACCTCGGCCAGCTATGCGAGTCAATAGCTTTGCAGTGGATAAAGGCTTCCGATCTCGGAAGATGTCTCTGCCCACTTCACTTGGCGAGTCCAATTACAAAACCACGTGAAGCATCGAGTGCGAGAAAGCTGCGTGAGCACCTTGGTATATACCTATGTGGGAAGATCCTTTACCCGCACGTCCCGGTTCTGCTCCAAACTTCTCCACGATACTCCACAACACGTGTGTATCCGTTGGAAAATGGTTCCGTTAGAACGTAGGAAAGAGCCTTAATGACCCAGGTTCCAGTCAGAGCTTGCTCCGTCTCCCTGCCACTCTCTTGTCGTGAACCCATCGCTGAAGCTAGAGCTGCCACCACGAGCCCCGTAATCACTGATATCATCACAATGTCCTCCACAACGACACAACAGACCGTAGTGCCAGACACATCGAGTGTCGAGCGTCATGGCTACCTGTTCGGTTTCCCGATCGCACACTCAATGTCACCATTGTTCCACAACACAGTATACGCGGATCTTGGGTTGAACTGGAACCAATTCTACCTTGAGTCGACAGACATGGATCTGTTCAAGAAACTCAGACAAGATCCCAAGTTCTACGGTAAGCTTCAATGTCTTGGTAATGCTTCTTGGCTTTCGAGGCTGATTGCTATCACAGGCGCATCAGTAACCATGCCACACAAGATGGCAATTCTCCCACACCTGGACGAGATCACAGACGAGGGCAGGGAGGTCGGCGCGGTAAATACACTCTTCCTTAAGGAGGACCCCGCATCAGGAAAGCGGATATTCTGCGGCACCAACACTGACGTAATCGGCGTGCGCGATGCTTTTGTCTACAACGTCAAGGACGCCGCATCGACATACGAGAACCGACCTGCCATGGTGGTGGGAGGCGGTGGTGCGGCACGAAGCGCAGTATACGCGCTAAGAAAGTGGATGAAGGCCAGCAAGATCTACCTGGTCAACCGAGACCGCAGCGAAGTCAAGGCCGTGATTGACGAGTGCAAAGCGAGAGGGTTCGGCGACTCCCTGATCGATGTTTCGACCATCGCGCAAGCTGAAGAGCTCGAGGGCGTGGGTGCAATCGTTGCATGCGTACCCGACTTCCCACCCAAGACACCTGAAGAGAAGGAGGCGAGGGCTGTTGTTGAGACCTTCTTGAACAAGCCACACAAAGGAGCGATCCTGGAGATGTGCTACCACCCATCGCCCTGGACCGAGATTGCGGGTATTAGCGAGAAAGCTGGCTGGCAGCTTATCCTAGGCACAGAGGCCATGATCTATCAGGGTCTTGAGCAGGATAGGTACTGGACGGGAAAGCCGGTGTCTGAGCTGCCGAAGGCAAAGGTCCAGGCAGTCATCGCGGCTAAGCTGGCTGAGGCGCGACACTAGTCATGGTGTACAAAAGCATCGCTTCTTGTCTTGCTTCTTTGACAGACTTTTATACACTTATTATACGCTGCATGATCTCTCCCATCAGCTGTCCCTCTGGTGTTCGTCCGCCACATTTGGCATCAGCAGACTTTGCACGATTGATCTTGTTCGTCCGGTCGCTCTGATTGACAGGTAGATCCGATTGTAACTACCTTGCGATGCCGATGTTGGTCCTCGATCAAGAGAAAGACCTTTTCATGGCCGGCACGCATTTTGCTCCGAAGATCTGTTCTGATGTGGGGCGAATTCTATCGACATCCAATCAGCTCCACAGCTGCTGCCTTACTATAACGGCGTCGCGAGATGAGCCGCATCAAGCGATCGCTCAATATGATTAGGTAAGTTCGCAAAGAAGCCGAAGTACTTCTCAGTGGCTGGAAAGGTTGTCCGGAAATCGCCACTTAGACCCGCTTCCGCAGTTGCCTCGTGAAAAGTATCACAATAATGTTCCGGACTAACGAGCCACCACGCAAGTTCGCAAGCAGCGAACCATGCACACCTGCTAACTAAAACACGTCCATAGGCTGTCTTACCATCACACTAAAGCTAAAACGTGATAACGTATGCAATTCGCGGATACATGCGCCAGGACAGAAACGATCCAGACTCGTTCCGTCCCGGCTGGGACCAAAGAGCGCCGGCAGGGGCGAGAATAATTGAGAATTGTGAAGCACAGCCCTTACACAGCTGCTCGACGTCCTCGACGCCATCTCATTCCTCGTGCCTGGTCCCATCGCCTGTTGAGCATGGGGTCTGAGGAGATTTGCTGTTCCTCCCCGCATTTGTCAGTCTGGAGCCGTCCTCCGATATGAGTCGCCCGCCGCCCGCGTCGCGCATCAAGGCCCTCTCCGAGAAGAAGAGAGAGCGCGAAGTCCTCCAATATGTCGCCGCCTATCGTGACCTGCCATATCTGGAGGAGCTGGCCTCTGCGCCAGAGGTGACGGGCCTGCCCACCGACCACATCTCGCGGCCCTCGATAGACTCGACCCTGACCGCGTTGTGCCAGCTGGCGGCCTTGCGCATGAACGCGCAGCGCGCCTTGGTATCGCTGATCGACGACACACGCCAGCATGTACTGGCAGAGGCAACTCCACGAACTTCGCTCCGCGAAGGAGCCCCACCAGGCGAGGGGTCGAACTCCTTGTGGCTGGGCAGCGTCAGCGTTCCCCGAAGTTGGGGTATCTGCGAGCAGGTCTTGGCATTGAACGTGGTCAAAATACCTTCGGCGGAAGGAGCGTCGGTCATCATCAACAAAGATCTCCTTGATGATGATCGATATGCCCAGCGCACCTATGTTCGAGATGGTCCAAAGGTGCGATTCTTTGCCGGAGCAGCTCTCGTGAGCTCGCATGGCGCCATTGTGGGCGCTCTGTGCGTTTTTGACGACGAGCCTAGGTCAGCAGGCATCTCAGATGAGGCCGTCAGCTCCTTTGAAGATCTTGCAGGCACCGTTATCGAGTACCTGGACAATTACATTGTCAAGGACCGATTCAAGCGTGGCGAGAAGCTCACTCGTGGTCTAATATCCTTCGCTGAAGGGGCATCTGCGCTGCTACCACTCGACAACGCCGATTTTTCAGAGTCACATTCGCCCACAACAACTTCAGCTATTTCTTTTAGTTCTGGTGCAGAGACAAGATCTACGCAAAATGCGCCCACCAAAATTGGCGCGCGATCGCAGGCGTCTCAGACTACCTATGCTGCTTCACAGATGTCACAGGCTGATTCTCAAAAGTCTGAACAGGAACAAAAGAAGCAGCGATTTTCGACTGGCTCAGACACTGTACGAGCAGGCTCTACGCGAAACACCTCACTACGAGCCCTGCAGGACACTATTCTGCCGATGAACTCAAAATCCATGTTCGCCCGAGCCGCAAATGTCATGCTCGCATCCAGCGACCTGGACGGAGTCCTGATTCTCGACGCATCCATTGCAGCAACGGGACATCGACAACATCCGGCGGCCCCAGAACGTGAAAGACTCAGTGGCGGTCAGTCAGACTCTGCAGAAGTAGGGTCGAAATCAGAGTCGAGCGAGGACAGTAGCTCACACAGCAGCAACGCCAACAAGAACGCCAACTCATCTTCGTCGAAGAAGTGTGGAGTTCTTGGAGCTGCGCCGTCAAGGCCGGCCGTGAACGTTGATGGCACGCCTGGAGCTGGATCTCTCGCTGAAACAAATTTAGCGCGCTTGCTGCGGGAGTATCCTCACGGAAAGGTCTTCAACTACACCGTCAAGGGTATCTCCATGTCCTCGACAGATGATTCGTCCTCGCACAAAGGCTCTCGCAATAATTTCCTGCCCGCCGGCGACGATCTGCGCCCTGCACCCAGCCGGAGAGGTGGTCGCACGTCAAGAAGCTCGAAAGCGATTTTTGAGCTGCTTCCTGGGGCGAGAAGCGTCGCATTCGTGCCCTTCTGGGATTACGAGCGATCAAGATGGTTCGCAGGGTGTCTGTGTTGGACCAACAGTCCAGATCGATTGCTTTCTGTATCTGTGGATCTGGCCTACTTCAATATCTTCAGTCACTCGATCATGCGCGAGCTGTCTCGGTTAGACGCCGTTGCATTGAATCAGCAGAAGACCACCTTCGTTGCATCGATATCTCACGAATTACGTTCACCTTTGCATGGTATTTTGGGTACATTGGAATTTATCAGAGACACCCCGCTGGACACTTTTCAAACCAGCATGCTCAATTCATTGAACAGTTGCGGCCAGACTCTGCTCGACACGATTAACCACGTCATGGACCACTCGAAGATGAGCGAGACCACTAAGAATGTGTCTACAAGACGTCTGAAGAACACCAAGACTGTACGACTGTCATCGAAGCCTCTCAAGACACTCCGCGCAATGAAAGAGCCAGCATTCGACCTCGGCATAGCAACTGAAGAAGTCGTCGAGGCTGTGTTTGCTGGATCGTCTTTTCTTGCTATCATGAGCTCAAAGAATGTACCATTGTCGCCAACGGAATCAACGGCGACGTCAGTGACTACCGAGCCATCTGATATAACGACGAAACGTAAGACTTGCTATATCATACTGGACGTTGGTCACGAGCAGGATTGGATCTACTGCTTTCCTGTGGGGTCGTGGAAGAGGACTGTCATGAAGTACGTGAGACCGGGTCAATCCTATCTGTGCTTTAAATGCTGACGATACCCAGCCTCTTCGGCAACGCTATAAAGTACACGCTGACAGGTCACATAACTGTATCGCTTCATGCGACAGACGTTGCAAGAAGTACAGGTTCACAGACTACTATTACGCTCACCGTCTCCGATACAGGCAGTGGCATGAGCCCTGCTTTCCTCGCCAATAAGGCATTCCAGCCATTCTCGCAGGAGAATTCACACACCTCCGGAGTGGGACTAGGCTTGAGCATTGTCCGACAGATTATTGAGACCAACGGTGGCAAAATCGAGGTCAGCAGTGATCACACTTTTGGCACCAAGATCACGGTCAAGCTATCTCTGGTCAGACCCGAGGTGGCACGAATTGCTTCACCTCAGCGAAACGAGTATCTTTCTTGGCTACCACGCTTGAAGGGTCGCAAGGTGTGCATTTTGCACAGGGCCCACGCTGATCAGGACATCGTGGACGAACCACAGAACGCTGAAGGGCTAGCGAAGTTCACGCGGGCACTGACGACGACCTTGGCGGACCATTTGAAGATGGACGCTGTTCAAACATCGAATTGGGAAGGCAATGACTGTGACATTGTTATTTGTCCCGAGCCATCTTTTGACTACCTCAATTCTGTCAGAGAGAAGAGGGTTGGTACGAAAGCTGCGAAAGCGGCAGTGACCATCTTTGTGGCTCTAGATGCACTCGAAGCTGCAACATTACGTTCCGATGTTCGCGTTAAGAACAAGGAGTCGGTGGTCGAAATAATGACCCAGCCGTGAGTAAAGCCTCGATCTTACTACCGTCTTTCACTGACCGCTACACAGGCTTGGACCCTTCAAACTAGCTTATGTACTGAACAAATGTCTCGATCGATTCGAACATCCGGGCGAGAACGTACAGCGTGCTTCCAACCTTGCCTCTGCCTTCGAAGCTAACCTCCCTCAGTCAAATTCACCACACATCGAGGAGCCGTCGACACCGCCTCCTTTCGTTTCACCTCCATACTTATCCCCACTTCCGGTTGAGATGCCGCCACTCGTAAATCAGCCTCATTGGCATGCAACAGATAGGCCTGAGGCTACTACCTCGTTTTTCACAGATTATGAATATCTATCGACATCGAATGCAGCGACACCAGTTCCTGCAGAGTGTGCGCTTCCAATTCGCCCAAAGCTTACAATGCCCGTCAAAGGAAGCAGCTCCTCATCAAATATTCTCATTACAGACGACAATGCAATCAACCGCAGGGTCAGTCCACTAATAACATGATTTCTCAACACCAAGCTGACATATCGCAGCTTCTTGTGGCTTTCATGAACAAACACAAGCTTCAATATGCCGAGGCTGAGAACGGACTCGAAGCTGTGCGTGCATATCAATCAAGCCAGGTGACATTCGATATTATCTTGATGGGTTAGTCTGCGCTGTTGAATGAACATGACCGCACTATGGACTCTAATATCTCCAACAGATATGTCAATGCCCGTTATGGATGGCATGACGGCGACGAGAACTATTCGACAATACGAGCAAGAGTACAACATCCCACGAAGCTGCATCATCGCTCTGACAGGCTTGGCGTCCGCCAGCGCAAAACTAGAGGCTTGGAATTCCGGGATAGACCACTTCATGACTAAGCCAGTCAACTTCAAGGCACTCGAAAGATTCCTCAAAAAGGAGGAGATGAGGCGCCATGAGGCTGCAGGCGCAGCCCAGGGCTCGAACTCAACATCAGCATCTGGCAGCTGAAGCTGTCATTGAAGGAACTTATTTCTTCCACACATTATCGCCATTCGGCCGTTTCAAATAGGCTGGTTGGTTCTAATGCAGACTGACCAGATTGACATGCCGCGGAGCAGCAACGGCCGCCGTCCGGCTCATAGGCCACGCTCGTAAGGGACAAGGGCTCGCGATGTCATCGACAAGCCTTCAAGATAGCCTACAGCGGTAAATGCCTCTCATCGGCATAAACATGATCAGCAATTTGCTGATATATTCACCTACATTCGTTCATCCAACACTGTACACGACGAGAGTGTTCCAACTAAAGCAAATCCTTCATCCCGTCCGATTCGTGCCTGCCTAAACAAGTGACAACTCGCTCTCAACCTACCCGTATTTCAAACCACTTCAAACACAATTCTTCGGTCCCCCCTTCTCTTCCGCCAAAGGTTAGTACTCTCTATTAGCCCCTGACACCCCTTGACAAGCCAACACCACTTCCTCCAAAATGGCACTGTAGCCTCCTACGCCTTGGAATCCACTACACCACCCCAAACCACTAGATCAGGCTTCAGTCCATCAGCCTCCTCCATATCGAGCAGATCCGTATTGATGTCAGCTTCTAGATCCGTCCAGTTTAGATGTAGTATGACGTCGCGAAGTTCAGGCAGCGGAAACAGATCAATCCAGGGTCTATGCCGAATATTCGTCTGAAGCGGCGTAGGCCTCAGCGAGAGTGGAAGAATAGCAGACGGGTTGGTGGGCCCGGTATGGTCAAATGGCGAGAGTGCGTCGTAGATGCAGAGCGATCCGGAGGGGATGTCGAGGAGGAGAGCGTTTTGCATCAACGCGTGGATGACATTGAGTTGCACGACTGTGTGTAATTATGTTGGCCGCGGCGCATGCAGCATGTATTTTAGGTAGGCCCGGCGCGCGTAGAAGTCTAGACGTGCTCATGCGCTCGGGAGCATGTTGTGGCATATTCGGCCGGGGATATGTTTTGTGATTCCGTCTAGCCTTATGCGTATCACCTCCGTACTGAATCGTGATGTTCTCGTATCGGTTGATAACCCAGGCGGTGAATCTTGTTGTTGCTGCACCTCCCTCTTTCCTATGCAAGCTGATCAGTAAACGAGCATGCAAGACAGGATCATTGATACCGACTCCATACTTCTTATGCATATCAATTCTGCAGTCTCCTTCGAGTCGCAGCGTTAGTCACACTAGTCCAATCATCTCCACGGCTGGTAGCTTCTGATTGCTGTGGCATCTGCTGTAGGACGATGCCGGACGACTGAGCCTCACTCAATTGGTCCATGAAGCAGCATATGACGATTGTCTACACTTGGAGGAAGGGAGAGGTTCTGCATTCGTTCTTCGAGGCTTGAGGGATGCAGCTTGCTTATGTGCCTTGACCAAGAGGGATGAGGAGTCATCGAAGGGACTGCGGTGAAGTCCGTTCTCTGTCCAGTCAATGACGTGCCGGCTCCCAGAGTCCCACTACGGGCGCTATAAGCAGGCTGCAATAGTGTGGAGAGCAAATATATCTCGAGTCTCAAGTTCACGGTTCTGGAATCACCAGCGTATCTTGCACGTGGCAAGAATCTTGCGCGCGAGGCGGCTGATTTGGCAGTGCTGAAGACGCTGTATCGCTATGTACACAGCAGTCTAGCTAACCACTCTGAGCTATAGGGCGGGAGGTGCACATACGTATGGCACTTCAACAGCAAAGCTGCCGTTGAGCATTACGTTCGCGACGAGCCACGGCTAGGGCTAAAGTCAAGCTCTATCGATGTCGGTCTGCATACGGGTATCTGGAAGGGCACGTCATTTGATACTCAGAAAAGCCCTGAGACGGGCGGGTACTGGCATGTCGAAACCGACGATCATCAAAAGCATGTGCCTTTTCTATGGACGTGCAGACACTTGACGGACGGCTGGTCAAGAAGCTTATCGAGTATGTACGGCTGGGCGCGAGATTGATGGCCGTCAACGAAATAGTCAGCGAGCGCAATATCGTAGCGACTTTCGCGACGGCACTTGGTCATAAGCTGGCGGGCGACGAGGGGATCAAATCGGTGTCAGAGGAGGAATACAGAGAAATGTCCGGGGGCGATGAGAGCCACAATATCTACATCCTGTAGTGCTTCCAGATGATGAGGGAGTTTGGATACGATGGCGGGAATATGGACATTGTGTAACCTCGAAATGTCAGAGCTGAAGACCTGGTGATAAGCTACCAGTACATCAAGCAGGAGAATTGATCAAGCCCTGACGAGAGGGGGGCTTTTATAGCAGAACGCTAATTACACGCACGTACACCGATTGACCTAGGCTTTCTTGCCATCGATCTTCGCAGCTGTGTCAGCGACCTCAGCAGCAGTCTCTGCAGCCTTTGTGTCGTCTGCTTTGACGTCGCCACTACCAGCGACGAGACCTTGGACGACCTTGTGGGTTCCATCAGGGCTACCAGGCTCGGAAGCCAGCACCTTGCCCTCCTTGTTGACTACGAAGACACCACGAGTAGTGCCCTTGGGCGCTTTCTTGAGACCAATTGCTGAAATGAGTGCCTGCGAAGGATCGCACAGCAGGCTGTAGGGGAGTTCTTGCTTGGTTTTGAAGGTCGTGTTCGCCTTGGGGCTGTCGTTGGAAAGACCAAAGATGCTGAAGCCGGTAGCGGTGAGGGGCACGTACGAGTCGCGGAAGAGGCACACTTGCTTAGTACCTAGACGCGTATTAGTTGTGGTCTGGTGCTCGAGACGCGTCTACGTACATCCGGGGGTTGAGGCTTTGGGGTACGTGAACAACACGACACCGCCCTTGCTCTCCTCCACCAGCTTCGCGAGCGTGGTCTTCTTTCCGTCATGTATCTCAACCTCTCCACCGAAGTTGGCGAGGTCTATTATGTCGCCGACTTCAGGGGGGCCTGAGGATGATACAGAAGCAGTAGATGGCTTACTCTTTCCGTTAGTCGCATCGATGGCTGCTTCTTCGGCGGCCTTGACAGCCTCAGTTACGGTTTCGGTCACGACAGCTGCGGCTTCGGTGACAATGTCGCTGGCTTTCTCAACGACTGTTTTGTCGCTCGCAGCTGCTTTCTTGTCCTTTGACGCTGTTTTCTTGCCCTTAGGCGCTGCTTTCTTGGCTGGGCGCACTGGCGCTGGAGGAGGTGTCTTGCGCTTGCGTAGCTCAACCATGGTGAAAATGTGGTCGCGTAACTAATGCGCGGTCGCGTCAGTATCGCGATATGGTATCGATACTCTGGTGAGCAAAGGGTAGGAACTGTGAGACGCGTCGTTTTAAGGTGCTCGGTTGGCACTTACCGATTTATGTCTTGTTCACGCGTCCTCGTGTTTTCCTGCACGATCTACAGGCGGTGAGACGGTAGTAGCGACGTGTTATGCGAGTGGATCGAGAACGTGGATGGAGGTGAGGTCGAGCTTCAGGCCAGAGCGGCCCGGCCGGGAAATGTCAGCGGATAACAACACCCCAGCCTGCCCCTTGGCGAGCCGTACGTCCATTCCAATATTAGGCGGATTACATGAGCTTGCGTCTTCCGTTTCGCGAGCTTCCTTCAGCTCCGGGCCTGGGGTTGCATGCTGTCTTTGATTGGTTGCTGGTGAGGTGTGTGAACGCTCTTCCCGTTCGGCTACTTGCCCAAACACGACATAGCTCCCGACTTCTAGCTCGCCCCACTGCATTGTCGAACGTGCGTGAGCCTCGAACCTCTGCCTCATCAGTGAATTCGTTCAGTATTTCTGGGCCTTGTGATATATTTGAGCTTATCTAGAAACAGATGACCCCTCTTGACGAGCTTTGTGAAAGCGTGTGTGGACAGTCTGCCCACAAATCGCAATGCGTATTGAAGAAGTCAAACCCGAAGTTGCGCCCTGGAGGTACATGCAATATGTACACTTCTGGGCAGCTAATGGCCTGCCATCCGGCCTGCGATAGGAAGTAAATACATCGAGAGGTTGGTGATGATGACTAGTGTCTGCTGAACCATGGGTCACTCTATCTCACATCTGGTCGAGGCCAATAAGTGGGCGGGGAGTGTCGACTGATGATGGCTTTCCTTCTCAAAAAAGGTCGAGAGGGATTCGGTACCATCGTCATTACCGTCTCAGAATCCGCACAACGAAGATCTATTTATTTCCCGGCCGCGCCATCAGTCTCTCGCCAGATTCAGGCACCACAACCACATCTCAACGTTTCGCTCCAGAGCTGTCCTGTCTTAAGGAACCTCACTATGAACACTGGATTTTAATACCACGTTGTCTCCCGTCAAGTTCCAAGCATGGAATCATCCAAGAGAGGATGTGTCTCCACTATGTCCACGAGGACGAAACAGAAGACGGGCTCACCGAACGAGCATGAACTACAACGGTTCAACACACCTTCAGACGTCGAGGGACAGGTCTCTCACCCCGCGAGTGAAGATGGTTTCGGCAACGTAGAGGGTGCCGAGATTCAATACAAGACATGTGTATGGTGGTACGTAATGCAGCTTCGATTTTCAAACCTGGGACCTGCTAACAGTGTCAACAGGCACACAGGTGTTTGTAAGATGCCCTTCTGTTTTATGGTACATGGCTAATGCAGTAAAGTGATGCTCGCCGAAAACGTTTCTCTCGGCGTGCTTGCATTGCCACAAGCGCTTGCGGTATTGGGCATCATCCCAAGCCTCCTGTGTATCTGCTTCCTCGGCGTCATCGCGACCTACACCGGGTGGCTCATCGGCGAGTTCAAGCTTGCGTATCCTCAAGTACAGTCTTTTCCCGATTGCGGAGAGCTCATCGCAGGGCACATTGGAAGAGAGGTCATGGCTGCGGGCTCAGTCCTCATCCTCATCTTCATCAGCGGTGCGCATATTCTCACCTTCACTGTCGCTATGAACGCATTGACAGAACATGGTACTTGTACACTCATCTTTGCTATTGTTGGTCTGATCTTCTGCTTCGTACTCGGTCTGCCAAGGACGTTCAAGAACGTGAGCAAGCTGTCCATTCTCTGTGAGTAACTCTAGCAACACCGGAGACAAAGACTAACTGTTGCAGCCTGCGCAAGCATCATTGTTGCAGTATTCGTTGCAATGATTGGAATCAGCATCTCCAAGCCAGATGCAGGCCACATTCTTGCTGTGCGCCCCGGTATCCCCTTCGTTAAGGGCTTGGGACCAGTTCTGAACATTATCTTGGCTTATAGTATGTAATCTCCCAGCAGAGATATAACTGTGTCAGGATTAAAGCTGATCAAAACAGCTGGTCACGTTGCCTTCATCTCTTTCCAATCTGAGCTGGCGGATCCAAGAGAATTCAAGAAGGCACTCTTTTTTGAGCAAGGTATCACGATTACGTTTTACATGACGATCTCAACAGTCATCTACTACTACGCTGGTCCACTTGTCACATCCCCTGCCCTTGGCTCAGCAAGCCCGGTCGTGACTAAAGTCGCTTTTGGCTTTGCCATCCCTACCATTATTATCGCTGGTGTAGTCAACGGATCTGTGGCCTGCAAGTATATCTATATTCGAATGTGGAAGGGTACAAATGTTGTCCACCAGAAGACCATAAAGAGTTTGGGCAGCTGGTACAGTATTTGCGCCGCCTTTTGGCTGGTTGCTTGGATTCTCGCTGAGTCGGTCCCAAACTTCAACCTTCTTCTTGGACTCATCGCTGCCCTCTTTGGTTCCTGGTTTAGCTGTACGTTCACAATTGTGTTACCAAAATCACCAGGCTAATTTATCACAGATGCACTTCCCATGGTCATGTGGTTCTACCAACACAAAGGGTCCTGGCTGAAAAACAGGCGTATGGCTATGTGGTCAGCTTTGAATGCTTTCCTTTTCTGTGTAGGCGTTGCAATAGTAAGTACTGTGGGCTCATACTCGTTATTATAGCTGATATGAGTCCAGTTCGCTCTCGGCATGTGGGCCTCCGGACATGAGCTGCACAACGGCTCTGGGGGCAAGGTGTTCTCGTGCGCCAACAACTGGTCTCCAGTGAGTGCGGCGTTCGATAGGAGTGATGATCGGGATATACCTCCGTTATCAGCGTAAAGGCCTCCAGAAGGCTGCTTAATAGCCACAAGCTAGCTATGCTAGCGCACATAATAATTGTAATGTTTAGACCACACACGGCTTGGCTTTCGTGTGAATGTGTGGCTCACGTGCTAGCGCGCCTGCTGGGACGCGCCTTCCGCTATCGATACTGATTGTCGTCATTGCCACTTCTACTTTCCCCAACGCTTCTGTAAAGGATCGTGTGCCCCAAGCCGTCTAGTTTCGTCTTGCTCCTACGAAAATTGTGACCACAAGTAGTATGGACCCGGCAACCTTACCACCCTCGAAACCGACGCGCAAACGAAAGGCAGCTGTGAACTATAGCGAGTATGGCGAGAGCAACCACGAGGATGAATATCAATTGCCCGTCCAGAAGTCAAAGAAGGTGAAAAGGGAGGAAGAAGCGCCGAAGAGATCCAAGAAGGGCAAGAAGGCAAAGGGCGATAACGAGGCACCGCCTGAAGAGAAGCGTCTCCGCCGACACCGCGCACGAGCACCGGGCAGCTATCTCGAAGTCAAGAATCGCGCCCTCATACAACGTCTGACCGTCCTGTCACGCGAGAGATGCGGTACCAACGAGCTCCCCGAGGAGAAGGTGGTCATTGCCGGCTCAACAGGCAATGTGTACACCGTCAACGTTGGCCTCATACCTAGCTGCGACTGCCCGCACGCCCAAAAGGGCAACCAATGCAAGCACATTATATATATAATGTTGCGTGTGCTGAAGGCACGAGAAGACGTTGCATGCCAGCTGGCGCTCACGGGCACTGAGCTGCGTGAGCTGATCAAGAATGCGCCGCTCATCCCTGGTGTCGAAACAGACGGCAACGACAGGCCTGGCGAAGAACAGGACGGCAACCGCAAAACCATCGAGGGTGAATGTCCTATCTGCTACGACGAGCTCGACTCCAGGAACGACGAGATTGTATACTGCAAGACGAGCTGTGGAAACAACGTGCACAAGGCTTGTATGCAGTCGTGGATTCAGGTGGCTGCGAGGGGCAGGGCAACTTGCCCGTACTGCCGTGCGACATGGGATACGGAGGAGGCCTTCAATGGTACCCTGGGCAATGTCAATACAAAGGGATTGCAGAGGAACGACGATGGGTATCTCAATGTTGCGGGCCAGCTCGGTTTGAGCGGCGAGAGAGACCACTCGACCTACCACCAGTTTTGGGTGAGACGACAATTTGGTCGCGGATATTGAGAGGCTCGTGCAAGCATATATTTCATCATTGCGGCGAGGTGTTGAATGTTGATCCCTGTCGTAGGCTGTACGCGTCAACAAAGGCCCCCTCATAATCGACCATGGAGATTCTTCAGAGCCTTGCCCTCCACATTGTACGCGACTGGAATGTCGAAGGATTCCGATGGCCTAAAGAGACACAACCTACGCTGATAGGCGCTCATTTCTTTAAAGGTCTATAAGATGGCAACTGAAGTCCTGCATTCGCTATTGGCGTTCGCAGTCGAGCAAAATTGAATTTTTGAGAGTCATACCAACGCTGACTCTCACAGGCGCCGATGCGGTTGTGTAAGGTTTAAGTGTCCCGCACACATTTCATCATGAGCCAATTCACTCAGACTCATGTCAGTGTGGTGCCTCCATCTCCTGCTGAGATCGTCGCAGAACGATCCATGGATGGGAAGCCATCCAGACGAAACCATGCTGACTGATCAATCCAGGATCGATCTGTTCCTGAGCTTCACGGACATTATCGTCTGAAAGCTTCAAATAGTGTTGCATGAAGCAAAAAGGGGAACATGTCCGTTCGCCGCAGCCATCATCAAGGCCTACACATAGCAAGGGGTCAGAAATGCCGTATGTCTTGCCGTTTTCGTTGCTAGCGCGCACGATGCGTCCAAGAACATGATTTAGGACGTCCGCATATACATCCACAAGGGCCTTGTTGTAGTCCGGTGTGAATACATGCCGATAACCCTTGTACAGACCTGGTAAGCCATATAGCCTATCGAGAGGATATGCACACTGCTATTTTTGAAACACGTTGAGCGTCTCAATCAGTTCGAAGCCGCAGAGCCAGATGTCCGTATTTGGACGACGACGCGGGGGGCCCACAAGACGACTCCAATGAATGACATCTTGAGCATATCCCTAATCAATCACCGAATCGAGAGGAGACTGTAACTTTGCCCCCTCAGAAGCGTCAAACTTGCCTGTGTATTGCAGCACAGCAAACATCTGCTCATCAAAATCCAAGAGAAGATTCGAGCGGCCCGGCTTTTCGTGTCGGTCATCCTAAAGATCCGATATAGAAGCCCAGCTGTAAAAGAACGTCCCGCACATGAGCGTGAGTCGTCGCGCCAGGATCACCTCTTGAACGATCCATAGCCTTATCCAGTAGGGTCGACTCATGAGATATATCAAGCCTCGCAGGGCGCAGGTCTCCTTTTCCGCAGTCGTCGCCTTGGTGAGATATATGCGAAGGTCTATTAGGTCTAACTCCAATCCTTTCGTCGGCTCGCCAAGCCAGCAAAGCACCTTGTGTACATTGGTGTAGATACGATCCATCATGGCGACCTGCGAGCTTTTCTCGGAGTTGTTGTCTGCTTTCTGATCGATGCAGATTGCATCTATCCAGAACAGACGATAGTACAGTAGAGGATCGACCCGGACACGATTGAGAAATTCCCACAGATTGCTTCGTACCCAGAATATCTGCTCGTTTAGCAGTATCTGTGTGGCCTCGTCTTCCACTCTGGCGTCTCCCCACTGATACGAGAGTGCTGTGTAAGTGTGCTCGTAGAAAGGGTTTGTACCTCTTATTTCAGCACAGATTGGGTCCGGAAAAACGCTTGGAAAGACACGAACTAGGCGTATTTGGTCAGCGGCAGAGTCAATCGAATGGTGCATGAAGCGAGAGTTGCGCTCGATGTCTAGCTGACAGAGTTTGCTGCTACCTTTTGTAGCCATTGTGATAATTTTCGATAAAGGCACTTGTCATCCCAAACATGAATCTTGGAGTCCGTCCGAGCTGCGGACCATGACAGCCTCGTACGACAACAGTAAGCGGCTGTGTGGTTGAGAAGGTGTTGCTCGGCATGCCGACGCTGCATGTGCCCTGCACTTCCCTTCGCGCAGCGCCAGTTTCGGCTGGGTGACTTCCTTACACTCAAGATTGTTTTTTCTCTGATAGTCTTCTCGCGGCGCGCACGAGAAGAATTGCAAGTCGTGCTACAAAGACAGCGCAGAGCCAAGCGCCTGAGATCACGGAAGTTGCACACAGTCGGGCCGGCAAGCGCCACGCTAATTACATGCGCCAGACAACGCCAGCTCGTTCCAACTTTCCAGCCGCGTTTCATTTTCATCCGTATGTATCAGGACGGCGTTAGATGGGATCGGATGCTCTATCGAAGTTGACCAGGGCCGGTGAAACGGCCTGGAAATCATTCCAGACCAGATGGTATGCACTGCCTCAAACACTTCACCGCACCAGTCACGTGCAAGCAGCTGACCTGGGTCGTATAGGTTCGACAGGAAGAAGGGACCGCCGCCTGATGCAGAGCTGGCGGAAGCTATTCGCCAGAAGAACCTATATCTCCGCCAAATCGCAGCGAAGATCACTGGCAACTCGGAATCAGAGGTACCTCCGCTGATATGCACACCGCAAGCGCCGGGCCGTGCGGTCTTCCTGATCACGACCCCAATCGCGTTCGGCAAGCTCGAGGTCTCAAAGAAGACCTACGATCTTCTGGCAAAACACGTTGGCATGAGCATGAACAGTGTCTCCCACTGGGCTGTGGTTGTCGTTGATCGTAGCCTGGGACCCACTTACACTTACGACCTCATGAGCGACCAACTTAAAGTCCAGATGCTGATGAACAACTACTTCCGCGTTTACGAGGCCTCAGAGGAATTTATCGCTTCATGGAGTTCGTGCTATTATGTAGGCGAGACATTGAAGAGCCACGAAGAGATCCAGTATCTTGGTAAGACGCAGCAGGGCATCGCAAGCCACGTGTATACTGACAACGTCAAGGCGAAGGCTTCATCGCCGCAAATAAGCGGTACAATCTACTATCTAACAACTGTCAACACCTCACAGAGAACCTCGTGAGAGAGCTCTGCAACGGCAAGATGATCAACCAAACCAAGCTTGAAGAAGAGATACGCTTGATCTCGCCAAAGATCGCGCGTGACCTCATGGTGACTAGGCTGAGGTCGAAGCTTGAGAAGGAGGACCAGAAAGAGGACAGCGAGTCGGTGCAGAATGATGTCTTCACGATTAAGGAGCTGTGGGGCAGGATCAAACATTAGGAAGCGCAGATGGTACCCTACCCAGAGCCTTGGAAGCTATATTGAGTAAAGCTCTCGCCCTAGCCTATGCTATCCTGCTACCTAATCGTAATACAAATGGCAAAGTTTCGTAACGATGCCACGAACCCTGTATTGGTTGGGTCATTGAAGCAAGCCATCCATGTATCAGCGTGTGCGTGATGATCGTTCATTGGGTGCTCGTGCTGCCCCAAAGCACACCGAGAGAATACTCGAGTGTCAATAGAAACGCCGTTGGAGTCCAAACAAAATCCTCATGTTGATTGCATTCGAATATAATGTTTCTCGAGACACATAGTGTTGTGCTTTCGTATTTTGCCTCTCTTCTAGCACGAGCCTTCACATACGCTGCAAGTGGTTGCGCAACTTGGTTGTGTACGGCTTACCTGCCAGCTCTGCACCTGCCAACGCAGAGTTCTCTACGGAGCCGGTCCAAGCAGCCAAGAAGTTGACTGCGTCATGTGGTAGATCCATCAAGTGGATTGCATGAGGCTGAGTTCAATATTGCTGATCCGACATCGGTTCATGCAAGCGCGGGATCTGCGTGACAAATTGCGACACAACCTGACGTCAGTTGCTCTCTTGCGCACAGTCTAGAACAAATCCGCATTTGTTCGATGTACATTTCCTACAACACGGCTTTCCATATCCTTGCCATTTCATGCTATGCGTTGCAGTAGGCCGATGGTGGCCAAGCTGGTAGATGTGTACATGATGCTTCGAAGTTTGGTGCGCGAGAAACGCTTTTCGGCTCTGCAGACCCCACAAGAGCGGTTGTTGATCGGATTTTCAGGCCTGTCCGACGTCCGATGGCGATGTTTGATGGCGTGGTACGGAGGCGATGCGATATGTGTAGTGGCGTTTATCCGCTCTGGCTTGTCCTCAGCCATTGGAAGAAAGGCTCGGTCTCAGAAGCTACGAAGATCAACCTCTTTGACGATGGTACAACGAAAAACTCCGTGACATACATGTCGGCCTTGAAAGGCTTCTTCAAAGCAGTATGCTGCCAACTCATTCCTTGTGATGCCACCCTGGAGTCGGCCTCCATGATCGTTACACCACTACGAGTACAGACGTCGGACTTCCATCAGTCTCGGTAGCATCCATGTCCGCTCTTCTGTCGGTCTTAACAGAGTTGTTCCACGCCGGCCAAGGGTATTGCGGGTTCCTTCAACCTTGCTGACAGGCGACGATGGATGACTCCACTGCGCCACAAACACTGCACCCATCCTAGAAACCGGCGATGTCGATACGAACACATCGTGCCATAACGAGCGCATCTCAGAAAAAGTCAAGGAACTTTACCAGGAGTGACTGATCTGTCCGTCTGTCGACTGTCTGCAGCCTAGGTACCAGCAGTCTGACCTGGTAGCAAGTGCAACGGGTGGCATGTCCTCTGGTGCAGACGATTCGAATGCACTTTCAGGATCTTCCGGTAGCCGTTCGACAGAAGCTAAGGCGGCACTTGAGGTCACGATTCCGCTCGTCTTTATCATTCTGATGTTGGGTGACTTTTGCCTTTGGGAAAGCAGTAAAATGTCCCAGAAGATGCTGCCATTGTGAAGGATCCCAAGCCCCTGAGGACAGCTGAACTGGATGCAAAAGGGAGAGCAACCACTCGACCTGGTGTTACGTCAGCAGTAGACATTGGGTGAGTCGTCAGCAGTAGACATTGGGTGAGTCGTCAGCAGTAGACATTGGGTGAGTCGTCAGCAGTAGACATTGGGTGAGTTCTTCGAAAACACGGGGCTCCATGGGGAGTCCACCGTCATCGCGGTGCCAGTAGAGCTTCAAGTTCGTACTGAGCGGGTTGCGACAATTGTAACAGTCCCTCATGCACGAGACTCCGAGTCGGACGGCCGCATAGAGAAACATTAACGCTGTGCTCAGTAACAAGCGCCAATCGCCATTCCTGGGATTGTGATGTACGGGATATATGACGACTTTCGCAATACTGCACGCTCTTTCATTTGGTTACTAGAACAGAGATCCCGTGCCGCGGGGATGGTGTCGACCTGCATCGATCTAGACGCTCCGAATCGACTGTCAACATCTGGATTCTAGCTGTCGATCCGGCAATCATGTTCGTTCCACTTCGTGGTGACTGCGACTTTACTATGTGTCGCGGGGAAGGCTACCCCTTCGACATTAGAGGTCCATCTTGGCGTATCAATGTTATGAACGCATGTCCGCTTCCTCGTTAATGTGGAGTAATAGCATGAATGCTGTAGGAGGCGCAAGGTGGGCGTGTTGGCCCTGTGCTGTTTCAAACAAACGACTGTTTCATCTGGCGGGACGACCCGTTGCTGCAGCGGACAGCCCAAGAAGCCTCTGTAAGAGGTGTAATGAGAGGGAAAGTCTTGGTACGGGTCTGCGATGCGCCGAGTGGCAGTTGGCGGTCAGGCTTGATGGGTTTCTAAGAAGGCAATGCATGAATCAGAATCCAGCACATGGCTTGAGATGTCACGCGAAATCGCGTCAGGGCGCATGTTTCGAGAAACAGCCACCTTTGCGCTCACTGGCTGATGATTGAAGTCATACATGTGAATTGTGTAGGGTGCTAGAGCTTGTTGAGCTTATACAATTTAGGAGTCGAAATTTGCATGCTCAACAGCAAGTGTACAACAGAAAGGCTTCGCACAAAACCGTGGATGCACTTTCACTAACTTGCAGTTGAGCACAGTCTGGAAGCTGGACGGACCGCCGGAATACTGCGTCGTAGTGAAGAATACGAGCGGGTGAGCTGAGATGAATCGGATAGCGGGGCCTGGAAAAGCAGAGGCTGTGACTCTTCCTCGGATGCTGTCTTCTCTCTGGGCAGAAGTGAGTGGTTTGCCATCTACATACTTCGTTTGTTGTTGCGCAACAAAATATGGCAACATGGTCAAAGCAGGAGCTCCTCGGATGACACTCAGCATCGTGGCCGCAAAGGCATTCGTCGACTGGTTTCCTCATTTAAGGTCGATAATGGCAGCATTAGCATTGTCTCATGAAGCCGACATTGTCACTCAACCGTTGAAGAGGCAGTGGCTGTATGTTCATGCGATCTGCTCCGACGTCTGTCAAACGTCATAGAGTGCTTCGGCGCGTGGGACACCCCGGCTGAGGCGTGCGAAAGCGCAGCTGAAGAGAGAAGGTTGCGGCTTCGTTTGTGGCGGCCATTTGAATCGCAACATGGGCCGGCTTCATCGAAGGATCACCGTCTGGCAATGGCCATGCAACATAGATATTTCCGGTATGCTGTTCGAGGTCTCGAACAATACCCCATGCAGCGCTCCACAACGTTGCCAGCGCGACAATCATGTCAATAATCGCGATGCTGATTATTGCACTGGGAGCGTTGCAGTTGTGCAAATTGTGCGAGCCGTCCTTGTCGCACGAGGACGAAGTGGGAAAGCTGGGCTCCTCCCTGCAGGCCTAGCGAGCGACTGCGTCCCCTCCGAGACAGGCACTCCACGCTCTCATCACGCCAATCGAGTGCGGGCCGTTCACGAGCAACAAGATAAACGTGCCGGTCGTATTGCTACTCTTCAACGTCGCACAGAAGCTGAGTGCGAGGGATGCACCCAAAGCGTGGCGCACGCGGTGCTGGCGCTCCTTCGAGCACCGTGGAAGCCCGCAAAGCACGGCATTGTGCTCGCCATCATCCATAGGTACCCGCTTGGCTCCGCATCTGATCAAGAAGGGAGGATCATCGCAGGGTAGGCATCTGTTGTCAGCCAAGCGCCATGAAACGCAATTTGGCACTGCCGCAGGCGAGTCATCGGGGCAGCAAGAGATGGCAGCGGTCGGCGGCATGGGTCGCTGCGACGAGACAGCGTGCGCGAGCGGGCGGCCACGACAGGAGGCGCCATCTTCTCAGCACGATGATCGCCTCCCATGGTGTCAAACTGGGCGACAATCAGCCTCACCACCCACAGGCAGCATCCTGCTGCACTGTACCTGCGTGGGCGCCTCGCAGATGGCGATGTTGCTGCCGGGCTCTCCTGACTGGTCCAATCTGCAACACCCTAGCAGCCCCCGGCCGCTGTGGCTAGCATCACCAAGAACCCAGGCGCATAGCGATATCCTTGCCGTTCACTGGTCCCTGTCCGCGTCTGTCCCTGACCGAAATTAACAGCCGCCAGGGGCCATGCCATCTGTGCGTCCTGGTGTTTCCTTAGCCTGATGCAGCAGACCGCCGCTCATTCATATATCGGCTCTCCTCCACCTGCTTGGAACTCCTCACGACAAGGCTCACCTTCCTTTCCACACATTCGCTTTCCCGTCTGTCTTCGGACCTGCCATTCTTTGAGCAACCCAGTCACTCTTTCCTGGGTCTTCAGTCTTTTGCGCGGATTTACAATTTCGAATATCGACATCTACATTTCAAGAGCAAAGAACCTTTTTGATCAGCCAAGATGATGAAGCTTACTGTTGCTTTCCTCGCCGCCCTCGCGGCCGCCGACGCTGCTGAGGCTCGCTCCACCCGCCAGCAGCGCCGCCAGTACGGCACCGGCGACAGCTACGGCAACGGCTACGGCACAAATGAGGTCTCCTCAGTTTCTGCTGTTTCCTCGGCTCCCATTGTCTCCTCAGTCCCTGCTCCCAGCATCCCCGCTGTCAGCACTCCTGCTGCTGAGACCGTCTCCTCCCCCATCAGCGGTGGTGTCTCCACACCCCCTGCTGTCCCCAGCTCCACCCCTCTCGCCGTCGAGAGCCCAAGCCACGCTCCTGACGTCCCCGCCTCGTCTGCTCCTGCTGCCCCTTCCAGCGCCCCTCTCGACTACGGCAACGGCTACCCCGTTCCCTCCGCCCCCGCCGGCGGTGTTTCCAGCCCCGTAGTTGTCCCCAGCCTGAGCACACCCGCTGCTGAGACCACCCCTTACGCTCCTGGCGTTCCCTCCAACTCAGTTCCTGAGGTCCCCGCCACCAGCACCCCTGCTGCTGAGACCACCCCTCACGTTCCTGGCGTTCCCTCCA